CCCTCTATGCAAACCTCCAATTTCTCGCTACCGTAGCGGCGTAGGAATTGGATTGGTGTGCGCGGGGCGCCCTTTTATCCCCTGCCGGGGCTGGGCAGGGTTACCGCCAAAACTTGAAAAGTTTTAAAATGTAGAAGTTTCCGTTGGAGCCCGCGCAGGCGCAGTCTCTCCACAAGTGTGAATTCGCAGAGCACCACTCGAAGAAAGATGGTCACAGGTATGTAACCTACCATTATTGATTAACAGTTCAGGTGCAGTAGGAAATTAATTTTCTATCAATTAACATTTTAGTGCATTATTTTTTCTCTCTAACCCCATAAAATACTCATAATAAATATATGTAGCCATATCTTATGAAATGCATCTCAATCAACACATAAAAGCAATATATAATAGTAATAGTAATAATAATAATAATAATACCTTTTCAAAAATCCATAGATGCAGAAAGCAGATTATTTTGAAAATGAGCTACTTGTGAAAACTTTTGATGTTATGTATTTTATTCATAGTGAAAACCCAGATCTTCCTGTATCTTGAAAACACAAGCATCCTTTCTTGAAAAAGTTTTGATATTTGAAAACATTTTATTCCGTTATTTTAATCCATTGTTTTGCTTCTTGTGGCAGGGTGAACCTGGTGTGCCAGGCCGCCTCGGAATGCCAGGTCTACCAGGACGAGCCATTACGGGACCCAAGGTGAAGAGCTGTATTTCACTTGCTTTGTAGTATTCCTTATATCAGTATGTTTTGGCTTGGCAATCATATTTGATTAGCCATTGTCTGTTATTAGGTATAATTACAGGAAATGATCGTGTTTCAATTAAATTATCCTTTGCATGTCAAATAGATATTTGGAACCTAGGCACTAAAACAATAATAAGGAAGGACATTGTGACCATTTCTTCACACTCAGCACTTGTGGGGCAAATAAAGCAAGAAGTATAACTAAATGTGTCTGAAAAAGAGATACTGGGTTGGAGAATAATTGGAGGGAAATTTGAGAACTGTCCTTTTCTCTAACCTGAATCTATTATCTCATCTACAGAGCCAAGTAGGGTTTTTTTTTAAAAAAAATAATAATAATACCTGCAATCCTGAGTGGCTATGGCACCCAGGGTTTTTGCATCTCTGCACTGATCTACAAGATTGAGACAAACAATTGAACAGTTTGCTCAAAGGAGGAGGGCAGGGAAAGAGATGAGCTAAACAGTCATTCATGGCTGCCTTAAGGTGTTTGTTTTCTTGGTTGCTAGCTAGCTAGTGAATTTAGTGAATGTACTTGTGGTATATATATGTGTGTGTGTGTGTGTGTGTGTGCGCGTGCGCACGCGTGCGTGTGTGCAGTATGTGTATTCCATTGCTATACTGCTTTTATTTATTTGTTTATGGCATATTTGTGGTGCCTTTCTGAAACAATGCAGTGTACAAAAAAGTGGAAATAAACAAATAAGCAAGCAAACAAATAGACAAGTGAAAATATGCTAATAAATACAACAAGATTAAAAACGTTGAAGGCAATAAAACTAAGTGATTGAGATGTGTCATTGGGTGAGGATATAAGCTGCAGGACACGCATATTCAGGAGGCTTTGAGGCTTGCCAAAAGGGGAGTACACATTTTGAGGTCTCTTCCACAAAGCTGGTCAATCCAGAGCAGATTAATTCACCCCAGTGCCTACACAGGCACCCCAGGAACCAGGTGAAAGATCAAAGAGAGTCCACACTTCCACCAGATCTCTTAAACAACATTCTGATCTGAATTAAATAGGTCTGTCAAAAGCAAGGATCCTGGCAAACAGCTTCCAAAGCGGTTGTTTTACAGCTTCACAAAGCAAGGAAATCAATTTGAAAATACCCATGAGAATGCTGGACTTTCAGTGGATGGTTTGTTCACCTTCCTACTGGACTATTTAGCTGCTTTATTATTCCAAGTACTTTCCCACTGCTGTTTACATGAGCATTCCATAGTTTGCATTCGCTCCTTCCTGTGCCTAGTTCGGACACAGGAGGGATGCAGCGGATTTTCTGTATGGGATCAGGATTTCTGATTAGTCTTTTTATCATAATGTTTCTGGCTGGTTGTGAGTTGTAGTTTGTGTTGTAGTGGTATACTTTTTTGACACCCTGACTTCAAGCAAGCTGGAGTATAGTGCCTGTGTAAATGGGGCATGAGTTGCAAGTCTCAAACAAATTATAATGACTCCGGAGCCTGCTCCTTTCTGTGCCTTGTTTCTCTGATGGGGAGTGGACTATGCTTCTTTCTGGACCAACAGAAATGTCATGACTTAAACAGATTCCAGATCATTCTTTCTACAGAAATGTTTCTATATTGTCTGCAGAGATGTGAGGATGTAATAGACTACTATAGGGTGGCCTATACTATTGATTATACTTATGTCTGTACTATTTCTTTCAAATAAAATTATTTGTCATTATTTCACATGAAGGTAAACAACTTTCTTTCTTTCCTTCCTTCACTCTCTCTTTCTTTCTACTCAAGGGTGATATTGGATTGCCTGGACCGCCTGGACCAATTGGGGAACAAGGCATAGGCATTCCAGGGCCTAAGGTAATAAACAAATCCTCGGGCAAGTAGTTTTCACATGCGTAAGCAACTATCATAGCAGAAAGTACATATATTTTCTTTTTGATAAAACAAAGGGTGACCGTGGACAACCAGGACCACTGGGACCATTTGGACCTAAAGGAGATGGACATCCAGGCCCACCTGTAAGTATTCAAATCATTTTAAAAGATTAAAAGATATTGTTGTTTATAACTAGTTCCTGAAGAATGGTGGTGGTGTTGAAGATATCAGCAGACAATGAACCTATAGAGAAGAGGAAATTTAGAGTGCATGGGGCTTCAGTGAATTAATATGCCCATGTATGCCTTTCTCCTGACCCATTGCCTCTAGATATAATGAATTCATGAGTGGTCTTCAGGAGCTTTCACGATTGCCTTTTTGCATTCCTCATTCTCTATAAATATAGAAGGTAACTTCAAGCCTGAAAATCCCATTGCTATTTGAACATGATTTGAATCATTGCTCATGATTTCACAGTATGAGGAGTTGGGGTCAAGGTCTGAAAAGGATCCACTTTCCATTGCTCCACTGGATGTGGGTTATTGTGTGGCAGCAGTGATCCCTATCATCACCACCTCTGCCACTGCCATTCTCAGTTGTGTTGTCAGTTAAACTATTTCCCTAGATTGCTTTCACAACTTGGAAGTAATGAACTGCAGTTTATGTAGTTATCTTTAACAGGTTCATGCTTTTTACATTAAGAGAGTGGAACAAATTTCAATTTCTGCAGTCACATAGCAAGTAGAAGCTATGCAGTTGGTGCAACATTTCCTAGTTACCGTTTAAAGATGTGTTGGGGAATTTTTATAGTCATCCTGATGCTATACTTTTTTTTCAATCCTGAAGTGATTTTAAAGGACATAATATAAAATAATGGGGGAAAAACAGTTATTAATTACAACAACATTGAAATCAGTAATAGCAATGGATTGAATGTTAAATATGATGATGAATAGTGCTCAAGGTCATCCATTGGATTTCCATGGAGGAGCAAATATTTGAACCCTGATCCCCAGAATCATGGTCCAAAGCTCAAGTCACTACACCATGCTAGCTCTCTTGATAGGGATACAATTTTGAATTATTTAAACATGTAATAGGAAATATTATGTTATCTTAAAACAATTAATACTTAAGCAAATTACTTTCCAACATTAGGGTCTTCCGGGTCTTCCAGGAGTGCCTGGGGAGCAAGGCCCTGAAGGGATTGGATTACCTGGACCAAAGGTACAAACTGGTATTTTTGTATCTAAAAAGTTATCAAAGTATAGCTTCTGAGCTAATCATATGGATTATTAGACTGCGATATAGTAACTGAAGCCCAGATATAATAGGGCCCTTATTTAGTGTGTAATATTCTTAACAGAAGAACCACATATAAACATCAAATGCTTGAAACCTCTAAAACATGAACACACACTGACAATGTTACATGCACATTTGTTACAAAAGCTATAATAAATATTAAGAAATACATGTAGATGATCATATTTATGCACTTTAGCAGTAATTTTACAATTGTTTGTTTGTAATAACAAAGAACACACATATTTATATATACCAAATCCTTTCAAATTCCTGACTGATTAATGATTGATGCTGTAAATATTTTGGGTCTATTATAGAAATGAGTTGGGAAAATATGCAAACTTCCATATCATTAATATTAAATGAGACTTCCAAAATAAGAGGTAAAATATTTCCATTATCATCTTCATACTTTTGCTTCTTATGATTTAATTACATAATCTTCACAAAAATTTCAAAGACACTTCTAAAAAAATTAAAGTGAAAAGGAACAAACAAACGACATGTGCAACACAATTAAACTCTATAGTGCCCAATATCCCACTAATTTCACTGCCAAGGATACAGACATACTTGTCACAATCCAGGCATGCAGCCGGGGGGGGGGGCTTGAGGGGCTTCAGCCCCCCCCCCCCGAAATTCTCATGGTGGTTCGCGAAAAGACCTTACTGGTGCATTATTTAAACTGCTATGTTTATTCCTATCATGATCTGATCACTTTACTCAATATATCCCATATGCATGGGGGTATTGGGGTAACGATACAAAAGGTTTGCTAGGGTAGACCCTCTTTCACTCAGACTCAGCCCCCCCCCCAAATTGAAATCCTGGCTATGGGCCTGAAAATCACATGGTTACAAGCCATACTCACTACAAGACCTCACCTTGTACAATTACAGATTCCCCAGCAAAATTATTTAATGCCTCATTTCAATTTAGGATTAAAATTAGTATTTAAATTCTTTATATTCACCATGAACATTCACTATAAACATCTACTGTGAAAGTTCACTCTGAACATTAAGCATATAATTTAATCCAGTGAACTTTATACCCAGTTATAATTCTTCGGGGAGAAAAATATCTTATATGAATTATAGTTCAAAGAAGAGCTGAACCAAAGATTCACATGGCTCGCAAACTACAATATGGACCTTATTTACTCACAACTCAGAGTTGCAGACATTACATTGAACTATATGTTAGTGAATTAAATGTAATTCACTATTTTCTTACTGGGAGTTTTCTGCCAAATAAATTCCATATCGATTACTGTTTTGTATGCAACAGTAACAACCACTGTGAAATTGTGAAATTTGTTCAAATGTTTTTAGGGTGATCCAGGTGTCAGAGGACCAGCTGGTCTCCCAGGACCCCCTGGGGAAGGCCTTCCAGGACCCAAAGTAAGTAACAATCACATCACAGTTGAAACATCATGTCGCACAAATATGTGGGGTGTTGAAAGAAGCAAATTGTATTTTAAACAAGTGACATAGAATGTAGTGGTATTTATTAGAATATTACAGCCCTTAACTTGTAAAGACATTGTGCTATTCCTTCATTCAGGGCAATATTGGGAGGCAAGGACCACCTGGAGCCTTGGGACCCCCAGGTGAAGGTATCCAAGGACCAAAGGTAAATTCATATCACATTAGTGTGTAGATGTAATCAACAGCACAGGAAAATTACAGTAATTTTGCAAATCTCAGGGAAAGTTTTTAAAGAGATTATTTTGTTTTAAAACTTGATATTGTAAAGTCTGATGAATGAAAGCCAAGTATTTCCACCATAAAGTGGAAAACTGTGTAGAAACCAAGTTGGTTAATAGGTTCAAGTTGCTTTTGCTCTTCCTGAAACTATTTGTGAGCAAAACTAAAAAAAAAAAAAGAACTTCTCAAAGGAATAATGGCTAGGCAAGTTCATATGAAATCTAATCCCAAGGACAATTTCCAGGTTCCTGAAAATGTATATGAAAATAATATATGCAGAATTTTATTTGTATGACTATATGGATGCACTCCAGTATGCTTATGTGGAAAAAAACAATTTGGATAACATTTTCTTTTTTAATTTGCACTACTAATCATAATTGTTTACTCTAACTTCATTGATTTATGATACATAGACATATTTTTAAAAGCCAATAATTCTGACCTTTAGGGTGAGCAGGGAATTCAAGGAATGCCAGGACCCCGAGGGCCTCCAGGAGAAGGGCTTCTTGGACCAAAGGTATGATATGGAAACCTAAAGAAAAGACTGCACCTATGAAAAAATATTCTGCAAATGTTTTGTGAAAAATTGTAAACATGTTAGAAAATCATAGTAGTTATGTTGTCACTAATTCCACTCTCGTTCGAAAGATCAAAGTACTTTTCCTTGATAGGATGAAATGTATCAGTCTGTGATTTGATTTCAATTATATCTTGATGTGTCCATGCCCAAGTACATCACACCAGAGTTCTGTATTGAATCAATTTGGAGAGAATCTTTGCAACTATTTGACTGATATATAACAGTCAATTTCAATAATAAATGATAAATCACAATGGTCATTGGAATAATGGTCTTTATCAGTAGTGAATGATAGTTCACACCATGGTGATGAGGCAAAAGTAAGATATTTTACAGATGTCCTATAACTGATTCCTAGGGTGACCGTGGATCTGCAGGGGAAAGAGGAAGAAAAGGCGAGAAAGGAAACACGGGTGATCCTGGTTCAACTGGAGATCCTGTAAGTATCTTCAGCCTTTCCCTACTAGGAGCTTTCCACATCCCATAATTTAATCATCAGCTACAGGATTCTAGAAGTCACCAGTTTAGAGAAACTCATCATTAAATTTCATCAAGGCTATCACTCAGGGCCCTTCTACACTGCCATGTAATCCAGAATATCAGGGCAGATAATCCACATTATCTGAACTGGATTATATGACAGTGCAGACTCAGATAATCCAGTTCAAAGCAGATAATCTGGATTTTATACAGCTGTGTAGAAGGGGTCTTAGTATCTCCAAATAAGATGACTCGGGTCAAGCAAATAATCTATAAGTGCTTAAAAAATAATTTCTTATGTATATAGAAATATTTTAGATAAGTCTCTCCACTATCCCCCCATTGATGTCAAAAGTGCTTAGACAATAGAATAGGCACAGTCTTGTCCTTAGAATACAAAAATCTTAACAAGCGGTCATATGAGAGGCATTTTTTTTCCTAATGGATTGTGCTTTTCAAAACTGACTGGGATGAGAACTTCACAAAGTTCATTTTTTGCTTATAGCTTCCACAATCCTCTAGCCAACATGACTGGCATGATGTTGGCTGCGGAATTCTGGAAACAACAGTCCAAGAAAGTAAATATTCCGGATTTTGGACTTGAATGAATTGTTTATTGTACCAGCCATAGGCCATGCCATCATATAATATACAACCTTTAAAAGTACAATACAATAAGTACAATAAGCACTTTCCAACATAAATATTAAAACTTATTCCTTATACTAGTTCTTTAAAATTATAATAGCAGTGACATGATTACAATAACAAATTTGTATCATCCCAAACTATCTCCATTTCCATTTGTAGCTTCCGCTGTGGACTTTACTAAGTCCAAGCATGATGGTTCTCCAAGTGATTTTGGACTTGAGTCATCCTCTCTGTGATTTATAGAGTAACAGCCTTTCAGTGAGGAAAATATATTCAGACCTCCCTCTTACAGGATTTGTTTTATTATAACAGACAGTTATTTGCTTCCCAATAATTCTAGCATCTGCCATAGTTACACAGATACATTTTGTAATCACCTGCCAAAAATGCTGGAAGTGTTTTAATTAGAAATAATATGTTAGGTTAGGGATGTTACAGAAGAGGATTATTATTAAGTATACTATAAGAGCTGGATTTACTGCCTTGCATCTGGTAGCAAGGAAGGCAATATGCATGCTTAATACAGAGAATTTTAGTTTAAAAGCTTATATCATAATATGGCTAAATTTTATTTTAAAAGTTCCTTACTCTTCTAACAAAGCCCTGTCTACAGATGTGGATTTACTAAAGGGCTAACATGTTGCCCATAGAAGTGTATAGTAATTTCTGTCGAGTTGTTTGGTGGCTATCTTCTGTAGCTGATTCAGGAAAGCTTAGAGATAAATGGGAATAACTAAATATGTGATTATTATTTCAGGGAAAAACTGGACCAAAGGGAGATCAAGGCCTTACAGTAAGTCAATTATTATTTGCAAATAAAATACAACGCTCCAGAGGGCTCTCAGCCGCTGCGTGCCTTCCTTGGCCGTCTTCTCGGCATAACGACAGGGCCACTCACATGCGGTGGCTGAGAGCACTCCAGAAGGCTCTCAGCTGCAGCGTGCCTTTGTCCCCTGTCCTTTCTGCATAAGGATGTGGTGGGCCACTGTGTCCTAATGCTGAGAGGTCAGGGAAAATGTGGAGGACCTGAGGTAAGCGCCCAGGGGGCCGCATGCAGACCCCGGGCCTTAGTTTGCCCATACCTGCTCTGATGGGATAATCGTTTTAGACAACTCACAGAGACAATGTATGAATGCAAAAGTAATGTAATTTTTAATGAAATGCAGGTAACCAGAGTGGTTCCCTCACACTAAAATGCCTGTGTTAAAGGAAATGAATCTTACATGCTATGAGAAATGACTTGCAGCCTCAAGTTAGAATTAGATTTCTCTACAAAGACAAAATACATTTGGCCCTCGATATCTACTATGATTTGGTTCCGGGACCACCCACCTATCCCCAGCGGATACCAAAATCCATTGAGGCTCAAGTGCCATTATAATAGTAAAATGATATAGTAAAATGGTGTCCCTTATATCAAATTGCAAAATTAAAGTTTGCTTTATGGATTTTTTAAAAATTTCAAGCCATGGATGGTTGATTCTGTGGATGCAGAATCCATGGTGATGGGAGCTGACTGTATGCATTACATTTCTAAGAGTATTTGACATCTACAACTAAAACTTGCAGAATGTAATGAAGCATTTCAAACACTGACTTAATGAACTTATATTTAAATGTTTAATTTACCTGTCATGAAAGATATTAGCAATTCCTCAAACAGCAACAGCAGTTTGGATACACTTAGCAGATGCCTAGTTATACAAGTACAACAGCTGTTCAGTACTGTATGCATACACTTTCATTGTCTTTTCTCACCCAGAGAGAAGATATCATTAAATTAATTAAGGAGATTTGCGGTAAGTTGCCAACAAACGTTGTCATTTAGGCAATTCATTATTCTGACTATTCATCCCCCAAGCCAAAGATACCTGCAACTCCAAATCATTGATCATTTTTGTATGCAAAAAGAATTTGCAAAAAAAAATAAACAGCACCCAGTAAGAAGATTGTGATGAAACAATACAGTATGTATCTCATGCCCTCCAACTGTCCCAATTTGGTAGATGAATCCTCCCTCATTCAATTTTTCTTCTCCTTTTAAAGTATACAATTTTCCCTTTCCTCCTTCCACTTTACCCCTTTCTCCTTAACTTCCTCCAGCTGCAGAAAACTGAGCACAAAGTGTGAAAGTGTTTGCACTGAATTAAGTCAGCAGGGGAGAGGAGGAGGCAGAATCTTGTTCATCCCAATTGGCTCAGGCAAAAGCACACTGCTACAGCTTCTCTTACCTTACCTGTCTTTTTTCACTGACGTTTGTCATCTTGACTATTCTCTGGTGTTGCCACGAAAGTCCCAGGTCTCATTGGAGTGTCTGGAATTGCCTATAAGTCAGAACTGAGCCATAAAACAACAAAGATATCATGATATACACACCCAATGTCTTTTGGAAGGCTGAGTCAACGTAGAAGTTTTTCATAAATGGAGATTTTGGGGTTTTGCAGTAGCTCAGAATAGGGTTCTTTCTTCAACATTTCTAATATAAAAGGAGCAACAGGGGAAAAGTTTGGTTCAACAAGACAATTATCCCTAGCAGCAGTTTGAAATTTACAATTCAGAGGTTTTCTAAGACAACAAAGTAGATTACAGATAATCTGTTTAAGTATACTAGTCCACAGTCCAGAACCAGATTATCCTTAAACCTGGACTTTGGTCAACAGCTGGAGTCTATTGAAAAAACCCACATCTCATTTTGCCATTTCCCACAGTTATAATTGTGGCAGACAATTTGTACATCTTATTCAGTCCAAAGACATCCATTAAAATGTCTCGTACTTTACTGGGTTCTGTTTCATCTCTTGTCCCATCTTATCTGTAAAGTTTTAAGACACTCATATGAGATGGTTAGTAGTAACGTAGCAGTGCTTTTGTAGCGCTTTTAAGGAAGAAGACAAAATATATGAGTTGCTTTATTACTTTCAAATATTCAGGATTTGATTTGTTGCTTTTTCCTTTGCAGGCTGCGGCATTAAATGCAAGGAGATACCTATGGAGCTTGTGTTTGTGATTGACAGTTCTGAAAGTGTTGGCCCAGAAAATTTTGAAATAATCAAAGACTTTGTTACTGCTCTAGTAGACCGAGTAACTGTAGGGAGAAATGCCACCCGAATTGGGCTAGTCCTCTACAGTCTGGAGGTTCGACTTGAATTTGGGCTTAACAGGTATACAACTCAGCAGGATGTAAAACAAGCTATCAGAAAAATGTTATATATGGGAGAAGGCACTTACACAGGAACCGCCATCCGCAAAGCAACCCAGGAAGGATTTTTTGGGGCTCGGACTGGCGTGAGGAAGGTTGCCATAGTCCTCACCGATGGCCAAGCAGATAAGAGGGAAGCTGTTAAACTGGATATTGCTGTTCGAGAAGCTCATGCAGCCAATATTGAAATGTATGCCATTGGAATTGTAAACACTTCAGACCCAACACAAGTTGAATTTTTGCGTGAACTGAATCTCATTGCATCTGACCCTGACAGAGAACATATGTACCTCATTGATGATTTTAATACTCTTCCAGGTGAGCATGCAGACTTATCTCTCAGGAGAAAAAAATATTAATTTGTATTACTGGTTTTTAGAAGCTGAAAGACCTTAGGATCATGTGTTTTGTTGCCTTTATTCAGATGCCTAAATGAGATATAAAACAGAAGATAGAAACATGGCATCTTCCAGGTATTTCTAAGTACAAGTTCTCGGATGTCTTAGTTTTGGCCATACTATCTGGGACTTGTGGAGCTCATAATCCAAAAGTTCTAGAGGACACTATTTCCATCGCCTTGATCTAGGAAGAGTTGTAGTCAATAGAGACTATACAACATAGGAAATGTATGTTATATAGGCCAGCTGATAACACATGCAAAACAGATGCATACATTTACTTGTTTATTATTATGTTGTGGTGGTGAATTGTGCCCTACGAGGACTGTGGAAACCTAGCTTGCAATCAGCTGTTAAATTGATTGTGAGATTGTGGTGAGGAAGAGTTACGTTATTTTGAGGAGTTAATCATCAAATTTGGGGGACTTTTCCCAAGTTTGGAAAATTTAATCATGTTGATATATTGATTCCATAGATCTCAATCAGCATGGGTCTAAGTCTTGAATGTATAATATATGGCTTGAAAACTCCCACTTTTTTCAGCAAGAACCTTAGAGCTTGTTCCTACTGTTTTAAATACAGAAATATAAGATCTGAGATGCTTCTTGTCCTAATTAACAAAGCCTCTAGTGTTAAATTGCTTTTAAATACTGATGTGCTGTACCAACTCAAAAAGAACTTGAATTTGGTCTGACTAGATCTATTTTTAATATTAAGTCTTTCCCAAAAATGGAGAAACCTGTTTGCAAATGTGGTCTGTGAACTAAAAGATCCATTTTTTTAAAAAAAACTAGAACCTGAAGAAATTCTACTTTAGTTTATTATTTTAGTTTGAGATAATCATTTTTATGTTCAGTAGAAGACGAGATAATTTGCTCTGTAGAAAAATACAAAGACCAGGTGGTGTAGGTTGCATTTCAGAGGAATGAACCTCATAACCGCTTCTGAGGCTCCTTCTGAACTGCCATATATAATCCAGATTACCTGCTTTGAACTGAATTATATGGCAGTACAGAAAGGGCCTGAGTATTCTTTACTTAAGAAAACTATTATATGCATGGGGTCATCATAGGTTGACAGATGTCTTAAAGGTACACACAAGGAAAGAACTGAGGTATTGTCATGCAAGATAACAATAACAACTACTACTTCTTTTATGACCCACCACCATCTCCCTGAAGGGCATACATGTGGGACAGAATGTCCACAAGACATAAAAGATAAAACATGGAAGCAGAAAAAGAATCCTATGTGCCTTGTTTCTCCAAGTTAATATGCACAACTGGTACATTGTAAATATGATACCCTAATTAAATTTATATATCTGGAAGGATGAACACCAGGTAGTTGAAAAAATCATTTGGAAATACAGACTGATTCTGGGCAACAGCATTTGCAGAATTGGGTTATATCTCCAATTACAACATTAAGTTTTTCCTGGTATTGGGGCTTCTGTTGTTGTACATCAGAAACAAGTCACTCTTGTATAAAGAGTGGTTGGTTTTCTGTCTAGCACCCAAACTGAAGACATTTCACACCTGGAAATGTGATTATGAGTTGTCCCTGTCTCAACTGTAATGAAGAATCTGTGCATAAGAATTCCAGGTTATTCTTCAGCTTGCTGTATGAGTTAATAAATGCATAGGCTAGAATGTACACACTGTTGTGCACAGTATCATAAAGTTCCAGATGCAAGGATATACTTCTTGCTTCGTAGACAAACATTAACATATATAGTTATAGTTTACGGTGCCACAGATAGAACATAATATTCTAATTATTGCTCCAAAAACCACTAAAGAAACAAGCAATCCTTAAAATACATTTAATGAATATGATACAAATTACAAGAATAACTTGCTCCTTGACTAATATTCATATATTGTCACCATTTAGATTTTTATTGTGTTTTATGTCTTTTTTAAAAATAGCATTGGAATCCAAACTAGTTAACCAGTTTTGTGAAGATGAACATGGTGCCTTAATATATAACCGAGTTGGAAATGGAGGAAACATGAATGGGCCATCTATTCACTCAGTCTCGTCTCGTTCTTCCCAATACATTCTACATACTAACAATCATAATGGATATGCAGTATGGTCAAATGGATATGAAACATCTATGAAAGAGAATTCCATAAATCCTGGCCAGCCTTCTCAAACATCAATTCCGGTAATCATTAGATTTCTGCTATTTTCTGATATTATTATTTTGCTTTACTTGCAATTACAGTGTTGCCATGGATTCTACTTCAGTGCCTCAACAGCATCTTGAGGAATCCCATGGATTTGCAATTTGGTGAAGGACTGACACGATTTGCCTGTGATTTCTAACTGCCCCTTCTGAACTATAAATCCTGAGATGCTGCACACTGTTGCAGTACAATCATAGTGTTATAACTGCCTTTAGTTAAAGGGTCTTAGGATTTTGAATACATCTTTTTAATAAGCTACGTGGTTCTGGTTAATGTCAATAAAGGGACAAAGTTAATACCAACAATCTTGGAAGCTCAAAATCACCTGACTGGAGCTACTTCCATATTTTTAGACCTGCAAACTATTTTTTATCTTGACATAGTAGTCATGGGTGGCAATTTGAGGGTGGAAGTAAAATGGAGGGAAATCTATTAATTGTCCAAATAATACTGAGACCAATATTTACTGATGGAAAAGTTACATTTTAAAATTAGCAGAACTAAATTTTGTTTCAGGACAAAGAATCGCCTGGGATAATTAATGAGAACTATGAAGTGGGATCAGATGGAGAAAATCTCCCATTCTTGTCTCCAATTAATAGCAAAGGTAAGTATTCTCACCATCAGACCTCTAACAGGACAAGGCATAATCAAATATATTGTTGCCATTAAATATTTTCTTTCTAATATTGTATCCTGCAGTAGTTACATCAGCAATGCCATTGTCTTCAACATCTTCGCCGCCACCACCTTTGCCATCTCTAACAATAGAAAAGATGCTTTCACCATCTCATTTATCAACTTCTTCCACGGCACCTACGCAAAAGCCAGGTCATTCCATAGATCCAGGTTTTCTAAATACATACATTTTCATATACAAATAAATGTGGAGTTTGTTTCCAAAAGTTACCAAATCCCCAAAAATTGAAAAATGCATTATAGATGTCAGCACATTGTTGGCCAAGAGCAGAATACAGTATTCAGTACAGATCAAACCTATCAAAATGTATCAAATCACTTCGATACAGGGCTAGGAAAAATGCATTTTATAGTAAAAGAGTGCATATCCTTGACAATTTTGTTTTTCAATTCCTGTATAATATGTTCAAATGGATTTAGTACCTTTGGGAAACAATTTCCACCAATGTATAGTAAGTAAATATTAATACAGTTTAACATGCTGCTGTTGTGATTAGAGAATTCATCAAAGTCAAATTAACCAAAGCTTTTTCTGGTGCTGCTAATCTGGCCAGAGTCCAGCTTAGTATTTCTGCTGATGGAAGAACTCTCTCTCTGGATCCAGGAGGAGATGGCTGCCCATCTGATGCTGAGCAGGACCTTCTTCCTCTCCTTCTTCCACTTCCCTCTGAACTATCTAGACCTAGTCCCCACTGTTGCTCTCAGGACCTACTGGGCAGTAAAGTGAAGAAGAAATAATGTCCTTTTTGGGTTCTTCTTTTGAGGAATAAGGGATTCTATCTCCTGCCTTCCTCCCCACCGCAGTGGATCTGCTGTGACAAATAGTGTGTGTATATGTGCCTTCAAGTCATCCATTGACTTATGGCACCCCCTTACATACCCTCCAACATTTCACATGTTAAAATTAGGGACTTGTGTGGCCAAGCAACATCAGAATGTGTTGATGATTACAAAGGTTACTAATGAGGAAAGACATGCAAACTAGGAGAGCTGGAGCAGTTTGTTCTTGCCTGAGCCTATTGGGAAGGGCAAGACTCCACCTCTTCTTCTATTTCTACTTTCCTCCCTTCTGAGTTAATTGAGTGTAAACCAATGTTGCACAGTTTTGAGGTATTAAAATTAGTATAATGGCAATGAGGGAAACTGGAGAAAGCTGGATAAAAATTAGGACTCAGAGGATTAATCAGTAGTATGCTTGCCAAATCTGGACAGTTGGAGGATAGGTGTATAGTTCCCACAATCAAGAGATTGTAAGAAAAGTAATGAAACATACAACATAACTAGGCAAGCTAGGAAGGCAAAGCCACCACTGTGTCTGGCCCATTGATACGGGTGCCTAAAATTCCTTCTTAGCCTCTTTAACTAACATCTAACCAACCTTGACAGGAACTAGAAATGTAATAATATAGCAGCGGTAGTCCAAACTGAACAGGGACTTTCTTGTATGCCCTAAATGTGTGCCAAAAAGGAAAGCCTCCCTGCTAAGTCCATCCAACTGACCGGAGTCCCCGGTGGCGCAGTGGGTTAAACCCCTGTGCTGGCAGGACTGAAGACTGACAGGTTGCAGATTTGAATCCGGGGAGAGGCAGATGAGCTCCCTCTGTCAACTCCAGCTCCTCATGCGGGGACATGAGAGAAGCCTCCCACAAGGATGATAAAAACATCAAATCATCCGGGCGTCCCCTGGGCAATGTCCTTGCAGACGGCCAATTCTCTCACACCAGGAGTCACTCCTGACACGACAAAAAAAAAAATCAGCTTACTTCAGTTGTTCCAAACTAAGTTTTCAATGCAAAAGAAATTTGCACTCAATTAACTCAGCAGCAAGGAGAAGAGGCAGTGGACTCTTTCCCTTCCCAATTGGATCAGGCAAAAGCAAACTGTGGCTGCTTTTCCTGCCTTGTCTGTTTTTCATGACACGGCTTGGCCACTTGCCTGATTTTCATTTGTGAAGTACCAATATATGCCTGTCAAATCAAATTTTGTTACAGTAACATACTTTTGGAGGTCTGGGGATTGTTCAACTTTGCAAAACAGTTTTGGGTGCATGCTCTCTCTCTCTCTCTCTCTCTCTCTCTCTCTCTCTCTCTCTCTCTCTCTTTCTCTCTTTCTTTCTCTCTCTCACCAGATCTATACATTTAACTGATAATATTAGATTGATATTGGTTCTTTTAAGTGCAAGTTTATTGTGATAATTATTTCTTGAAAGTACCACACTGAAAACCACTATGTTTTGTTTTTGTTTCTCTAAGAAAATATCTTGAGTCCTCCACAGTGTAAGTTAAGATTAGATCAAGGATCATGCCGTGTTTATATAATAAAATGGTATTATGACAAGCAAGCCAATTCCTGTGCTCAGTTTTGGTATGGTGGCTGTGATGGAAATGAGAATCGTTTTGAAACTGAAGAAGAATGCAAAAAGACCTGTGTATTTTTCTCTGGAGGTAAGAACCAATAACTGTTTCTACTATCAAAATTACTATCTCGGCTATTTTTGAAAAGCAAATTGTATTTGTGCTTCCAAAGTTTTGAACATTTAAGGATCTCAAGTGTAGTTCACAAACCCCACCCCCACTAAAATCAGCATCTAAGAAAGAAAATATGAAAAATTAAGATTATCCTTTGTGATAGTCTTTGAAATGTATACTAGTGAATAGAAATATATGGTAATGGTGGGCCAATGTGGATACCCAAATCCATTGATGTTTATATCCCATTATATACAATTGGTGTAGCAAAGAGGGCTGGCTCTACCACAATGAAATAGCTACACCAGGCAGCTAACTCTTAGTATTAGAAAAATGCAGAACATTCTTAGTTATTTATTGGTGTCTTTTTATTTCCCAGGAAGGTTCCTTGGTGCATCTGAATTATCACAATGGCATGCTCAAATCTTGGTTCCTATACATGTTTAAAATGTGTCCAGCTGGCTCAGGCTCCCCTTTGTAAAGAGGGGGCTTTATACCATTGATAGGATCATTATTGGACTGGGAAAATGCAACTAACCTAAACATGTTTAATCAATTTCATATCAGTATCTCCATGTTTATCCTTGTTATATGAATACAAAAGAGGCTGAACATTCAAGGCCTGCTTTGACACCACTTTGCCATTCCCAAGATGGAAAATGAGACAAGCACATTTGCAGCCAACCCTCCTTTGCAGAGAGTTATGAAAGAAGCAATGTTTCTATTCTCATCACCCAACAGTTCAAAGTGGGCGCCAGTGAATAGAAATAGGAAGAGGGGGGAAGATTGTAAATATTTTTGTTTTTAGATGGAGTGATGATGGCTCATTGGGATACAATAGGAAAGCAGTATTTTCTTATTGAAATTGGTGTTGAGTTTTTAGAAACATCATGCACTTGCACTTTGTTTTGCATCCATCCATATCAATGTAAATTATATATCTTGCCTATTTTACAGGTGTCTGAAGGATATTAACAGAAATACCTATCAGCCTGAATTCCACAGGACTCCTTTTGGTGGAGTTTTTAATGCATACTTTTAAAATGTACTTACTAAAAGGGTAGTTTACTATCCTTAAGCCACTTACTCTTGTGTAGTCCTATGAAAGTCAATGGGAGAATGTATGCCATATTGTTGACTCGAAAAGATAATGTGCCAACAGTGTTTGGACACTTGATGGACCATATGTATTTGGGTTTAAAGTAATATTGAATTAAAAAAACAGCAGGGAGCAACAAGCCACTCGTACGCGCAAACGGGTACTGCAAGTCTTATTTTACTGCATATGTTGATTCAAGGCATATGTTGATTCAAGGCAGCCGATGCATGTTCCTAGGTTAGTGAGAAATCCAATGAAAGATGGGATGTTATTTTTATGAGCAGCAAGGATCCAGTGAGGAAAACTCCATGAAGGCTGTGAGGAGGGGGAAGCTCAAATCAAGTGTCTTGACTCATTCTTAGACACCCAGATTCTCAACACATATGACTAAGAGAAGGTAATGAGAACATACCAAGGATGCAAGCAAACCCTGCTGCTAAATCATAGCTGGGAGCAGCAGCAGCTGATACAAGACTGGTTGAGTATCATGCATAGTGTTGTCAGAAAGCCTATTATTCTGAAAGCCTATTCGCTTTATAGAACAGCTCTGCACAAAATGAAGCAGGCCTAAGGTTACTGGTTGTTTTTACCCTTTGGAATATTTAAATTTTCACTTGATTGGACAAATTGCAAACTCGAAGCTTACTCATTCCTCTCTGGGTATTTTGGAAGGAGCAGAGATTTGTCTTTCTTAAGGCCAAGCTATATCTATCAGATTAGTTGCCTTGATAACTTGTAATTTCAGCCTGGGGAATCTATGAAGCTGTCTGATGTTAGGATGAGGATTCTTCTTCTCTGTTGAGTCCTAAAGGTCCATGACTGGGCTTCAATGGATTCATAAACTAGGTGCAAAAATAGTATCATTTACTTGCTGTTACATTATATTTGTCCTGTCATTATGAACTGAAAGGTAAAAACTTATTATTTTCTAGCATTCACTGTAGCTTTTTCTTTCTTTCTTGACTAGTCCGTAATTTCAAATGTTTGTAATAATATAAAATGTATGCAAAATGATGTGTGCATATATGTATTTTTTTTTCTGGGAAGGGGTCTGTAATTTTAATCAGATTGTCCAAAAAATTTCATGAACTAAAATATTGTAAGAATTATTCTAGACTAGTTCTCAACCTGTGGGTCCCCAGGTGTTTTGGCCTACAATTCCCAGAAATCCCAGCCAGTTTACCAGCTGTTAGGGAGCTGAAGGCCAAAACATCTGGGGATCCACAGGTTGAGAACCACTGTGCTAGAAGTTTACCGGGAAATGCTACTGATTCCTCTAAAACTACCCACTGTGGAACTATCCCAAGGGTTGACTCACAAGAATTTAACAGGGACTGTAAAATGTGTTATAGTGGTCACATCTTTCTCCATATGCATACTAAGAAACTTGCTCTATAATTTTCAAAAGCTTCAGGTTGAGGGCAACGATTTAGTCTGTAAACCTATAAACTTTTGCAACAAATCTTGTAAGGAAAAAAGGTCATAACAAGTTCTGTATATAAGAAGGCTCTATGACTGAACCCTAAAATGAATTGTCATGGTTGCATTACTCTGGAAATGGATTATTATGGAATTTACAAAACATAGGAAGTTCAGTTTCCCACCCAATCAAACCATTTACTATTTTATGCAGACATATTATGTATGGTTATCAGCATGATTTCAGCAAAGGCCTGGAATTTTAGAACAATAAAAGGGAATTCTATTTTGAAGATCACATTAGAAATAGAGACAAGGCAGCTGGCATAAAACAGTTGAATTTTCAAATTATATGTTATAAGAACTGAAGTTAATCATAGCATGATACTTTTGCAGTTCTGTTTTAATTTTAATGTAGTATCATGTTTCCTTTTACCTCTAAAATGCTGGCACTTGACAAAACTGAAGAGTTTCACATAATCATAGAAAAAGACCACAGGGGCCATCCAGTCCAACCCCCCTGAATTCCTTTCAAATATTATCAATTCCGGCTTCATCCTGCTGGTTAAAAATACTGTTCAGTGTCAGTATTAATAATGCCATTTTTTGTGTCAGGAGTGACTTGAGAAACTGCAAGTAACTTCTGGTGCGAGAGAATTGGCCGTCTGCAAGGATGTTGCCCAAGGGATGCCCAAATGTTTTACCATCCTGTGTGAGGCTTCTCTCATGTCACTGCATGGGAAGCTGGAGCTGACAGATGGGTGCCCACCCTGCTCTCCAGATTCGAACCGCCGACCTTTTGGTCAGCAGTCCTGCTGGCACAAGAGTTTAACCCATTGCACCACGGGGGGCTCCTCTACCATGGTATAATTACTTATAAAGCTGTGTGACCACTGCCTAAATAAACTATATATTAACATGGCCCATTCCAAAGCATGCTTATTCAGCATGTAATTGAGTAGAAGCCCAAATCGCATGTATGGCAGTCAAAGATTACTTTAGTTTAGACCCTTAGTTTGGCAATAGTAGGCTTCTCGGGGCTCTTGGGTGTCTCACTCCATTTATAAATCAACTTGAAAACAAGGGACAAAAAAAACTGCAGACAAATGTATTACCATAAACAGTAATAATCCAACCCCTTTAATACTTGTTTCTGAGTCTCTGGCTTGTTTGTTGGGTTATGTATATCTACAATAAATATGTACAATATATTTTGTGAATTAAATATATACCAATTCACTTCTGCATTTGTTGATTTCTGTTTTTATTATGGCAATGCAAGTAAAAATAAAATATCTTTTCCCACCTTAATTCAGAATGAGACACTGTATGTTAGCTGTTAGCTTGAAAAGGAATGCTTTTGTAACTCAATATATTTTTTTCCAAAATTATACCAAGAAAAATAATATCCTACTTGTGATGAAAGGAAAAAGCAAACATAAACTGGGCTGTTAAAAAAAGGTACTGTTCCAAAAATAATACTAGCATATATTCCCAGCATTGCCCAGATTTTTTTCTTTGTGTAGCTCTGTTATACAAAACTGGGATTCTGAAAAGTGGAGGTTCAGGTAAACGACCTCCAGTTACCCAGCTTGGCTTCAGAAGCAAGAAACACCACCTGCCAACTTCTCCTCTTTCACCATCTCCACATAATGGGCTGAAGATACCAGAATGTCCTCTTCAGCACAGCCCTGGACTCAGAACTGAGATCTGAATGCAAATTCAATCAGGAAGCATATTGCTCCCAAGGGGACACAATGAAGACTCCTCAAAGGAAATCTAGAGCCCATCATCAGGGACTGCTATCAATTGCCATCGTTTAATAAAGGAGCCCTTCCCAGTCCTGATAAAAGGTAAAGGTTTTCCTTTGACATTAAGTCTAGTCGAGTCCCATTCTGGGGGGTACTGCTCATCTCCATTCCTAAGTCAAAGAGCCGGTGTTGTCTGTAGATGCCTCCTAGGTCATGTGGCCAGCATGACTGCATGGAGCCCTGTTGCCTTCCTGCTGAAGTGGTACCTATTGATCTACTCACATTTGCATGTTTTCAAACTGCTAAGATGACAGAAGCTGGGGCTAACAACAGGAGCTCACCCTGTCCCACGGATTTGAACCACCGACCTTCTGCAGCTTAGTGGTTTCACCAGCTGCGCCACCGCAGCCCCATCCCTGCCCCGATACCCACCAGCAACATTGTCTCCCCTGACACATTTACTCCCTATGTCAGTGAACCCCCAAGGACAGAAAGGGACGGTGCAGATACAGAAGGCAGACTCAAGAATTCTACCAACAAAAGGCTTTATTAAATTTCCCACCATACACTTTACACCAATAAGACTGTGAATCGTAATTTATATCCAAGGAACACAGATATCTATAACAAATAGCAAAACTAAAGTTGCAAACTGTTATCAACAACCATATTGTGCTGTTCTTAACTATGCCTGCCGATTAAATCTGCAAAGTAAAACACTAAAGAATAACACATAAGGTACAAGCCTTAATGATACTTTGTTGTCTCCCTTCGGAGTTTACTCGTAAAGTCAGAGTTTTAATTTCACTCTTCTGTATTCTATAATAAGCTACTGATAGTTATGGCAAGAATATAAACAGCATTTCTGAAACAGACTAAACACTTGAAAAGTCCTTTAGAAAATAACATCCACAAGGTACAAGTCCCAATGATGATGTTCTTTCTTGTTGCGGAGGTTGCTTGTGCAGACAGAGTTTGTATCTTCACTCTTCCGTCTAATCTTTTAAACAGTTGGTAAATACTGAAGAAATAAAGTATTTTCAAAGTATTTACCAACTGTTTAAAAGATTAGATGGAAGATGGCCTGAGCCAAGAATGAGAGTTGGAGGAGCCCAGCTGAGCATTCTATGTCAATTGGTCAGTTAGCTGGAGTTAGCTGGAGTCAGATGAAAAGTAAGCTAGGGAAATACCGTAGTTAAAGTAGTTGACTAAATAAATAAATTATGGCAAGTTCTTGGAGTTAGGGGATAACAAATCACCTTGTCTCTCTCCTGAGGAACTGTATAAAGACCAAGTAGCAACAGTAAGAACTGACCATGGAACAACAGACTGGTTCAAGATTGGGAAAGGCGTACGGCAGGGTTGTTTACTCTCATCCAACCTATTCAACTTGTATGCAGAACACATCATGCGATGTGCAGGGCTGGACGAATGCAAGGCTGGGGTGAAAATTGCTGGAAGAAACATTAACAATCTTAGATATGCAGATATACACTACTTTGATGGCCAAAAATGAGGAGGAGCTGAGGAGCCTTCTAATCAAGGTGAAAGAAGAAAGCGCAAAAGCTGGGTTGCAGTTAAACATCCAAAAAACCAAGATTATGGCAATAAGAATGATTGACAACTGGGAAATAGAGGGAGAAAATGTGGAGGCAGTTACAGACTTTGTATTTCTAAGTGCAAAGATTACTGCAGACGCAGACTGCAGCCAGGAAATCAGGAAACACTTCTTGGGAGGAGAGCAATGTCCAATCTCGATACAATAGTGAAGAGTAGAGACATCACACTGGCAACAAAGGTCCACATAGTTAAAGCAATGGTATTCCCCATAGTCACCTATGGATGTGAGAGCTGGACCTTAGGGAAGGCTGAGCAAAGGAAGAAAGATGCTTTTGAACTGTGGTGCTGGAGGAAAGTTCTGAGAGTGCCTTGGACCACCAGAAGATCCAACCAGTCTGTACTTCAGGAAATAAAACCCGACTGCTCGTTGGAAGGAAGGATAGTAGAGGCAAAGTTGAAGTACTTTGGCCACAGCATGAGAAGACAAGAAAGCTTACAGAAGACAATGTTGGGGAAAATGGAAGGAAAAAGGAAGAGGGGCCGACCAAGGGCAAGATGGGTGGATTGCATCCTTGAAGTGACTGGATTGACCTTGAAGGAGCTGGGGGTGGTGATGGCCAACAAGGAGCTCTGGCACGGGCTGGTCCATGAGGTCACAAAGAGTCAGAAACAACTGAATGAATGAACAACAACAAAGCTGACTGAAAGCAAGAAGCTAGTGACCGTAGAGAGGTTTTTAAAGGACCAAGTGGTCAGGATCTCTATGTCAGGTTAAAGATTGTTAGAAATCAGTTTTAATATGTTGATATTAAAAGGCTTTTAGGAAAGAGTAAAGGCTTGAATGAAAGTCACGCTGAAACTTTGTTTTGTAACATCTTCATAAAGGAATATTTATCTCATCTGTAACCACCAAGCATATATACTTCTGAAACCATCACACTTTGTTACAAAAAGGTTACAAATAAACTAACCATTACTGTTTTACTTTAAGCAAAGTCCCTCTCACTTTCCAATCCTCTACTTCAAAGGAACACTAAATTTATTATTTATTTACAGTATTTTTATACTGCTTTTCTCACCCCGAGGGGGACTCAAAGCGGTTTACACATAAGTAATGGCAAAATTCAATGCCAGTACAATTACAATTATACACTACAATTAGACATAAATCAAGTTAAAAACAGTACATCCACAAGCAATAAAACAATCATTAAAACAATAAAACAGTCTCATCCGTCGAATTGCCATTGTAGTCATAGTCTTTCTGAAATGCTGCATAAATTCACTTCTACTGCCTGAAGGCCTGGTCCCAAAACCTGGTCCTAAAAGCCAGGAGGGAGGGAGCAGATCTTACCTCATTTGGGAGTGTGTTCTATAGGCAGGGGGCCACAGCTGAGAAGGCCCTGTCTCTCGTCCCCGCCAAACGCATCTGTGCCGTTGACGGGAGCGAGAGCAGGATCTCCCCGGATGATCTTATTAATTATTATTATTATTATTAAATTTATTTGTACCCTGCTAGCATCTCCCAAGGGATTCGATGCGGCTTACGAAGGCCAAGGCCTCAACACAACAACAAAACAATAACAATACAATTCAAAGCAAATTAAAAAATTAAAAACATAAGTAATAACAAACATTACACCATTACACAATAAAACCAGGGCTGGGCCAGTGATAGGTACAGGTTAAAAAGTGCTGGGTGTGGCAGGTGGTATGTTGGATTTCTGAGCAAGTGCAATGTGCAGAGAGTCTTAAACTCTAATAAAGTGCTTCTGGGACATAGTGCTGGGGGTTATCCTACTCCGGAAAGGCACATTGGAATAGCCAGGTCTTCAAGTTCTTCCTAAAGACTGCCAACGTGGGTGCTAGTCTAATGTCTTTGGGGAGGGTGTTCCAGAGTCAGGGGGCCAACCACAGAGAAGGCCCTGTCCCTCGTCCCCACCAAACGCGCCTGCGATGCAGGTGGGATCGCGAGCAGGGCCTCTTATGAGATGGGACGTAGGAGTGGATGCGTTCGGAGGTGGCAAAGATATTTTAAACACCCTGGCCTGACAGATTCATTCCTTTACATTTTATGGTGGCAGAAAATCAAACATTATTTATATGTATTAGTGGGATATCTCCAAAATAGCAGGACAGAGAAAAGAGAGGACCTTTTTTACACCATCCTACTCAGAAACGAGTGATTACCAATGATGATGGTGCCAAACTACATTGATACTACGAAAACTAAAGCGTTGTGGCTGGAAAGAGAACAATTGAGTCAAGAGTGCAAGGCAGGAATGGGAGGAGAAACCAAAAGGGGGGGGGGGGTTCCAGCTCAAGCTCTCCAGAGGGAAACCCTCACAGGCTGAGAGAAGAACAAGGATAAAGTCTCCCAACATATCGAACTCAGAGACTTTTGCGCATGCGCGCAGAGTCCTCTCCCACTTCCCCTTTCCGCTGAGGTAATTTGTCCCTCGTCGGCGCCCGTCAGGAAGTTGCCAAGGAAGAACTCGGAGACGCTGAAGGAAAAAGCTGACAGTCGCTATGGCGGCGGCGGCGGCGGCAGCTGCGGCGGACACGCTGTGGGAAGACAGGGACGTCCGCTTCGACATCTCCCCTCAGTGAGTACTCGCGCGCGCCCGAGGGAGGGAGGCGCGAGGACGGCCGCGCGCCCCTCGGTGACCCCCCAAACGCCACTCCTCCCGCTCTTTGGGACTTCAGCTAACTTGGCCAGTGAGGAGGGATTCTGGGAAGGCCTCGCGCTTCCTCCTCTCAGGCCCTTAAAGGAGCAAGGCAACCCAGTCTGCAGCTACATTGTAGAAAGGATGCGGTTTGACACCGCTTCAACTACCTTGGCTCAGTGCTGTTAGAATACTGGCACCTCTAACTAAGTCTTTCGCCCCCTCTGTCAAGCAGTGCTCGTGCCTCACCAAACTACAACTCCCATGATTCCAGAGCATTAAGTCAGGACAGTTAAAGCGTGGTCAGACTGGGTAAATTCTATGCACTTTCAGGGCCCTTCCAGACAGACCCTATACCTCAGGATCGGATCCCTGGTTTTCTGCTTTAAATTGGATAATCTGGGATAAACAGAAAACCTGAGATTAGATCCTAGGACAGGGGTCCTCAAACTAAGGCCCAGGGGCCGAATGCGGCCCTCCAAAGTAATTTACCCGGCCCTCGCTTAGGGTCAACCTAAGTGTGAAATGACTTGAAAGCACACAACAACAACAACAACAATCTTATCTCATCAGCCAAAAGCAGGTTCATGCTTCCCACTGAAATACTAATAAGTTTATATTTGTTAAAATTGTTCTTAATTTTAATTATTGTATTTTTAAGTGTTTTTGCACTACAAGTAAGATATGTGCAGTGTGCATAGGAATTCATTCATTTTTTTCAAATTATAATACGGCCCTCCAACAGTTTGAAGGACTGTGACCAGGCCTTCTGTTTAAAAAGTTTGAGGACCCCTGTCCTAGGATATACGGCCTGTCTGGAAAGACCCTTTCTACACAGCTATATAAAACCCAGATTATCTGCTTTGAACTGGGGGCCCTTCCACACAGTCCTATATCCCAAAATATCAAGGCAGAAAATCCCATGATATCTGCTTTGACCTGGGTTATCAGTGTCAACACTCAGATAAAGTGGGATTTTCTGCCTCGATATTCTGGGATATAGGGCTGTGTGGAAGGGCCTTGGATTGTATTTATTTATTTATTTATTTATTTACTTTGCTTATATACCGCTGTATCTCAAGCCCGAAGGCGACTCACAGCGGTTCACAAACAGTAAAAACAGTAGAAACAGCAGTGGTTCCATACAACATATAACAATTGACTTAACACATTATCCATAAATTACCAATAAGCAATTAAAATGCACAATTATTACAAAAAACAACCGTACCCAATCTTCTCATCATCCAAGCGTAGTCCAGGTTCGTCGTCCATTGTTCCATTCCTATGTTCCATTACCAGATTGCACTAAATTACTCAAACGCCTGCACAAACATCCAGGTCTTCACCTTTTTGCGGAATACCATTAGAGATGGTGCTAGTCTAATGTCCGTAGGAAGGGCGTTCCACAGCCGAGGAGCCACCACCGAGAAGGCCCTATCTCTCGTCCCCGCCAGCCGAGCTTGAGAAGCAGGCGGGATCGAGAGCAGGGTCTCCCCGGAAGATCTCAAAGTCCTGGTGGGTTCATAGGCAGAGATGCGGTCGGATAGGTAGCTTGGGCCGGAACCGTTTAGGGCTTTAAAGGCCAACGCCAGCACTTTGAATTCAGCAGATCGGTAGCCAGTGGAGTTGGCGCAACAGGGGGGTTGTATGCTCCCTGCGCTCTGCTCCTGTTAAAATCATGGCTGCCGAGCGTTGGACTAGTTGGAGCTTCCGAGCTGTCTTCAAAGGCAACCCTACATAGAGAGCGTTGGCACTATAGACTCATATAACCCAGTTCAAAACAGATAATCTGGATTATATAGCAGTGTAGATATAGCCTCAGATGTGCCTCATGCAATTTGTGCCATTTGTTGTTTTAAATCAATCCCCCACGTTTTGTTTCTATGCTTCAAGTCTGAATTGTCAAGCTCTATGGGGTTTTTTTCGTTGAAAACGTACAGGACATAATAATACTGTTTGGCAAATACTCAAAGAAAACAAAGCACCATAAAATACATCTATTTTTAAAAAATCATGGAGCAGTAGTAATAAAAATATAGGGTCTGCTACAGCCATAATACATAGGGCTTAAATACCCTAAAGGCTTTCCGATCCTCAAATCTAGGCAGAGTCACCCCTGTTAATACTTGGATGGGAGGCAGCTAATGAGTATTAGAATGTTGTGGGCCCTATTTCAGATGAAGGAATTGGCAAGACTACCTCAGAGGATTCCCTGTCTAAGAAAACCCTTTGAAATGCATGGGGTCATCATATGTCAACAGTCAATATCAAGGCACTTCCATGCATATAGCCTTATGCCTCAAATAAACTTTAGATAGGAAATATGTTGAGCCTGTTGTAGTTTACAGTTTGCTGTTGAGCACAATGAGTTTTACAGGTTCTTGAAGCTGTGCTCTAGTTTCTTAAAACTATTATCTGCTTTTGGAGCTCTGCCGTAAGAGTTCCCTGACATAAGCTTACTAAAGACTAATGCTGATAAAGAATTACATACAAAATTGTCACATACAAGCAGTCCACAAGTTACAAATACACTACTTACAAATTACTCATAGCAAAGAACAGGGGCGAGACAACAGAAAGTGAGAGAAATCTACCCCTAGGAAGGAAAATTAACTCCTGGAAGAGTTCTCATGGGGAAAAGGTCTCCATTACAGCTGTATCCCCAGTCCTTGTTTCCACAACAAGCCAGGAGCTCCCGGTGGCACAATGGGTTAAACCCTTGTGCTGGCAGGACTGCTGACTGATAGGTCAGTGGTTCGAATCTGGGGAGAGTGGGTTGAGCTCCCTCTGTCATCTCCAGCTCCCCATGCGAGGACATGAGAGAAGCCTCCCACAAGGATGGTAAAACATAAAACATCAGAGCGTCCCCTGACCAACTTTCTTACAGACGGCCAATTCTCTCACACCAGAAGTGACTAGCAGTTTCTCAAGTTGCTCCTGACATGGAAAAACAACCAAGCCACATTTTAAAAATCAGATTTTTACAGGGATAGAAAGTGAGGTGAAATCTCACTACAAGGGTGTTAACCCTTCCCTATGCTATCCAAAGCTTGTGTGTGTGTGTGTGTGTGTATTTTTGGCTGAAGTTACACCTTAAAAATGTACATATCTCAGCTTCCATACAAATTCAGCTTAACAACAAACCTACAAAACCTATCTTGTTTGTAACTTGGAAACTGCCTGTACTGGCTAAATGTCTTGAGCTTATTCAGCAGAAAACCAGCAGTGACTGTGTGTAAGACAGTGTCTCGGTTATTTCACTGCTATCTCTTTATGCCATTGCAGGATTTTAAAACCAATGAATTGTAGAAAAGATAAGATTTGTAAAAAAACAAAAACTTTATATAGGGACCACCAAACACAACGCCCAGACACGCATCAAGGAACATGAAAGGCACTGCAAACTACTCCAACCAGAGAAGTCAGCCATAGCAGAGCACCTGATGAACCAACCTGGACACAGCATATTATTTGAGAACACAGAAATGCTGGACCACTCTCACAACCACCATGTCAGACTGCACAGAGAAGCCATTGAAATACACAAGCATGTGGACAATTTCAACAGAAAGGAGGAAACCATGAAAATGAACAAAATCTGGCTACCAGTATTAAAAAATTCTAAAATTGCAACAGCAAAAACAGCAGAGAGGAAACAGGCAGGGACATCTAATTACCTTTCAAGAAGAGTTTGCTCCAGGCACAGTCAGCCCATTGTATGCTAATCAAGGTGGTCAGTTGAAATATTCACACCTAGCCCAACTGACAAAAGTCCTTTGTCTCACCCTGGTCATTCCACAGATATATAAACCTTTCCCAGTTCCAACAGACCTCACCTCTGAGGATGCTTGCCATAGATGCAGGCGAAACGTCAGGAGAAATGCCTCTAGAACATGGCCATATATCCCGAAAAAACCCACAAGAACTTAGTGATTCCAGCCATGAAAGCCTTCAACAATACAAAAACTTTATTTGTTTATTATCCAGTTTTTCCCAGTTTTTAATGCACCCAACAGCTGTGCTTTAAATAAAACTTTGCTCTCACATTTGCTGTCGATTTTCCTTCTCATGCCTGGAGGAAAATTCCTAAGATACTCTACTTTCTGAACCCATGAGGTCTCTGCAGCCAGCAACATAACCTTGGGTAGTTACTGTCTCTGAGCATCATCTCACATCTCATCTAATATCTCTTATCTCATCCTGGAGTCCCAATTTTGGGAGAAAGGCAAGATACAAATATAACAAGTACAATATTTCTGGCATTGTTATTATTTCAGATATTTGGAAATCCTGAGCTTGTTGGAGGAAGGAAGGATTAAAAATTTAACAAAATAAAACACTTGCCTCTTAGCTGGGTGAAGTTTATTGTTTTCTTGACATTAGCTTGGTTATTGATCAAATTTGAAATCTAAAATGCACTAGGAGAATATCTTGGGAGGGAAAATAGTATTTTGCAATGAGTTATATTGATAAATAGGAAACATTTCATCTGACTGGTGCATATGTTTGTCTATATATGTTGTGTGTCTATGGCATTGAATGTTTGCCATGTATATATACATTGTAATCCGCCCTCAGTCCCCTATGGGGTGAGAAGGGCGGAGTCTAAGTACTGTAAATAAATAAATAAATAAATAAATAAATAAATATGCAGCGTGTGGCTTCTGACACAAGGCAGCTTGAATCTTTATTAAGCTAAACAACAGATCCCTGGATATGTGATCTGAAAATTATCTGATGTAAATCATTTTTTAAGAAAGATTTTTGGATATGCTGTTTTCCCCAGAACAGAAATACTCCTTAAATAACCAAATTTCTGTTCACAGAGAACTGTGTTTTAAAAACGGAAATGTTGGAATCATTACTCATGAATAATAATGCCTGGTATAGATCTGTGAATGAGAGTGTGCAGGCAGAAACCTGAGATACGTGATCCTCCAGAAGTTGATGGACTGCAGCTCCCATCAACTACAACTTGCATGATGAATAGTGAGAGTTATAGTTCCAGGATCAGAGAACCACATACTCTCTAGCTCTTGGCCCATGACGTAGTTGGTGCATTCAAAAACAATTAAATGGGACTGAAAGATAGTGTTCTGTGCCCTCATCTCACCAAAGGCCATTGTGTCTTCAGCTCTCAAAAAACTACAATATACAAACTTTAGAAACAGTGCCTGGGTTGCTTCCCATCATTCTATAAATTTCTTTTCCTTTTTTTTGGATCATGGTGGATGCCATCCTCATAACGTGCTTTGGGGCTTCTTTTTGGCTGAAATGGGATAACGTATATTTAATGAATCAGTAATTATAGGCCAGGGAGAGAATGGGCCCTTTGAAAGATGTAGAAGGCCTTGCTGTTTTGCACGGTGGACCATACTTGCCTCAGAATGTTGTGAGACAGTGTCTAAAAATACCATATTATCATAGGCAAATGAAAATGAGACCAGGAGAAGTTCTCATTGATTGTTTGGATCCTATTGAAGATACCAAAGGAAACAATGGAGAAAAAGGTAACTTCAGATGTGTAAATTTCTAGATTATAAAATTACAGGTCGCATTTATAAACTTTTCTACCTCAAGCTATTTCTGAGCACCTGGGAAACAGTGGGGCATTTCCAAATTGTAGATGAAAATCATTAGTGACTGCAATAACATTTGATATTTCTGCTTCACCCACGAGGCATCCTTTTTGACTGGAAAGGTCACAAAGTGAGTAGACTCATCTTCAGGTAAGGCATTAATTGAAGAAACCCAATCCAGCATTTCAGATGGAGAGTTACGATCCTTCCACACAGCCATATAACCCAGAATATCAAGGCATAAAATCCCACAAGATCTGCTTTGAACTGGAATATCTGAGTCCACACTGCTATGTATTCCAGTTCAAAGCAGATATTGTGGGATTTTTTTGCCTTGATATTCTGGGTTATATGGCTGTGTGGAAGTGCCCATAGTGATAGAAAAGAAAGCTGGACTCCAGGGGGCTCCATTGACAAGAGGTAGATCTCCCTTTTTGTAAACTCACCCCTATATTTCACAGAAAAGTAGTAGACAACAGATTACTTGTGGGTGGCATGAGGCCTACTAAAAGTTCCAGGGTGCTCCCTTGCAGACTTTACAGGAGGGGGAATTGTTCAGAAATTTCCATTTGTGCCCTAAAAAGCCTCTAGGAAACCAGATTTGCTATTTTAAATGATTAACTCTCCCATTATTTCACTTAGGTCCAAAACAGTCTTCAAAAATATGAAGTAGCAATCTTACAATGATTCTTTGGGCCTTAAACTGATCAAAAGAGAATACTTAACTTGGCCAGTTGTACAATCTGAATCTTCAGGGATTTTGGCTATTTATCATTTTTCTTTTGCATGGGGAATATTGAAATTTTGAAAATTCCTTGAGACCGCAGAAGTTTCCCACCTTTCTAGAAAGTCTTGTTTTCATTAAATTTTAAGGTATTAGAATTAATTACTTCATTTTCCACCAATTTGGTCAGAAGTTAGATCTTGAAACATTTAATATTTTCCTATAGCAATTTAATTCTTTAATTTGTCTTTAGGCTTCTTTTCTTGTACAATATTACATAGACAGACCATTGTCCTTAGAATACTATATTCTGGTACTAAACCCATTCAGATGAGGATGTTTATTATTTTTAATAGTCAATAATTACTTTTAATAATTACTTTTAATAGATAATTCACTTAAAATTTCCTTCTTTAACTTTTCAGGCAGACTCTTGGTTACAAACCTACGAATTATTTGGCACTCTATAGTATTGCCTAGAGTCAACCTCTGTAAGTATCAATCCTATTCCTCATTATTATTAATAGTATTTATTTATATAGTACTATCAATGTACAGGGCACTGTACAAGTAAAGCATTTAAAAACGTTGGGTTCTACCAGAGGCATAGAGTCTAAAATATATGACCGTAGCATAGGAAGCAGAAATAATGTCTGTTGTATGTTGGTTGTATGAAGATAAAACAGCTAACTGGCACAGTGGACATGCTCTCTTTCAGCTTATGAGAGAGACACAAGTACTTATACAGTTTTACTATTAGGGTAGGACAAATGCTATTTCCAGCTCATACTGTATCTATCATTCTATTTTGTTCTGGGATAGCTTATTCCATGACAGTGCCAAGAGAGCGTTAGTCTAAACAGAACCTTTGTTAACAAGCAAGCGAGTCATGTGGTGATGTGTATGTAGCTGAAAAGTATCGGCAGAGGTGTGCATGTTGGAGCATGACAATGAATTGATATAATTATTCTCATATAAATGATACATCAATAAATGTTTTCCAAATATTCAGGACATTACAGAACATCAAATTTATATGTGTGTAGATTTTTTTAAACATGTGAAATTGTGTCTTGTTCCACTTTGATTATTTGTTTGTTTGCTTTCTTCTGTTTGTCTATTTGATTTAGAAAAAATATGCTGTTTCACACTTTGAAATGTTGCTTTCATATACTGCATTCTGGTTCAATATCTTGCTTCTTCAGAGATCTGGTGCTTAATATTGAACAGCTCTCAGACTAGTATATAGTGACTTCTTTAACAATATTATTTTTCTCTTTTTGCTTAGCTGTTGGTTACAATTGCTTTGTGAACACAACAACAAGAACTGCTAACTCAGTAAGTTCTAATTACCAATTATCTTGCTAAATATGACAGAGCAATGGAATTCCTTTCACCTCAAGATGTGTTAATTGCCAAACCTTCGACATATTTGCTTTTGGATCCTTATCAGAAGACATTTTTATAGCATTATTATTCTACTTTGCCATGGCAATTAAAAAAGCAGTTTAGAAAGCAGCATTTAGAGAGCCCTTAGTAAACTACAAATCCCCAGAAACCCTCAAGTTTTGTCTATTGGCAGTTAAAATGCAGTGCAGCACTGTAACAGTAGCATGGGCAAACTTCAGCCCTCCCACAATTCCTAACAACCTGGAGGGCCGAAGTTTGCCAGTGCCATAGTGTGATAAGCTTGTTAAGAGTAAACTCATTTTGTTTAGTACAGTTTCTTATCTGATATGGATTATATAGGAATGTCATCCAAAGCCTAGGCATTTTTGGATGTATAAAATCTTTTGATTTAGTTTGGCTTCTGGTTCCAGTAGAGAAATTGATTTTATATGCTATACTTTGTACTGAATACATTTTGTGGTGTCTTGCTAGTTTAGGTGTAATATTTGTTCTAGGGCTATTTTTAAATGATAACACTGAAAATGTATACATTTGTAGCATGCTAAAATATCATGTCTCATGCTTTTCTTCTTCCAGAAATTAAGAGGCCAGACTGAAGCACTTTACATTTTAACGAAATGCAACAATACACGTTTTGAATTCATATTTACGAATGTGGTTCCTGGGAGCCCCAGACTTTTTGCCTCAGTTATTGCTGTACACAGGTAATTGAGCTAGAAATATTCACTTAAACACTTCTGATGCAATTGGATTGGTTGCCTGTGGTACATAAACATTCAGAAGGAAAGAAAGCTTTGTGTGCATTTTGAAACTGAATGTAACTTTGCACTGACATGCAGATGCATAAAATCAGCCCAAGTGTCCAGATCTTATTTCCCCACTCCTTTTTCCTTTTTATACATTAACTTCCAATACATTCCAGAGGTCTGTATGTCTTTATCCAGCCATTTGGAATTAGGTTGTTAAATTTACAAACATATCCAGTCCTGTGCACTTGAGGAGTCCTTTTAATAGAAAAACTGTACCTTATTTGGGAGTTGGCATGTTTTACTTCTGTATTATTAAGCAGCCACCTCCAGAATTTGTTAATTAGAAATGGAATCTACAATGTGTTGCAGTGAGTTCACACTTTGACAGTGGACATTCAGTGACTATCGAGCACCTTTTACTATTCTTAACATTAGATAAAATCCTGTGAGCACTAAGCAAACTGAGTTCTCTGTTACTAGTAATAATAATTTTAAAAAGATATCTTGAGTTCAAACTTATTTTAAGAAATTTCACATAATAGTAATTACATCTGCTATTTAATTCTCCTTTTTTGTGAGTGGGTATTTGATCAAATTATTTTTAATGCAACAAAACTAAAAGGGCACAATAAAAACCTTTTCAGTTTTATTTTAAACATGCTGTTAGAAAATCCAAAAAACTTTACAACTGTGTTGCTTTTTATTCACAGAGCTTATGAAACATCTAAAATGTATCGTGAACTTAAACTGAGATGTGCATTGATCCAGAACAAGCAATTGAGATTGTTGCCAAAAGAACAAGTATATGACAAAATTAATGGTGTCTGGAATTTATCTAGTGATCAGGTAAAGTGCAACATTAAGATTACATATAGAAAATGGCAGTTAGACAGTATTTGTTCCCTCTTTCTTTTCAAATTTGGCAAAGGATCAAAAACTGATTACTTGAAAAGATATGTAATGCAGTGCAAAATGCTAAGCTAAGTTTTTTTGTTTTTTTTTTTTAATGCATGGGCAAAGTTTGCCCCTCCACATGTTCCTGGACTGCAGTTGTCTTGAATATGCAGGAGGGCAGATAAGAATTACAGTCTAATAGCTTTTGGAGGGCTGCATGTTGTGCCTATAGTTCCACTCCACCAATCAGTAAAAACAGTATTAAAAGGTAAAGTTTTCCCCTTGATGCATGCCTCCTAGGTCATGTGGCCAGCATGACTGCATGGAGCGCCATTACCTTCCTGCAGAAGCAGTACTTATTGATCTACTCACCTTTGCATGTTTTCAAACTGCTAGGTTGGCAGAAGTTGGGCCTAACAATGGGAACTCAGCCCGCTCCCCGGATTTGAACCACCGACCTTTTGGTCAGCAAGTTCTGCAGCTTAGTGGTTTAACCTGCTGTGCCACTAGGGTCCCCTTAAAAACACTATATATTATTATTATTATTATTATTATTATTATTATTATTATTATTAATAATAATAATAGTAATAGTAATAGTAATAGTCACTGGCATAGAAGCAGGTTTCTTTTAAGTATAGTACTTAGGTAGATCACAAGAAAGATTAAATCAACAGCCTGCAGACCAAAAGCCTTCATCAAAGGAAGCTTCTGAATATAGCAGAAACTCTTTAGAGCAAAACCAACCCTGTCCTCAAGGTTGTTCTTGAGCTTTGGCACAACCAAAATGTTTTGTAAAATTCATACTATAGTAAAGAAAAATTATATGAGGGACGGTAAGAATGTATGACCAGGAAAGGCATGAATGAAAAGGGGGCTGTTTTCTGAAGTACAGTAATCTTGCCTACATTGTTTTTGAAATATTTTGAAATACATAAAAAGTGGCAACTGGAGTGGGGCAGGACTTAAAATGTTGGAAGGAGGAGCTTGGAATCCGATAAAAGCAAGCCAAAGCATTTGATGTAACTTGAGCTGTGCTGGCCCGAAGTGTCTCTGTCCAGTTTTAAATGTTTCACTCCTGTCCCCTAAAAGCTCTCTTCACATTATTCAATAGCGCATGCAATTGTGGTGTGCAGTGGGAGAAACAGTGGTTCTCTGTCTAGGCTAGGGCAGTTTAATATGGCATATGAAATAAATTGCAGTAACTGTAACTATTATTTATGTTGTAGTTGTAGTTGCTTTGCTGAGCCGGAGCCCCAAAAATGGTTTTTATTTATTTCGCTCCTTACGAAGGGAGGGCAAGTTACTTGCCTCATTGTCATTGGAACAGCCTTAAATATAAAGACTGTTATAAGCACAGAGTGCCCTCCATACATTCGGTGTAGCTTACTACCCAATAAGTGCATAGGATGGATTACAGGCAACCTGTCATTATTTTTGGAAAGACTCAACAAAATAGCTGCTGTTATATTATTCTTAGTTCTTTATCATGTAGTGCTCTTTTGCTTAATAATTCTTGAGGAGGCTCAACTACATAAAAATACTGGTGGACCAAACTTTGCCAGATCGTTTCAAGCGAGGCTCATTCCTCCCAGCTCAGTCTCAATGGGTGCTTGAGCTTAGGATCCATGTTTCGGAGTAGAACTGTTTTCTTTTTGGATGCTAGTGTTTCCACTGTGGCATACGTAGCTAGGATTACCTAATTTTAACTTGCATGCCATCACACTTGAATGCCATATTATTTTGAGCCATGTCGGAACACCAGCAGGGGGTGGAGGGTTGTCCTTTCAAATTGCATTGTAATTCTTCCCACTGCACTATCACAAAAACCTTACCCAATGAGCTTTGTATTTAAATGTTTACTTAAATATTTGTCTCACTAAGTGAATTTTATTTTTTGTTTAAATTTTAACTATAATCTAAAACTGGTATAGAAGATACGAACTAATTAGGTTTCTCTTTTGTAGGGAAATCTGGGTACCTTTTTTGTCACAAATGTAAGAGTAGTTTGGCATGCTAATATGAATGACAGCTTTAATGTCAGTATACCTTACCTACAAATTGTGAGTACCATGATATTACAGTTACCATTGTCAACCAAGTATTAATAATGATGGCAAATGTTACTTTAATCTAATATATTATTTGCATTTAATATGTTTTTCTTGGGGGAACATTTATGATACTATTGTGAATTCATCACTATTGACTAACAAACTTTGGAAATGCTGTGAATAGATGTCTCCTGTAATTCTTGAGCTGGATGATGGTGAGGAAAGTGGCTTTGACTTTGGCCTTGGTTCTTTCAGTTAAAACCCTGACCAGAATGAGCTTCTTGGGATACCATTATTTAATATTTACTTTTCAAAACTTCCACATGCAGTAAGCTGGTGGTTTTGTGACTTTGTTTATTTGGGTTGTCTGTTCTCAGAGACAACAGCAAGGAGATTCCTTCTTCATGAATAACCGCTAGGACCTAATTACACATTAATTTGTTTGTTTGTTTTTGAATGTTTACATCCATCCCCATATCTAAAGATCTCAGGGTGGTTTACAATAAAATGTTAAAGAATAAGTAATAACAACTAAAAAGGTTAAAAAATTATTTAATAGAGGATCAGTTAAAAACCAGAGGAGTTAAAACCAGTTAAAGCCATTCTAAACAGTGCAACTCGTAACCCATATGGTAATCTGATTATAAAGTATAAAATGAAAAGAGAAATTAGATAAATAACATTATTTGTTGATTTATTTTGGGCATTTATACCTCACCCTTCTGCCGGAAAGGTCCCCAGCAGAGCTTACAGGACATGTTTTCCAACCTTTCATCCTGTCTCCATATGGGATGGTTGTTCCAATTGTTTGTGGAGGGGGCTGCCTTGTATACTGCTGACAACTCTCACAAGATCCCATGGGTTGTATTTATCCACTTATAAATAATGTTATTCCAGTGATATCATTAATGATGAGTCACTTAGCCTTCAGATTTACAAGACAGGCCAGTGATGATGTTACTATATGACAGGTGGGGTGGAGAGCTTAAAATATAGTCACTTGAATAACTTATTGAGTGAGTTGAGATGAATATTTGCAATCGGGGGATTTTGGTTCTCATGTATTAGGAATCATTATGCTACCCAAACTCTAAAGTTAAAGCCAGTTCATTTGATTTCCCTTGCTACTTGATTAGCATACTAATTGTTAATCAAAGTGGTTATAGTTATATGTAGTAAAGACATGCGAAGTGTACTTTTTACCAAAATTCACCAAATCATATACTTCTTAATATTCTTGGACTGTTCTTGTATGGAAGAAGAATGACGCTAGAATTACAAATTACTAGAAATAGAATAATGTAAAATAATGTAGAGCAGAGTCACTGTTGGCAATATTGCTTCTTTTATAGAAACACACTTGAAGGAAATGTTTCAAACCAAAATAACCTTTGTTTTTACCAGCGTTCAGTAAAGATAAGAGACTCAAAATTTGGCTTGGCCCTTGTCATTGAAAGCTCTCAAGCGGTAAGAAACTCTCATTTTCATTCAGTTTATAACATGATCCTTGAAACTCTAGTAAATCTTCCTTTACAAAAGTGAATTTAAAAACCGGTACATGGTGATAATGTCTGCTTTGTTTAAGGGAGGAGTGGGCAAAGTACAGGCTAAGGCAGTAGGCTATTAGGAATTGTGGAAGTTGAAGTCCAAAACACCTGGAGGGCCAAAGTTTGCCCATATCTAGGCTACGGTCTACCTATGGAATCTCTCAACTCCCACAGTCCCTTTTGTAAAAAGATACAGAGAGCCTGGGGAGGAATATTTGCCACATACTACCTCTGTTCCTGCCCCCTCCCCCATCTGTTTTAGAGCAATTGGGACAGTTTTCCCAAATTGAACATGATATTTGTCATTCCCTAGATAAGAAAATGAACTCTCCTGAGCCTAAAACAGGCCAAAGAAGTCCTCATACATAATAAAAAAACCTCCCAGATTCTCCTCCCAGGTGGAAAATTGTTTATATATATATACACACACATGCACACACACACACACACATTCACACCCTCCCCTCAAAAACATTTAGGAGAGAAGGTTCAGCCCTGCTTCTAGTAGAAGGTGTATCCATTTCTCTGGGATTTCCCCCGTCTTTAGGACGTCATGGTAGTATGACAAATAGGACAGCTGAGTTATGAATGTACCAAATAATGACCATGATAAATGAGCACCAGGTGACTAGTGAAATCTCTGAATGAGACACCCACATGTCAGTTTGATCACTTACTATTTTGAGTGCCATGTTCTTGAGAATCTTTTAACAAGAATCTTGAAATTATTTTCTTCTGAGTAGTTAGTAGGACTGTTTGTGAATAATTTACCTTATAAATGTATGTATTCTTGCTTGCCTTTATCATAGTACATCTAAAATGAGATTGATTTTTGCAATACATGTTCATCTGAAATATTGCTGTTGTCTTTGTAGCTAGCTTAAATTTATAATCATCCACAAAAATATGATATTGTTCAGGCATGGGCAAACTTCAGCTCCCCGGGTATTTTGGACTTCAACTCCGACAATTCCTAACAGCCTACCAACTGTTGGGAATTGTGGGAGTTGAAGTCCAAAACATCTGGAGGGCCGAAGTTTGCCCATGCCTGATATAGTTCATACACATACCCTACACAAGCCTACAAATAATACAGTCCTATACCTTTTTATTTTGATGTAAGTCTCATAGAGCTTGATGCACTTGCTCCCAGATTACTATGTAGGATTATAATTTAAATTATTGTGTTTCTGCAAATTTGCTTCAGCATGTGAGACTATATTGTACAGATTAATACAACTTTCATTCATATTGGTTTAGTCTGGCATAATATGATTTGTGGCTTATCTGTGAATTGCTATACAATTTATAGCCCTGAAAATTGATATTCAAATCAGCAAAAACTAAAATTATCCTGATCCAGGTAATTATTGAATTCCTTTGCTTTAATTTGCTTATATTATTCTTTTCCAGACTGGAGGTTATGTGCTTGGGTTTAAGATTGACCCCGTTGAAAAACTAGAGCAAACCGCTAAAGAAATAAATTCACTGCATAAAGTCTTTTCAGTTAATCCTATATTTGGAGTGGATTATGAAATGGAAGAAAAGGTACTCAGATTTAAAGATGTGGTGTTAGAAAATTTAATTAGTCACTGTTTCTATATTTAAAAGTTGAAGGTATAGATATTAGTGGTTGCTAAATTTGTGTCGTATATTAATCTGCAGCCCAAACAGCTAGAGGACCTGACAGTGGAGCAGGTACAGGATGATGTGGAGATAGAAGCAGATGAGCAGACAGATGCTTTTGTGGTAAGGTCCTCTTGAAAAATAGCAACCCTCTGGCTTATTTCTATAACTTCATGCAGATTTAACTTTTATAGTTGTCTTCTACAGCTTATATCCGGTAGTATGTCTCATCAAGTCTAGTTGAATATATTCAGACAATCATGTTTTACTAAACATCTGTTAATGAAATGAGACTGGGATCTACAGTGATTATTTCAAATTTAAAAATACTATCACATTTCTGTATTTCTTTAATTAATTATTTAGATTCTTAATTATGTGGCAGCATTGCTGATGTTATGAGCCCAAAGTCCCCATGAAAGTGAAAAAACATGACTTAAATTGGCATTTTTTTTCCTAAGAGACTATCTATCTAGGAATTTCTAGGTTTTCCAGCATAACTCTGTGATCAATTTCCATTAGGACATCTGGAGAACATGAACTATAAGTGTGGATTTGCGTAATAATACTGTATTTTATTGAATCTAAGGTATACTGTTTCCTGTTTAAGGGGCTTCAAAAATGGGGATGCCTTAGATTAAATGGCGCCTTAGATTTGCTGGGTTTTGATGGTTTTTCAAACTATCTTGGCCCTGAAAGAGGAGGAGGAGGAGGAGGAAGGCCCCAGCCCCAATGGCTCTGCCATCTGCCACCATTTTATCCTCAGCCTCAGCAAATGGCTGTGTTTACCATCTTTCTGAGCTAAGTGCAGCTTCCTCCTTCTACTGCCCCTTCAATAGGCCCATAGATTCAGTAAAATAGACACATGCAGATAATATAACTTCCAGGTTTCTTCACTCACCCCTCCTCATCCCACAGGAAAGATTGTACTCCAAATTGATTTGAAACAAAAATAAGATATTGTGCAAGCACAGAAAAAATATATTGTAAGAAAAGTGTTTCTTTCCAAAATTGAAACTTCAAAAATGGGATGCACCTTACAGTCAACGATATGGTGAAATACGGTAGTAAATTCTTCAGTTTTTTAGGGAGCCAATCCTAACCTTGTTTTTTAACTCATTAAATACATTAAAATCTTGATATCTGTATTACAATACATCATCTTAAAGTGGAATTCCTAAATGATTCAGAATTATTATGTGTTGTGCTTATTAACATAAATGTTTTCTTTGTATGGAAACAAGCTTACTGAAAAGGAAAATGTTTTTCAAATCATCTTAGATATAACAGACATCTGTAGGTTTTTCATTGAACTAAGATACTGCCTATGCTTGAATTAAGTCATATCTAATTTTTAAAATATTTTTAAAATGTTAAACAAGTGCTTTTTCTGTTGTAGGCTTATTTTGCTGATGGAAACAAGGTAAGAAATTTCATATTTTAAAATTATAATGATGTATAGTCCCTAATTGATAATTTTAATATTTGTTTGTTTTTATTTTTTGTCTTCCTTCTTCTTTCCTGAAAAAAGCAACAGGACCGTGAACCTGTTTTTTCTGAAGAGCTAGGACTTGCAATAGAAAAACTAAAAGATGGATTCACACTGCAAGGACTCTGGGAAGTAATGAGTTGACATTAATATATAAATAAGTATATTTAGTCGCGCTTCAGTACTTTTTAACAAAGAGGCTAAAATACCCATTTTATGGAGATTTTATAAAAGAATAAATAATTGTATACAGTGTATAGTTTCCAATAGGAATTATATTTGTAAGATATATTTATGTACTGTATTTTTAATATGTGTATGGTGCTTTAAGTTTTAAATTATTTGTTTAGAATATTTGTATTGATCTCATATAAGTCTAAATTGTGTTATTTAACAAAATAAAATGAGAAAAGATGTGATACTTCTGAATGATTCCTTTCATTTGGTACCTATAATACCTTGCAAAATGTTTTCAAATGAGGACTCTGATGTGTGTTTGCCCAAATGTACCTGTTTTAAATTCTGCCTATGTGACCTGAAGAGACAATTAAACAATGCTGTTCCTACTCCAATTGCTATACTCAATTATAACCACATTCCTTCTCTAACTAGGAGTTTGCAAACTCCTAGCCTAATGGTCCCTAAATTTGAGTCCTTTAGGTGTTTTGGACTTCAGTTACCAAAAGCCCCAACCATCTTGGCCAATAGTCCAGAATTCTGGAAACTGAAGTCCCATACATCTGGAGAAAGTTTGGGAGCCACTCTCCTAGCTAATCACCCCCAACATAAGATAATGAGGAAGTAAGTGAAAGTGTAATTAAGATTCTTACAAAACTATACAAAGGAGGGCTTTGAATACATTAAGACTGTTAAGATAAAGTAAAGAAGTCAACTGAGAAAATCGTGAAAAGGTAGAAAAAACAGCATCATTGGTCTTTGAGAAAGCAAAGGCCAATAATAACAGAAATGACAGTGCCAGAAATATATTGAGAATTAATAGAAAATGGATAGTCTGCATCAGCGAACATTATGAGACTTCTGGGTTACTTTACTACACTATCTGCATCTCAGGAACCAAATATGAAATTTAAATATTACTTTGGCTGATGCTCCAGTAGTGGCTCTTAATGTGGCAGCTATGACACTCCTTCAAAGAGGTGGATGAAAGGAGAGCAGATATAATCATGAAAAAAGCTCATGAAGCATCAGCTAAGACTTTGAGAGCATCTACATCAGTATCAATGTTTGTTTGAACCATGATATTACAAGTTCCACACAGGAATTAGACATACAAACACTTAATAAGGCATTGAAAAGGATAACAAAAGTATTGTAATTCATAGCTAATTCATATCATGATGCAACAATCTTAGCAGCACGAACCATCAATGTGATAAGGATAGGAAGGTGATCACTGATTACAGCTTTGGGAAGCAAATTCCAAATCTAAAAATATTTTTTGCCTTCATGCCATTTAAAGGGGAATTATTATTTTGGGGAGAAGCACTAGATAATATGTGAATTAAAAAGAGAGAGAAAAAAGATGATAAGGCCTTTTCATAAGAGACAATATGATAGGAGACCCTTTAGGAGTGGATATGATTTGACTTATTCCTTGTGAGTAGAAAGAGGATGATTCAGGCTTGGTTTTTAAGCCTGTTCCTGGGATTATCTGGGACGCTTATTCAGAAAATTGCATTGGATAGATTGCATCAGCTTTAGTTTCTTATGGTTGTTATGGTTTTCTGTGGGCAAGCAGATGGCAATTGACATATGTTCTGTATCAAAAAGTAGATCTAATAAAGGAAAACCGGGGCCATTTTTTAAATCTGCAGGTCAAATATACCCAGAAACAAGTCTAACATTTGAGGCAAATGTGTGATGGTTAGTGCTATAGATACCAGAATCAAAGAGTTAAACAGAGACTACAATTTGGTAAACTAGGCCAGTATGTTGAACACTAGTAATAGCGCATTTCCACGGAGAGGAAGAACCTAGTATTGACAGAAATGTAGCACCAGTAAGAGGAAGATTAATGTCACTTAGAAGTCTTTGGTCTCAAATAACAAATCAATGGTTAAATCAGGTAGTCATGTCGGGTTACAGAATATTGTTCAATGGGACCTCATTATAGATGCCCCCCCCCACTCTATTTTGTTACGTTTCACCTGCAAACATCACTGGCATGCTGCCTCATAGCAACCCACGCGCTCTCCCTCCTTTCCCTATCACATGGGGGTATCAAGGTGCATTGGTGCCCTATTCCTTCTCCCATCAGACGGGGGAAAGGGTAGCTCCTCGCCAACCATGGTTACTGTGGTTGGCGAGGAAGTATCTTGCAACACTTCCTCACCACTTCAGCCATCATTGGGATGAGGCCATGGCCTGCATCGTGTGATGCGATTCAGTAGGATCTGTGGCCGAAGAGGAGTAAGGAGCCAAAAGGTGGTAGCAAAGTCGAATTTCATTTCTCACAAGTGCCAAAGGAATGCAGAAAAAGAATGACAGCTTTATAAGAAATCAGACATTATCTGGAGCTCAAACCAATAAGGTTGGCATTGTTTAATTTTTCCCTGAAAGTAACAAACTGACACATTTATATAAGAGCAGACAATGGGACTGCGAAAACATATATTTCAAATGTAAAATGTCTACAATCACTGTCTTTAATAACAGAATTCAACAAGTTATTCCATTGGATGAAAAGAAACCTGCTATTAATCTCAGCAGAATATTTTAGATGCCAATAGAATATTTATGCCAAATGTAATCCTTCCAGGAAAGTGACTATTGAACATGTCGTTACTCACCCCAAGCCACGAGGAGAGGTGGGTAAGAAATATAATAATAATAATAATAATAATAATAATTATTATTATTATTATTATTATTATTATTATTATGTGTCTTTCATATTATACAATACAGAATGTACATATTAAATCCTTCACCATATGTTCCCTAGCTATTACTGCCACAGATTTGAACCCAAAAGACTTCATTGTTGGTGAATACGCTCTGTCCGTAACATAAAATCTAGGAAATGTTAATTCGTGTTCTTTGGTGATGTATCTCCTCATTCTTTATTTATTTGTTGACTTTTCTACATCCAGTCCCTATCGCCAAACCATCATCTTACTAAACATATTCTATATGAAATGTAAAATAAAAACTTTTGGGAATATATAAAACATTCAAATGGCATGAATTCAGTTTCTGTGATGATAAGGAATATATAACAGGAAGTTATCACAGCAAAATCACCAGCAATTTTTTTTTTTGCAGTGATGCAATCGGTTAAACCCTTGTGCCAGCTGAACTGTTGAGCTGAAGATTGGGTTGTTGACCTGAAGGTTGCTGGTTCGAATCCACGAGACAGGTTGAGTTCCCATCTGTCAGCTCTAACTTGTGGGGACATTAGAGAAGCCTCCCAGCTAACACATCCAGGCAACCCCAGGGCAACGTCTCTCTGTAGACAGCCAATTCTTTCACACCAGAAGTGACTTGCAGTATGTTCTCAAGTTGCTTCTGACATGATAAAAAAAAACCCAGCAAATTATGTGGCCCTTAGGTGAACCCCAAGCAGAAATCAACTACTAATAATCTAATTTAAAAATCCAGTTCAGCTTTGTTTTTAAGGGTAGAAGTTAAAGGAACAGCATAATAGCTGTATCTATCCAGTGAGCCAACAGTGTTGCATTCAAAATGAAATGTCATTTATTGTTTGAGAGGGGCAGCTGGTATGATTTTACATGAGGTGACTGCATGTCTTCCATCTCTATAAATGGAAGAATGTCAAATGACCTGTCTATCCAGCTGTTGTTGTAGCAGCTGATCTTTCGAGTATACATTGAGAGACGCCCATTTAAACTTTCCTACTCATATAGAGTTGAATTCAGATTGAGGCAGTCACACTTCAGTCACATTATATTCAGTATCATCCGCATCACCTAGGACTGATTTTTACATTTTAATATGGCTATGAGAACCAGTGTGGTGTAGTGGTTTGAATGTTAAACTAGGTCACTGTGAGGTCAAAGTTCAATTCCCCACTGAGTCATGAAAACTCACTGGGTGACCATGGAAAAATCACACACTCCCAGCCTTAGAGGAAGACAAAGGCAAATCCCTCTATACAAATTCTACCAAGAAAACCCAGTGATGGCATCACTTCAGAGTAGTCATTAGTCAGAACCCAAAAACTCAACAATTACATGTGACTAATTTGTTCTACATCCATTCCATGACTTTTGGTGGTATCTATTCTTATTAAAGGTACAAAGGTGACTTTCAGTAAAATGTATCAAATGACAAGTTTTGAATAACTTTCCTATAAATTGGAACCTAAGAATTTGTTATTAACTATTGTCTGTTTTGTTGGATTCCAGGAGGTATTCTTTTGTATTGAGCCCATTTCTGGTTTTATATGCTGTGCAACATATTCCCCAGTCTGAATGGGCATTTATGTCTAGCCCACATGTAAAGCACTAACGAGATTATTAAAAATGCATTTAAATTTTGGGACTTGATCCACATTTTTATTGATTTGTTGTATACTTCCTTTTTCTCTCTCTCTTTTATTGAATTGGTCGGTGCTTTCAACCAATTATTGTTGTTCATTCATTCATTCAGTTGTTTCCAACTTTGTGACCTCATGGATCAGCCCACTCCAGAGCTCCCTGTTGGCCGTGGCCACCCCCAGCTCCTTCAAGGTCAAACCAGTTACTTCAAGGATATCATCCATCCATCTTATCCTTTTTCCTTCCATTTTCCTTCCTTCTCATTATTAACCATTACCATTGTGTAACAGCTAAATATCTTAACAAGACATAAATAACCTTTTAGATATTGATTACACAGGTGTTTATTTTTCTAGGAGTATGAAATGCTTTCATTTGTCTGAAACAGTGGTTTCCAACCTGTGGTCCATGGACCACCAGTGGTCCCCCAGAACAAAAATATGGTCCATGGCCTCACCATTACAACACTGTTGCCTCGAAGCCACGTGGCAACGAGGGCGACTGGTCTCACAAAACTCTCTCATAGTGCCGAAGCAACAGGAATGTCGGGAGGGGAGAGGCTGACTACCCACGAAAGATTACCACTACCACGTCAACTCTAGATTATTAAGTATGGTTTTTGGTGGGCGAACAGATGGCAGCTACTGGATGGCATATGTTCTGTATCAGAAATTAGAACAGATGTGGTCTATCCAATGCAGTTTTTTGAATCAGCAGCCCAAATAACCAAACCGAAGTTGACCAAAAAATGATTCATAACCCCTTTGGTACTAATGTTGGAGAGTGGTCCCTGGTCAAGTGGTTTCTGATCAAGTGGTCCCTGGTCAAAAAAAGGTTGGGAACAACTGGTCTAAAATATATTTAAATGATTTTATGAATGAACATCATACGTTCACCTGATGATTCCATATTTTAAAATCATGCTTGAGGGTAGTAACAAGTATGTTTTTGGGACCTATTCCATAGCAACTATCTTTAGATCTAATTCTGACTCCTTGCTAATGCAGGGATCTAAGTATATTCTACAAGTAATCTCAGTGATTCAATGTGTGTAACCAAGTAAAACTGATTCCTTAGTGACTAAAAGCAACAGTTGCTTCTTTCAACCCATGACAGCTGCAAGCCCCACTCTTCTTTCCACACCATCCATTCGAAATTCCAGTTTGTGAAAGTCTGTATCTATATTTAGCTGTCAAGATTAAATTACAGGACCTTCAAGCTGGGCAAAGTGCACTGATCTGCCTTTTCTAGGCAGACCTAAGTACCAACAAGAGGGCTCTCTCCCTTAGCTCCTTGTCCAGATCTCCACAAAATGGATTCTCAAAGAGAACTCACTGAAGAGCTTCGACTTTATCAATCCACTCTTCTGCAAGATGGCCTCAGGGAGCTTTTGGAAGAGAAAAGGTTTGTCGATTGCTCCCTTAAAGCTGGGGATAAAAGCCTTCCGTGCCACAGACTGATTCTGTCGGCCTGTAGTCCTTATTTCCGGGAGTACTTCTTATCTGAGCAAAGTGAGGAGAAAAAGAAAGAGGTAGTCCTTGACAATGTTGACCCTCTCACCCTTGACATGATTGTGAAGTACCTTTATTCTGCCAGCATTGACCTCAACGATTCAAACGTTCAAGATATTTTTGCCTTGGCGAGCCGCTTTCAAATCCCCTCTGTGTTCACCGTGTGTGTTTCCTATCTTCAGAAAAGGCTTGCTGTAGGTAACTGCTTGGCCATCCTCAGGCTGGGTATCCTCCTCGACTGCCCAAGACTTGCACTTTCTGCCCGTGATTTTGTGTCAGACCACTTTGTGAAGATTTGCAAAGAAGAGGATTTCATACAGCTTGCCCCCCATGAACTCATCTCGATTATTTCACAAGATGGCTTGAACGTTGAAAAGGAGGAAGTGGTTTTCGAAGCCGTAATGAGGTGGGTGAAGAAAGATAAAGAAAACAGAATGAAGACTCTTGTAGAGATCTTTGACTGTATCCGTTTTCGGCTGATGGATGAGAAATACTTCAAGGAGCATGTTGAAAAAGATGATATAATCAAAACTAACCCTGATCTTTCCAAAAAGATCAAGTTGATAAAAGATGCATTCACTGGGAAAATGCCTGAACCGACCAAAGGTGCGGGAAAGTCAGCCCAAGGAGAGGTTAATGGTGATGTCGGGGATGAGGACTTACTCCCTGGTTGTCTGAATGATATTCCAAGGCATGGAATGTTTACCAAAGATCTCATTCTTCTCATCAATGATACAGCTTCTGTGGCATATGATCCTACAGAAAATGAATGTTACCTGGTAGCCCTGTCAGAACAGATTCCTAGAAATCATTCCAGCATTGTCACAAAACAGAAGCAGGTCTATGTGGTGGGAGGACTGTACGTGGATGAAGAGAACAAGGAAGCCCCTTTCCAGTCATACTTTTTCCAGGTATAAATCTTACGTTTCTCATTGTCATTTCAGTTCTGCAGAGGGGTAAATTGATTTTAAAAAGTTAAGTCCACATCCTAAAAGACATTGCTTTTCTGTGGACTTTTGGAAAGCAATCTTTTAAATTCATTATCTCTTGGTCTCTGCAAGTTTTGCATTTCTGTATCCTAATTCAGCATCGTTTCTGACTAGAGGTCTACAGATGCTTAAGAATGTATCCCATAATTTTTCAGTCCTGCTTTCTAGATAATACTAGCATATTCTAAGCTATCTGAGAGGCTAAGAGGAGACATGATGGCCATGTATAAATATGTGAGGGGAAGTCATAGGGAGGAGGGAGCAGGCTTGTTTTCTGCTGTCCTGAAGTCTAGGACACAGAATAATGGCTTCAAACTACAGGAAAGGAGATTCCACCTGAACATTAGGAAGAACTTCCTGACTGTGAGAGCTGTTCAGCAGTGGAACTCTCTGATCTGGAGTGTGGTGGAGACTCTTTCTTTGGAGACTTTTAAGCAGAGGTTGGATGGCCATCTGTTAGGTCTGCTTTGAATGCGATTTTCCTGCTTCTTGGCAGGGGGTTGGACTGGATGGCCCACAAAGTGTCTTCCAACTCTAGGATTCCATGAACTCATTTCCACTATATCCCTTCCCCCACCCCAAAAGCTTTTTAAAATATTTTAAATAGAACTTATTTAATGCTGTGTCGGCCTGAGAAATGTACATGTAAATTAAAGTGGGTTTTATTGATTTTATAACAGAAATTATGGCACTGTGCCACTCTGTTGTAACAGCACAACTGAGACATTTGACTGGACGGCATTTGATCATAGCATGCCTTGGAAGTACCATCAGTCCAGAAGAGCCAACTATTTGTTCCTGTGTGTTCCTTTAGACCAGGGTTGTCAAACCCATTTTCATGAAAGGCCACATCAGTCTTAGGGTTTCTTTCAAAGGGCTGTTTGTAATTGTAAGATTTTATAAATATAACTATGTTACCTTAACACTGAAAGCTCCACAGGGCACATAGAATGATTTTATGGGCCGGATTTGGTCCGCGGGTCTTGCATTTGACATATGTGAATGAGACATTTTGCTAAAAGAGAAATGGGATAGGATCAAAGATTATTGACATGATCCTACTCTTTTATATGCCAGTTCAGGTGAACATTTAGCATGTGATGGAATGATGGCTCTTAAAAGGTTTTTAAAATACTTTAGAAGAAGAATTGACTATCAGTTGACAGTACTATGTATCTGCATATCTGTGCTCATGAATACTAGAGGCTGTAGTTACAGTTTTTGGAAAGTTTTCATAGAAACTGGTTTGCCATTGTGTGACAAGAATGGTAATATATATAGGTTTTTTTGTTTGGTCCAGTATAATTTATGTTCTCAGATATTTCATGTGCCTTGTCTATGCATTTTCTACTTTGGTCTTCTAATTTTCCTTAATTTAGTTTGATATTTCCATTTCTGATGGCTACAGTCTATCTTCACCATGCAGATGGAGCTCTTCCCCTCACAAGAGTTTCCTCTTTCATTCATTTCAGTACAGGAAGTAGATATTATAGCCATTGCTTTTCCCTTGCAGATCAGATTCCTCAGTGTGAAACCCAAGGACTTGTAGGATTCTAGGTCAAAAATCACAACCAGCAATGAGCCTTGAGTTTGCATGTTCGCTCCTTTGTCTCTTGTGGTGAGGCTGTGAGGACATCAGAACAATCTGCTTCTGCTTATAAACCAGTTAGAATTCCCTGTTGTATCTGGATTTGAGGACACTGATTACTTTAGTTAATGGATAACCATCAGTTTGTTAACACATCAGGATTGTAAACAACAATGGGTTGTATGTATTGTCGAAGCCTTTCATGGCCAGAATCACTGGGTTGTTGTTGGTTTTTCAGGCTATATGGCCATGCTCTAGAAACATTCTCTCCTGACGTTTCGCCTGCGTCTGTGGCAAGCATCCTCAGAGGTTGTGAGGTCTGTTGGGTTGATGGGTTGCTCCTTATTGCTTGAACAAACCAGAGTTTGAGCATAGAGAAGACATCAGATATAATGAGAAACTCCTCTTAATTTAAAGTTAGGAAGGACAGATGTCAAATTAACTACTATGAATGTTAGGAATCATGACAATGCATACTTAATGAGTTTGGAACCTCTGTAGGAAGCACATATGAAGTCTGGTGGGCAAGAAGTTTCTAAGGAGCAGCAGTTAATAGAACAGACTCGGGAACTTAATTAAAATTGTACTGAGAAACCAAGAAAATGCACAGAGAAATCAAAGCATTAAAGATGCTCTCTTAAATATACCTTAGAAGCAAAAAAAATGTAGACAATTTCCACTTCAAAGCTCTTCCATTAGGCTTGGCGTTGGCACACAGGATCTTCACCAAAGTATTAATTCAACTGATATCTTTTGTGATACAGCAACAATTATCTTTTTCTGAAAGCCAAGTGCAGACAGGAGGCAGAACATAAACTCATTCTCACCTTATAATATCTACAGACTTCTTATACATTTCAAGAAAAATCAGCTGACAGCAACAAAAATATTAACTCACTTGGATGTAGAAGAAAAATACACAGTGGCCATGGGTGCATCTACTCTGTAGAATTAATGCAGTTTGACAGTTTCATAGCTATAGTTTCATGGGAGTTGTCGTTTGCCAGATCTTTAGCATTCTCTGCCAAAATGGGCTGGTGCTTCACCAAACTACAACTTCCAGGATTCCATAGTATTGAACCATGGAATTTAAAATGATGTCAAACTACATTAATTCTACAGTGTAGAATAGATGTATCCCATGTCTTCCTTTCCAAAAAAAGGAAACAGAGCTTCTTGGAGCAAGTAATGCATTTGAGAAAGGTGAAAACATTTAATGCATTTGGTAAAAGTGCTAGGAATATTAATTTCAACTGTTCAGTCCTGTGTACAAGGTTTCACACAAGGGCATTGCAAATTTTCACGAGAGCACTTCTGAAAAAGATCATAAGGCAAAGGTAAAGGTTTCCCCTTGACATTGTCTAATTGTGTTTGACTCTGGAGGATGGTGCTCATCTCCATTTCTAAGCTGAAGAGCTGGCGTTGTCCATAGACACCTCCAAAGTCATGTGGCTGGCATGACTGCATGGGACACCATTAGCTTCCCTCCAAAGCAGTACCTACTCACATTTGCATGTTTCAAACTGATAGGTTAAGAGAAGTAAAACATACTTAGGTAAATTCCACGGATGCAATAGACCTATTCTAATTGGGACTGTATTTAAGACATAGCATTGCTACATTAGTGAGAATTAGATCCAAATAAATGAAGAATCTTTAGGGAAAATTTTAAAAACCTATAGAAAATAGACTTTAAATAAAAACAACAATGGAGGTGCAAATCCAAAAGCACAAGTGGCAAACCTTGATAATTATCAGGGGGACATGTGGTAGAGGAAATTTTCAAAAATCTGTTATGATACACAAGCATAGTATGGGGGCGAGAACCATCAAGAGGGTGTTCATGAGAGGTGATGAGATGGGGTGAAAAAATCATAGTCTCTTTTATTAGCTGTTTTGTGGTTGTTTGCAATTGTTATGCTAAACATGCTGTCATTTCTTATTCTTACATTTGGAAATAGTTGGATACCATCACTTCTGAATGGGCTGGCCTTCCTCCACTGCCATCAGCCAGATGCCTTTTTGGATTAGGAGAATCAGAAAACAAAATCTACGTTATTGCAGGCAAAGATCTCCAAACTGAAGAATCCCTGGATTCTGTATTATGCTACGACGCCACGTAGGTTGATTAATATTATCATATTTTACACTTTTAATTATCTGCCATACAGGCCAATGGGGGTAAATTATCTCTGTGTTGCTTAAATGTCTGCTCATGTCTCCTTCCTTTTCAGAGCAGTCAAATGGAGTGAGGTCAAGAAGCTTCCACTTAAAGTCTATGGCCATGCTACAGCTTCACACAATGGAGCTATATATTGTCTTGGAGGAAAAACTGATGATAAGTGAGTACCTGTTTTGAAGCTTGTTTGTGGCATGTGGAGCTCTCAGTGGCACAGCAGGTTAAATCGCTGGGCTGCTAAACTTGTTGAGATGCTGAACTCAGCTCAGTGGTTTGAATCTGAAGAGTGGGGTAAGCTCCCACTGTTAGCCCCAGCTTTTGCTAACCTAGCAGTTTGAAAACATGCAAATGTGAGTAGATCAATACGGCGGGAAGGTAACGACGCTCCACACAGACAAGACTGGCTATTCCGCTTAGAAATGGAAATGAGCGCCACAACCCCAGAGCCAGACTCGAATAGACTTAATGCCAAGGGAGAAACTTTACCTTACCTTAGTGGCATATGCAGGCTCAATGTCAAATTATGGTTCTATATGGTTTTTAATGGTAAGCATGGATGGAGATTTTAATCTCTACTATCTACATCAGGGGTCCACAAACCTTTTAAACAGAGGGCCAGGTCACAGTCCCTCAAACTGTTGGAGGGCCGGATTATAATTTGAAAATAAACATGAATGAATTCGTATGCACACTGCACATGTCTTATTTGTAATGCAAAAAAAATACAACTTTAAAACAATACAATAATTAAAATGAAGAACAATTATAATAAATATAAGCTTATTAGTATTTCAATGGGAAGTGTGGGCCTGTTTTTGGCTGATGAGATAGCATTGCTGTTGTTGTTGTTGTGGTTGTGTGCTTTCAAGTCATTTCATACTTAGGTTGACCCTGAGCGAGGGCCAGGTAAATGACCTTGGAGGGCTGTATCTGGCCCCCGGGCCTTAGTTTGAGGACCCCTGATCTACAGTAACCTCCATTCCCCGAATTCAATGATTCTGGTGTTGTGGCAACCCACTCATGGCCATTGGGTGAGAGAGTCATCCGACAATGGTTGGCTATGCTTCAGCAGTCAGTCTCAGGAAGTCAAAGGCACCCTTCCAGACTTCCCAGGAGTTTTCCAGAGGTCTGGAAGGACAACAGTGCTTTCTTGCAACCAGCTCCTAAAGCTGAAAATTTTAGATCAGTGGTTCTCAACCTGTGGATCCCCAGATGTTTTGTCCTTCAACTCTCAGAAATCCTAACAGCTGGTAAACTGGCTGGGATTTCTGGGACTTGTAGGCCAAAACACCTGGGGACCCACAGGTTGAAAACCACTGATTTAGATAAATAAAATTAGCATATTATTTCAGAATTAATGGTAATGGTGTGATCATAGAACACTGCCATATTAATAAGTAGAAACCACTTGTGACAATGAGATGAGCCACTGATTTCCTTGGTTACTTCAGTGATGCACTGTACAGAAAAAGTTATTAACGCAGTCATAGAATAAAATATTTGTTGAACATGTGTGGCTGGCATAAATGATTTCCTTTCTTTTAAAACTAAAATTGAAGTGGTTGTCATAACCGTATATTGTTACCCTACAAACAGGGAATGTTCTATTTATTATGCTTACACAATAATATAATCACCCTCCCACCATTGTCACTTTCTAATTGTAAGAGTCTTATGGCTATGTATGGTCTCACTGGAATCTAGTCTAAGACATGGAATTTGCAATGCCAAAATATTCAGCATAAAAAAAATCTTCTTAAGGTGGTGCCCACTATGTTCATTTATATTGTTTTTGTATTTATTTTTATTTTCATTATCTTTTACTGTTTGTATTTTATGTTGTATATTTGCTGTACTGTTGGGCTTGGCCTCATGTAAGCCACTCTGAGTCCCTTTGGGGAGAGGTGGTGGGGTATATTATTATTATTATCATTATCATTATCATTATCGTCATCATCATCATCATCATCATCATCTGTGCTCAAGATCTTCTTGTATGCTAAGAAAGTCTTCTTGTAAAAACTCTTGCAGAAACACTGTCGTAGTTTCTGCTTTACTCCATAATAACAGCCATACTAGTGCAGGGATGTCTCTCTGGTGCTCTTAAGTGGCACACTTTTTCCATCTTAGGACTTAATCTCTATTAGCAGGGGAAGACTTATGTGGGAAATCTGATGCATACAAAGTGGCAACTTGGAGTACATATTTTCTATATCTTACTATAATTATACATACAATCCAGTGAACTTCACAAAAATATTTAAAACTCTGACTGGCATTTTTTTATGTCCAACATACAATTGCATTTTTGGCCAAGGAAGAAAACATGTAACCAGCTGAAGCTTACAAACATGAAGTTATATATGTAGTATCTTTGCAAATCATTGCATATACATCTGTTGGCAACCATTCTGTAATAAGATGACATACCATGGTGTGGACATAAGTTATGCTACATGTTTCCAATACAGGAAGAGGATTGTTGTTATTATTAAACTAAATAGTTGGACTTACATTTAGATGTTCAGAACATCTAGAATGAAACATCTTTCATGGTGTTTTTCAATTTTTCCTGTTGTTATTCCTGACCTTTATTTTCTGACAGTTTTTAATGCTGTTTTTTTTTTTCACAGAAAATGTACTAACAGAGTATTCATCTACAATTCCAAGAGAGGAGACTGGCGTGACCTTCCTCCCATGAAAGTGGCTCGCTCTATGTTTGGTGTTGCTATTCATAAAGGCAAAATTGTGATTGCAGGGGGCGTTACCGAAGAGGGCCTCTCAGCTTCCGTTGAGGCATTTGATCTCACCACTAACAAGTTAGTGTATTATCTATCCATTTACTTAAGCACATCGCTCATTGTCGATCTCCTGTCCAAATCTGTCTATTGTGATGCTTTAAAGTACTGATAAAATCAAAAGAGCTGGATCAATTCTACTATGCCGGCAAAGTTTGGAATACTTCTTGCAGAATTCCTAGATTCACAGTTCATTTGTAATTCTGTACACAATACTAGGCATCAGCTGCATTAAGAGAAAGTGACCTATTCTGCCAGCAATCAGAGCATGTCTGAATGACATTTCCATCAAGTTTGGGGAGTTTGGGCCAGGAGAACTTACTGGTATTCAGTTTATACCTAACTAAGCTGATACAAGATTCTGGCTGAAGTACTTTGAACATTGTGGCTCATGTTCCAAATTAAGAGCCCTGATCAGAGAAGCTCAGCACTAGTGTGAAGTTTGGGGGTGAATGAAAAACTGGATCTAGTCTAGAGAACTACTCACTCACTAAAGAAGCAATAAATAGTTTAGAATACATGTAGCACCAAATAGTGTATCCAAAGAATCATAGAGTCATAGAGTTGGAAGAGACCTTGTGGGCCATCCCAAGAAGCAGGAAAATTGCATTTGTGTACCTTCCTTATATATGTATATATATATAATCTCTCTTTTCTTTATATTCAATCTAGTCTTTGATTTAAAGACTGATTTAAAAAAACAAAACAATGGGCAAATTCCACTGTCATACAAGCTCTTTCTCCTTCTTTCCTCCTTGCTTCCCTCTAAAGAGCTCCAAATATGCAGTGACAGGTTGTTCTACTCTCTTAGAATAAATCTGGGTGTGTTCTCCAGCTTGCAGGGCCCTAACTGAATTCTTCATCGATTATTTTGAATAAGCAAAACCAACATGCATCACTTCTTGTTGCCTCCTGCGCTGTTGAGGAACTTGGCTGTTTTGAGTAAGAAGGTTTCCCCTGAAACAGCATGAAATAGCCCAGTGATAAGGCTTTAAAATGCTTGAGAGTTCTTTTTTTCCTCTGAAAAGCAACTTTTTAGAGGATGAGTTGGTACCACAAGAGCTACACGGAGCAAATAAGCAACAATATTCCTACCTTTGCTCTCTAGGCTGTATTTCAAAGGCATTCTGGGACCACAAAGAGAAAGATTGTCCTTTTCCATGCCTTTGCCAGAAACTGTTCTGATGCTGGAAGGGCTTGTTTTGTGTACATTAATAATAAACAATTTATGTAAGCTCCTTTTGCTGTAGGAGTTGATCTTAAGTGTTCATTTTCTGTATGACCATCAGTCACTTGAGCAAAACATTTTCCTGGGTAACTGGTCACATTTTTCTGTATTACTAATACATGGTGATCCTATTGCTCCCTTCATAATGTAAGGAGTGTTTCCACTGTTGGACTGCCTTCAGTCTATAAGCCAACATGCTTTGTGTTTGTATTTCCAAAATCAGTTTTTCTTTTTACATAATACAGCTCCATGACATAACTGACAGCTAAATTTGGAAGTGACCACTTATCATTTTGACACAGTTTCAGGGCAAAACTATGCAACTGTACAAATTAATGATCTCGACCACATTTTTTTCATGTATGAATGCATAGCTGATAGAAAATGCAAGCCATATCTGTCTCCCCAGTAGTATTGTATTATGAAAATGTTTAAAATGTACATTATACTTCTTAAATTACAGATGGGAAGTTATGCCAGAGTTCCCACAGGAGAGAAGCTCTATTGGTTTAGTTGAATTATCTGGCTCCTTGTATGCTATTGGTGGTTTTGCCATGGTTCAACTCGAAACAAAGGAATTTGCACCCAATGAAGTCAATGATATCTGGAAGTAAGTTCTGTTTGAGTATCATTTTTTTGTCTAAAATTACAATATTTAAAATTAGCCTTATTTAAAATGGTCTAGAATGTTAAAAAAATTATGAGCTGTTGGCAAATTTACTAAATGTTGGCATAGTCTAGAAAAAATTCGCTAAGGCTGTTAACCTGTAGTTTTGCATAAATGATTTATTTATATTTAACGTCCCTATGCTTTCACTGCTTAAAAGAATTCATAGGTGCTATGAAAATTTCCCACATACTAGGCAGTAGCAACTCTGATTGATGGGGATTTGCTCTCTTGTCAATTGGAAACTGACATTTCCATCATCTCCTTGAACAATCTCTGGTGTGAGGGAAAATTGCGACAAAGACCCTGCTTCTGCCTTTCACAATAAAGATCACTCACGGGGGTGGGGGCAACAATCATATCTTTTTACTATAGTCTATCACCCATGGCCAAGTATAGAATCATAGAGTTGGAAGAGACCTCGTGGGCCATCCAGTCCAAGTAGCAGGAAAATTGCATTCAAAGCACCCCCAACAGATGGTCATCCAGCCTGTTTAAAAGCCTCCAAAGAAGGAGCCTCCACCACAGTATGATGGTCTTCCAAGTGTAGGGTCTTGGCAGTGGGTCCATAAATGGCTATGGAAACTTATTCCAGATCCCCATGCTCCTTCACAGTGAGGACATCCATTTCTAGATGGAAGGCAGTCCCAACAAGGGTTGGCTTGATGCGCCTTCCTCTCAGCGTTTCTTCCTTTCACTCTCCACAGCACTGTTGGCAACAGCAAACCTCCAGTTAGAGTGCTTGAGGGCCAGGGCTTCCCAGTTCTTGGTGTTTATTCCATGTTTAGGTTAGCTTTAAGCCTGCCTTTAAATCTTTTCCATTCTGGCTGATAAGTGGGGGCGGGAGGTACAACACGTAGCTACATAGCTGATAGAAAATGCCAGCAATCATTTTTATTTTTTCAGTCTCCTAACGCATTTGTTGAATCACATCAATTTAACGATTTTGGATTCAAAATATTGTACTTTTGAATGATTAAATAATGCTAACGTCTCAGCAGAGTTGACACCAAGTTAATAAAAATCTACCGAATTAGTATTCATCCAGATGAAGGAATCTCTTCAGTCACAAACAGGCCAGGCATTTGCCCCAGGCATTTACATAAGTGTTTGCTCTGTAAGCCCTTTTTTATCCAGTTCTGGCACAAGTCGAATGGAGAGCAAAGGCAAGTGTCTGCCAGCAGCTGATGGATTATGTGTTCTGACGTTTGCGGAGGAGCTTATACCAGATTCCTCTTGGTCCATGTTTCCAGAAAACAGGCTGTTAGGCTCGAAATTGAGTTCTTTGAAGTCTATGGGTTGTTAATCTGTCATTTTTGATGGCCTAAAAAGAACTTAAGTGGATTCAACTTCAACCTGTTGGTTGCTGCGAATCACCTCATTTCTCTATAAGGTTCTAGATATTAGTTTCTACATGTTTTTCTTTTACCCAGTGATAAATTTATACTACGTGTTTATGCTTGTATGGGGCATTTAAGCTTTTATCTTGGTTATTTTTGTCTATTATTAAGTTTAAAGTTAGGCTATTTATATATTGCTTGATGTGATATAATTGGTTTATATATTTTCCTTTTTTGGCACTGAATGCTGTTCTGGGCCAGAGTAAAGAGAGCGGGGCCAGGAGACAGTTCCACCTTGTCTCCTGTGCTATGCTAATAATATAATATAATATAATATAATATAATATAATATAATACAATATATTGTATATACATATATTTACAGTATTATAATGTAATGCGATATAATACTACTACTAATAATATGGTATTATAATTATATATTTATATTACATGTAATATTACTAATAATATTACAGTATAATGGTATAGTACAATATAGTAATGTTTAATACTGATATTGTACTATGCTAATAACATAATATATTGTATGTATATATATCTTGTAAGCCGCTCTGAATCCTCTTCGGGGTGAGAAGGGCGGCATATAAATGTCATATAGGAGATAGGGCGGTCTACAAATAGAGTTGTTGATGTTATTATTATTTTACTGACACAAAAACACAGTATGTCACAGCAAACGAGATCTATATGCTGGATTTCGTATCACAAAATCACAAGTCGAACACTTCCCAAGTGTCTAGGACTGTGGTGATGATGATGATTGGTTGTGCTAAGATGTACCATGCTGATTTGTGTTAACTTTTTCCATTACAGATATGATGATGAGAAGAAAGAATGGTGTGGCATGCTGAAAGAAATCCGTTATGCTTCTGGAGCCTCCTGTCTTTCTGTTGGCCTGAATATGTTTAAATTGTCAAAGCTGTAAACCAAAAGACTCACTGACTAAAAATGAGGATATTGTTGCCTCTTGTTGTGTAAACCTGCCCTGTACAGACTCTGATAAGTAACTGTATTGACTGAACTGTTAATATATCTGTCCACCATGTGTATTAACCTCTGTAGGTGTAAACTCCCACTCTGTTTTTACTAACAGTTTGAATTTGAAGTAAATTCTGCTGTAACAATGAATAAAATCGAATATGTCTAAAAATCAACATGGAAGATTTGGCCTCTATTACTGTTTCATCCCAACCCAAAGACACTCCTTTACTCAGCCTCTTGCAAGGTTTCAAAAACTGAAACATTCATAATATGAAAAATATTTAATATTCCATGATAGTAGTCCATATAAAATAGCTTCATGATTGTGTATCTTCTTCACGCAACACCATCACAGCTTCTCAAATATTTTTCTCTTCAGATACTCCATCCATGCATCCTTTGATGAAAGTTCCATAGAATTCCATTCAAAATGAGGGATCTGAAATTAAATTAAGGGATTTGAAATAAAATACTGTTTACATTACATTTTATCTATATTATCTATGTATCTATGTCTATATTATTTATCCACTGGAGCCCCCGGTGGCACAATGGGTTAAACCTCTGTGCTGGCAGGACTAAAGACCGACAGGTCAGAGGTTCAAATCTGGGGAGAGAATGGATGAGCTCCCTCTGTTAGCTCCAGCTCCCCATGCAGGGACATGAGAGAAGCCTCCCACAAGGATGGTAAAACATCAAAACATCCAGGCGAACCCTGGCAACATCCTTGCAGACGGCCAATTCTCTCACACCAGAAGCAACTTGCAGTTTCTCAAGTCACTCCTGACATGAAAAAAAAGTTACGTGGTTACTTTTAATGAATATTCTACCACAGAGACAAGATATATGCCAGGACTAATTATATTTTTATGAAATAGAGTAGACACCATACCTGAACCACCTGGTAACCCAGGATCTCCAAATGTCTTTTTTTCATAGCAGTTTCTCCCTTCTGGTGATTTGAGTTTTTGCAAAAGGCCTTTGAATCAAGAAATTCTATCGCAATTCTGAATAAAAATACAATACAGAACATATACAATTTTAAAAACTCTTATCTGTTATGCTGCATACAATAAGCAGAAAACAAATCTACTCATTCTTGGTAAAGATGAATCACCCAGACAATAGGGTCAGGGAATTCCTCAAGGCATGTATTGCCAACTTCCACAAGAAAAAAGAGAGAGGAAGCTAAAATGTTTCACGTAAAAATACAAAAGACTAAAAATATTATACTGCTATGTGTTGCCAACTGTAATATTGTTAAACACTTCTGACCTCTGCTTTGCCCCCCATAAACACTAAAATGGTGCTGTGGTTTAAGACTTAAGTTATATTTTCTTAGTGATTTCCCTCACAAAACTGCATGTTGTTCTTGGAAGCATGTTTAGAAAGCATGCAAAAATGTGGAGAAACGTCATCTACATGCTTTTTACAGCCATTATGAACAAACTGAGGGGAGAACATAATTTCATTTTTGATGGTCCATGTTTCCATGTTGCCTAGTTTCCAACAGAACTCACAACCTCTGAGGATGCCTGCCACAGGTGTGGGCGAAAGATCAGGAGAGAATGTTTCTCAGACATGGCCAGACAGCCCAAAAAACTCATAGCCACTCAATGATTCCGGCCATGAAAGCCTTCAACAATATTTATTTTATTAATAACCAATAATTATTTAATATAGTTTTTCTCAAGCGGACAATTTTTAAGGCTCCAAATTCTTTATGTTCTTTGGGTGACTGTCAATGTGAGGAAGGTTTAATTTTTGTTATAGAAGCACCCCAAATAATAATAATAATAATTTTGGATCACTTTTGGGTGCATGTTTCATTTCATTGGTTTACATATTGTATTTCTTTGGCAAAAATATAACAGAGCGTGTGCACGTAGGGAAATTAACCAACAGTTTACTTTCAGTTTTCACTTTGGTGTTATATTTCAGTTTGCCTTGATTCAGGAATTTCACAATTATTATTATTATTATTATTATTATTATTATTATTATTATTTTACTGACACAAAAGCACAGTATGTCACAGCAAACAAGATCTATATGCTGGATTTCGTATAAAAAAAATCACAAGTCGAACACTTCCCAAGCGTCTAGGACCGTGTGATGTATTTTCGAATGATGCGTGCAGATCCAAGTAAGGTGGCCTTTTGCAATTGACAGATCATGATTTTATTGATGTTTATTGTTTCCAAATGCTGGCTGAGATCTTTTGGCACGGCACCCAGTGCACCAATGATTACAGGGACATCATCATCATCATTATTTACGGAATTTATAGCCCGCCTTTCTCAGCCTTGCGGTGATTCAAGGCAGCTTTAACAAACTTGGTTTCATGCTTTAACAAGCTTAGGGATTTTTTTTTCTATTTGAAATATGGCTCAAGAGTATGCACAATTCCTAAGGTATCCTTCCCAGAGTAACTTGTAGCAGAGTCCTACTCAGAGCTCTCATAGTCAGACTCAAGCAAAAAGGAGTTTCACTTGAATGTCATTTTCTAATTGGTACTAGCATAAAAACATGGAAAAAGTTTATTAAACTGCAAAAACTTTGTTTTTCCAGGGCATCCTGCAGCAAATTTTGCTCTACTTTTTCAATGAATACCTCAGAGTGGTATATCTCATAAGTACCACAAAATTAAACAGGAAATAACGCTTTCAAACCAGGAACAGGGGTCTGTTTTCTTCAAATTTTGTTACATAGTGTAATAATAAGCCTTGGAGGTCTGAGGATACAAGGTTCATCCCACTAAGTGCTGGACTTTCTAGCTATTATTTTTGTTGTGCTGTGCTTTTTCTCTTAAGTTTTGTGTTTTTAACTGGTTTTAATTCTTCAAATAGTTTAGTGTTTGTTTAACATGTAATTTGTGAAAAATAGTAACAACAACAACTACCTCTGAGCTCCTGGGGGTAGTCCTCGCCTTCCCAAGAACTGGTTCCCTTGCCCCCAGTGCACTCTTTCCAAGTCAGCATTCTGGTCCGTATATGGAAGAGGCTTCTTGTTTTTATCAAGAATACATACAAAGTCTGAAAAACAAGACTTGTTATTATTATTAATAATAACTTAACATGTTTTGATTTAACAGGTGTAGCAGGTATTTTACATCATGACAGCAAGTGAGTCTGTAATGTGGCATTCCTGCTGCAGTAGAACAATAAGATAAATAATAAAATACCCAGGCATGTATGTCGCCACAGAAATGTCTGCCTTATTTTCTTTTAAAACACTTGGGATGGCTTATAGAGGTTCCTAGTGATCTCAAATCTCAAATGTAAGTAATTTGCATTTAATTTGAACCAAGCTTTAACTGCATTTGCTTCTACACTACACACTGGTTCATTTGAGGTCAGGATATAGTTAAAGAAACTTTTTTTAAAGTGTAGAAAGGTTGCTTGCACACATCTGAATAATAGTCTTTGAGGCTGCCTATTCATTTCTTTTGTGACTGTAATCCTAGCAATTCCAGTAGAACCAAGTGTGTAAACTTTAATACTGCAATAACCCACTCACTTTGAAGCATGTGCAATTGGTTTCTCTCTCACACATACACACACACACACACACACATATTATGCTGAATTATAACATGAACTAACTATATTCTATTTTTTGATAAAATATTCTAACCATTTCAATGGAAAGAGAATTCTTACATTAAACAGACCGTTAGGGGGTTAGTAAAGGTAAATGTTTCCCTTTGACATTATGTCCAGTTGTGTTCGACTCTGAGGGGTGATGCTCATCTCAATTTTTAAATTGAAGAGCCGGCGTTATCTGCAGAAGTATCCTAGGCCATGTGTTTTGCATGACTGCATGGAGCGCCATTACATTCCCGCTGGAGCAATACCTATGGATCTACTCACATTTGGATGTTTTCAAAGTGCTAGGTTGGCAGAAGCTTGGGCTAACAGTGGGAGCTCACTTTGCTCACCAGATTCAAACCACCGACCTTTTAGTCAGCAAGTGCAGCAGCTAAACTGTTTAACCCGCTGCGCCACCAGGGGGTTAGTTTGCAGTAAATCGTGTTTTTACAATGTGAACTGTGTGCTTTACTTCATAACCACACTACACTCAAAGATTTGTAATATAGAATTTGTGCAAATACTGTGAAAATATCTGTACAGAACACAATGGAAGAATGCCTTTTCACTTGTGTTCATAGCATTTAAACAGTCTACCCAAATAGTTAGAACAAGTATTTCTTCACATACCACATACTACATTTAATATTTTTCGAAGAGAACTCTTTTCCCCTTCCCTTACTCTGCACTCTTGGGAGGAACCCATCCCCCCAGAGCAAATTTTGTGGAAGGGCTGTGGAGAGAAGAAGGAATTGCATCTTTGCCATTCCACATCAGGGAACCCCCGGTGGCGCAGTGGGTTAAACTGCTGAGCTACTAAACTTGTTGACAAAAGGTCATAGGTTTGAATCTGGGGAGCAGCGTGAGCTTCCGCTGTCAGCCCCAGCTTCTGTCAACCTTGCAGTGTGAAAACATGCAAATGTGAGTAGATCAATAGGTACCTTCCCAGCAGGAAGGTAACAGTGCTCCATGCAGTCATGCTGGCCATATGACCTTGGAGGTGTATATGGACAATGCCGGCTCTTTTGGCTTAGAAATGGAGATAAGCACCAACCCCCAGAGTCGGACACAACTAGACTTAACGTCAAGGGGAAGCCTTTACCTTTACATCCCACTCATAGAAGACATCACTTGATGAAATGACAGAGCCTGAATTTCATTCTAGGTTTTCACACTTTAGAAATGCAGTAACCTTGCCACAGAAACACAGTTTTCAAGGAATGGCACAAGATCTTTAAACAACAAACAGGAAATAATGGTCCTAAGTCCTTAGGGTCATCATTGTACATTTTCTTTAGTTTGTTTCTGTACATTTGGATAATTGTGTGAGTCCTTGTGTTTAGAGAAAGCTCTCCACGGAGCACTGAAGCAAGGAACACTTTCAGTGGATGAATACCCACCAATTCCATAGCAGTAAGGAGTGAATACAGACACTTTGGCAAAATGGCTTCCTCCCAAAATTTCTCCCAGCAGCCTATGAATCTGCTGTTGCAATGCACTGAGGTTACCATTGCCTGGAAGAAAAAAGGACAAAACGCAGCACAACATTAGAAAATGACCATCACCTTTAACCACTTTATGCTCCTCACATATTCAGGTTTAACCAAGAAGCCCACTACCAAACAAAGCAACAAGTGTAGTTTCTATTTATTGAAATAAACATGATTCCGCAAAAGATAATTGGAAATTGAATTGCAACACGTACAATGTTACTGGCATTTAACAGCTTAAAATATTTACTTTTTTTCTGCAGCTGCTGACAGTAGTGCTCATGAAACCACGGGATCTGAAGTTCGGGACACTCCAAGCAGACGGCTCGGTTCAGCTCCAATAGTCGTAAGCGGACCCGCCTGTTTAAGGCATCTGGTAGGGCTGATGCCCAAATAAAAAGGGGCAAAACAAACACCACATCAGCATTTAGAGCACACTTTGCCCGGCAGCTCATCTATTAGTACAAAAGAAAGCAAATGGCCCTTGTAGACAAGGCAAAACTCACAATCACATAAAGTAGTTAGCAGTCTTTGGCCCAAATTTTTTTTTTTGGGTTAACTACAAACCACGCTCCTCTTTAACTGGCTCAGATATATAGGCTAGCAAATAAAAAACCTTTTTTTGATATAACATGATCAGAAATTTTCTAAGAAAATCAGTGATAGTGTTTTTTGGAATACATGCAACTAATGCTTCTTCGAACCAATGAGCTCTGTAAATGCATACTGCAGGAAGACCTCATTTGAACATAACATTTTCCCATACCACTACATGCAATCATGAAACGAACACATGCTAGAAGCAGCATAACGTTCATTCTGAGATTTATGTAAAAAAAAAAAAGTTTTGCCATGGATGATCTAGAAAGTGATGGTACTGCACAGTTGCAGCCAAACGGTATTTATTTATTTTTTGCAGTAATTCATATACCGCCTTTCTCACCCCTGGGGGGGACTCAAAGCGGTTTACACATAAATAATGGCAAGATTCAATGCCTTACGTTGGGCACCGATACAATGCCAATACAAGCAATTACAATAGTAAGACCACAATTAAACATAAATCACAATTAAAACAAACCATCAACAAGCATTAAAACAATAAAACAGTCTTGTCAGTCAAATCGCCATTCCAGTCAATGTCCCCCTTAAATGCTACATACATCTACTGTCCGAAGGCCTGGTCCCAGAACCATGATTTCAATTTTTTTTCTAAAAGCCAGAAGCTAAAAGCATATGAACTAATAATGGCCAAGACAAGAGAGAAGTCTCAAAATAGAGACAAATATCTGGTCCTGATAGTCATAATATGATTTGGGTCAAGTATCCTTCCAGTTGCCAAAAGGTGAGTTATTTATTATATCGCTGACAATTCGTAATTTTGAGGATTTTTGTCTATTGACACCCCAAAGAGTTTAACAAGGAAGGAGAGGGGTATTTATTTTGATTCCTTTTCGTTGTCTTTTCCCCCCATTTCAGGAGTGACTTGAGAAACTGTAATATGATTTTGATAATACCATTGTGCTCTAGGAAGGAAAAAGAGAAGAACAAAGAGAAATCTTATGCCACTGAAGCAAAGGACAAATGATTTCCTCAGAAAGATAACTGCCATGTCTTCTCTTCCTTTTCCTTCTCAGAGAGAAGAGAAAGGAGATAAGCATGCAAACTTGAAAGCAAGTCCCTCTGGGGCTCATTCCTAAGTGAGTACATAAAGAGACATGACCAGGAGTAAATGTACACTATTATTCCCCAGTGGGAATGCAGTGGGTGATGGATAGCAATTTCTAACCCCACACATTTGCAGATGAACCTCCAAACTGTTACAAGAAATAACAGCATTTCCAAAACCCAACCAAAATAAACAATACAGAAGTAATTACTGCTCACTTTCAAGCTGGGTATCCAGTTTGGCTAGGAATTCAACATTAAAGATAGCTTTTATCACAGTCTCTGGAAAATACTCAGCAAGAGCCAAAGCAAAACCAAGCAGCACGAGAAGATGAGGCTCGAAAAAATCTGTAGAAAAATAAATGCATGCAATTAATACCTTATTTTTGAAGTAGCAGACAGTGAACCTGATCTATTTACCAAAGAAACACAAATACCGTTATCAGAAATATTAACATAAACAAATTTGTGTACATCATTCTGCTTCTCAAAAACCAGCTTTTTGGCTTTTAAATGTTTATGAGATTGCAGGGGAAGAAGAAAGGAAGGGAAAAGATAAAGAGCAAGGACATAAAATTTGTGCAGAGGAAGACTGGAAAATACACTCTGCATAACTCTTCCCTCTTCCCAAATTTCTGCTGGATCAGTCTGTTTATTATGCTTATTCTATCTTTCCAAGGAGCCCCCCCGGTAGCGCAGTGGGTTAAACCACTGAGCTGCTGAACCTGTTGACCAAAAGATCGGCGGTTCAACTCTGGGGAGCAGGATGAGCTCCCACTGTTAGCCCCAGCTTCTGCCAACTTAGCAGTTCAAAAACATGCAAATGTGAGTAAATCAATAGGTACCACCTCTGTGGGAAGGTAATGGCACTCCATGCAGTCCTGCTGGCCACATAACCTTGGAGGTGCCTATGGACAACGTCGGCTCTTTAGCTTAGAAATGGAGATGAGCGCCACCCCCCAGAGTTGGACATGACTAGACTTAATGTCAAGGGGAAACCTTTACCTTTAACCCTATTATTCTCCATATAAATGGCATGTCCTTAAAAGTTACAATGTCACCCCATCCCTCGGTAAGCAGACACAGCTTATTTAGAAACACTGAACAATTTCATAACCACCATTTCAAGAAAACAACAAAACAGGTGGAAGAACACCTAGAAAAAAGAAGTGAAGAAACTTAACAGTGAATAGTATATCAATATAGGTTACAAGAGTGGACAATTAAGAAAAAACTAGGAAGATCACATAGTTAATAAAGTTAAGCTCATGAAGGATTAGAAGGAAGTCACAAGATTTTATTTTTATTTTTTCATTGTTCCATTTTTTTCCTTTTTTGTCTCTTTCTCGGTTTCATTTCACTCTTAGCTTTTTGTTTTCCTACTTTTCTTCAAAATACTATGTTCCCCCACTTTACTTGGAAATTAAACTTATCTTTATATATATCAGATAAAAATGTATTTAAAAAAAGAAAACAACAAAACAAACTGTTTTCTGGAAAAAGAGGCCATTATTTGTATCATCAAGGGATATCTTCTTAAAATGCGCTCCTGACTGGCACAGTGATCATTCGGAAGATTAAAAGAACAGCACCTAATTTAAATTCACTCTACCTATTGAGGGTTTTAAAAGGCTGGAACAGTTTCCCCTGGGAAAGAAACAATATATTCATTTCTTTAAATAAAGAAAAAAGAAAGAAAGAAAAACACACACAACTGACTGACTTTATGTTCTTATATACTGTTAATGTAACCTTCAGGAAACTGGTTGTTGTGAATTTTCTAAGATGTACGGCCATGTTCCAGAAGCATTCTCTCCTGACATTTTGCCTACATCTATGCAGGCATCCTAAGAAGTTGTGAGGTTTGTTGTTAACAAGGAAAGTGTGAACTCCCAACAAAGGCAGGAAGCAGCCAAGCCTTAAAGCCGCAAGGCCATTCAATGCTAATCAAGGTGGCCAATTGCAACAGTCATACTTGCCTCCAACAGACAAGGGTTTATGTATCTGCAATGTCCAAGGTGGGAGAAAGAACTCTTGTCTGTTGGAGGCAAGTGTGACTGTTGCAATTGGCCACCTTGATTAGCATTGAATGGCCTTGTGGCTTTAAGGCTTGGCTGCTTCCTGCCTTTGTTGGGAGTTCACACTTTCCTTGTTAATAACAAACCTCACAACTTCTGAGGATGCCTGCCATAGAGGTAGGCAAAACAACATGAGAATGCTTCTGGAACATGGCCAGACAGCCCAGAAAACTTGCAGCAACCTAGTGATTTCGGCCATGAAAACTTTCGACAATACTTTGGGAAACTTCTTTTTTATAGACTTACCTAAGCGAGAGTTGAAGTGTCTAATACAAGTCTCAAAAAATTTCTCACTTTGGGGAGGATCATAGTTCAGAACCGCAAATGGAAGGAGAAGAGAATAAGTTCCTGAATTGTAAATCTATGAAAAATGGGGGGGGGGGAGGGGGGGGGGAGAGGAAGGATTCCAGTCACTTATTTTTGCCAAGCTTGTAAATCATTCAGAAAGCAATGACACTTAGTTAAAGACTGCCAYAACTATCACTCAGTCTCATTTTCAGCAACAAGTTTATGGATACCTTAAAAGCGATGAAGATAGCTCACTGTGTGCCCTTCATTCCTAGTTATTTAACAGTAATGTTAAATACAGATGAAATGAGCAGCGCAAGGTTCATGCCAGACTCTGAGAAGTGACAGCTTACCAGATATTTTAATACTCGCTGTATTACAGAGTTTTATATATATATTTAATTTCAAGGGTAAGTTAGTCCTCCTTACATTTGGGACAGAAAAAATGAAGTAAGATGCCTGCGATCTTGTTCAGACACTACAGGCTGCCTGAAGTCTACCTAAGATGGGCTGGGGAACAGGCTGCAGATTACCACACATTCCTCCATCGGTTCCTCCCCACAGGGAAATGGTAAGGAGCCAAGAGGAAAATCCCACATTTCAATGCAGGGTTTCCTAATGTACTTGTTAATTATGAAAATAACACTATGTAGAATGTGATTATCCTTCTCACCATTCAAAGCTGTGTTTTTCTGAAAAGGACACTCAGGTGGTGAAATGCAAAATAAAAACATACATGAAATATTGGGAAGCTGCTTTTTGGATGTCACTGGTTCATCCTGCTAAGGCCCCTTCAACACATCCTTATAAAAATGTATTTTATTTATTTATTTACAATACTTATATTCCACCCTTCTCATCCCAAAGGGGACTCAGGGCAGATCACAGAACACATATATGGCAAACATTCAATGCAGATTAGCCGTTCTCTGCCACGCATTGCTGTGGCCCAGTCTGTGTATATGTTTTGTGTATAAATATATGTATAAATACCTCTCCACTTTTAATGAGGTTCTTATTTATCTACTCACATTTGTTTTCAAACTGCTAGGTAGGTAGGAGCTGAATGAAAGGTCAGGTGCTCACCCTGACCCGGGCTTCGAACTGTCAACCTTCCGGTTGGCGAGAATGATTGCAGCTTGGTGATTAACCTGCTGTGCTAAAGCCCGGCCTTATATAATCCAGATTATATAATCCAGTTCTGAACTGGATTATATGGCAATGTAGACTCATATAATCTAGGTCAAAGCAGATGTGAATCAAATGCTTTGATAATCTGAATTATATAGCAGCGTAGAAGGGGCCTAAGAGTGTGAACACTGGCCAGTGGCTCTCTAGGATCTCAGGGAATGGATTTCTTAATCTTATAAAAGGCCCAGGACTGAATTTGGGATCTTTAGTGATAGCCCATCCCTAACATTGTACACCTTTTATACTATCACTTTCATACTATCACCCCTGTGCCGGCAGGACTGAAGACTGACAGGTCACAGGTTCGAATCTGGCGGATGAGCTCTCTCTATCAGCTCCAGCTCCTCATGCAGGGACATGAGAGAAGCCTTCCACAAGGATGATAAAACATCAAATCATCTGGGCGTCCCCTGGGCAACGTCCTTGCAGACGGCCAATTCTCTCACACCAGAAGCGACTTGCATTTTCTCAGGTCGCTCCTGACACACAAAAAAAGTAGAGATAAAGCTAGAATACAATATTACCTTATCTATATGTTCAATGGAAATTGCAGCAATTTTATCCAGTAATGGTGTGCAGAGGTAGTTGGTTTTTATGATAAAGGAAGAAAATTCTATCATATTTGCCCATGTTACTTGGTCTATCAAACGCTGAAGAGTCCTCATCGTTTCTTCCAGAAGCATTTCCTCAAACCACTCTCCGGATATATATTTCAGTTCCTCTAACAGAAGGTCCAAATCGTTGGCTTTCTGAAGTCGCTGAAATGCACAATCGTTAATTTTTTGCAAAAGTTGCCCATATGGCCCAGAAGGGTTTTGTTGACTGGACTGGTCTCGTCGAATCCATTTTATGACAGCAGCAGCAAAAGAGTTCAAATCACTCAGGTTACACTGAGGCAAGATGGCATTGATTCGTGTGACTACAACGGCATCCATGAAGAAAGGAGGAAGCATGGAAAGAACGCGAGTTAGCATCGAAACATCAGCTGGGATGACGCTAATTTGTAAGGAGCTGGAATTTTAAAAGGGAAACAAATCCATCAACAATTAGCAGGAAGAAACAATGGGCCACAAATATTCATTATCACATTTCTCAAGCAGATCACATGCATAAAGGTATATCAATTAACAAAGAAGATGGGCTGCTGGGAATTCTTAACAGAACATTTAGTACCAGAGCAAGAATTAGCATGGAAAGTGAAGGAGTAGCTTTCTACCCCAAAGAAGAGAGCTTTGTGGTGTAATGTAAAATCATGTTTAATCAATCCACACATTGTCTTGCCAGAGAAAGAAAATATGCCGCACAAATGATCAATTAAGAACAAGTAGTTTACTCTTCATAATACAGAACATATATACAATCGTGATCAGCTGCATCGACTCACATAATGTCCTTTTAGAGAGATTTTAAATGGTCTTTCTTTGTCCATGTGGAAAATCTCCTTCCAGCAGCTCATGAAGCAAGAACGCACTCCAAAACTGTCTCTCTGCTTCTGCACAGCTCAAGCCTAAATATGTAACAGTAACCAGAACTCCCAGGTTCAGCTAGCTCCCTGGGCGTAGCCCAACCCATCAGCTTCATGCTTCTTATTTTACAGCTGACACACACACACTAACTGATTTCTTATATGCCCTAACAAACTTCAACATGTTTCAGCAAATTAAGGTGAATCTTGCTTAAACATGAGTATTTTGAAATTCCTAGAGACTATTTGAAAGCTCCTTCCAAAATCCATCTGAAGATTTTTCTTTCTTTCACCAGTATTCACTTTTCTTATGATTTCAATTTTAGTGGCTAGACCGCTCTTTACTTCTTTTTTTAGTCTGCTGTAGATAGCTGCTGAATCAGGTTCATCTGCTTTTTCCTTTTCTCTCTATTGTGCTGCTCACTCATGCTCAGTTATTGTTGTTGTTATATTTATTTCTAACTTGGTTTTATATCTTTATAAAAGACAGAAGAGTTACTTTGTGTGTTATAGGCAGGTATATCAGCTACAGTTAAGACTGACTAAAGTAGCATCCTATTCTTTCTCAGCTCAAGTTTTGTTGCAAGTTTGACTGCAGATATGTTGCAAAAAAACCCTCTCTCAAAGTCAGTGTTGCTAAAAACTTCTAACCGAGAGAAAGGAAAGGCTGGGCATTAAAGAATTTGTAAACAGAAATGTCTTTGTCAGAAGTTTTGTTAGCTGGGGAATGTCTATATTTGCTTGAAAACAGGTCCAATTGATAGCAAATGAGTCTATTTGAATGTATTCAGAACCGACACCATATCTCTCAAAGGGGAAAATGAGAAAGAAGACCACAAACAAAGTCAGTTTGATCTTACATTTTGATCTAATTAATCTGTTTTCCAGCAGATAGTTATTCAAATATCCAACTTTTAATACATTATGAAAATTAAATCAACTTCCTGATAAAAGAAATGTTAATTCATTATGAGTTTTTGTTTTAAGAGGGCATATTCTAGGTCCTTCAGAGTAATTATATGGCATGCTTTGTCTGAAAATCCAAGACATCATTTATTTCTGCTTTACTCAAATGAAAGTCTGCTTTTCCTAGTATCTGATTGGGAGATTGTCCAGGAACAAGGACTCAAAAATTTTTGTGTTGAAGGCTTTAATGGCCGCAATCACTGGGTTGCTGTGAGTTTTTTGGGCTGTATAGCTATATCCCAGAAGCATTCAATCCTGACATTTCATCCACAAATTTGGCAGGCATCCTCAGAGGTTGTGAGGTCTGTTGGAAACTAGGCAAGTGGGGCTTATATATCTGTGGGATGTCCATGGTGGGAGAAAGAACTCTTGTCTGTTTGAGGCAAGTGTGAATGTTGCAAGTGGCCACCTTGACTAGCATTGAATGTCCTTGGAGTTTCAAAGCATGGCTGGTTGCTGTCTGGGGGGATCCTTTGCTAGGAGGTCCTTTCTCCCACCCTGGACATTCCACAGATATATAAACCTCACTTGCCAAGTTTCCAGCAGACCTCACAACCTCTGAGGATGCCTGCCATAAATGTGGGCGAAATGTCAGGAGAGAATGCTTCTGGAACATGGCCATACAGTCCAGAAAACTCACAACAACTCAAAAATCTTTGATTGAATTACTGAAGAAATTGGATATAAATATGTAAACAATTAATAAACATGCATAAACTAATTTATTTATTTATTTGCATTATTTCTATCCCGCCCATATCAGCCCGAAGGCGACTCAGGGAGGTATATATTTGCAGTAATATATATCTACACACACACATACAAATACCAACACACTCAAGAGTATAATATAGAAAATATATCTTCTTACCCAACTAATAACTTTTGTAACTTGGAGTAAAGATCAGGATTAGGACAACGCAATGCAACTAGGGTTTGTGTGATTCTCGCCAGCTCAACTGGTCTGTACTTATGCAGGTATTTATGGAGGAGAGCTGCAATCCTAAAATCAAAAACAGTTTAGGTTAAATCACAGGGCAGAATCTCATCCTGTATACCTCAATAAATTACTAGATGGACGTAATGTTTTTCATAAATTCTTTGGCAATATAAACACAGTAGCCTTAAAATCAGACCATCTGGTTGTACCAAGAATTGGAAACAAATCCATATATCCACAGGCAATTGCAAATAGATATGGAAGTTGTTTGATTAGCTAAAGATAGTTTCAAGACAGGAACTAAGTAGGAAGAAAATCCAACCAGTTTTTAAAGAAGCCCAAACCTCTCCCTTTGTCTGAACTAAAAGCAATGGTAACTTTCATCACAACCTTAGACAAGTTTTCCTTTTAACACAGGACTGTGAATTCCTGGATGAAAAGGTTAGACATCTCCTTGCCCCAGATCAGCTATCTGCATTTTTGAAAGTAGCACATTACATGTCTATTTTGGTCATTAAGAAACAAATATAACAAGAACCACTGTGTTGTTTTTAGGCATCATTGTTCTCTGCATTTTATTAACTACCTTTTGTGCTGAACCAGCTGTGTGTGTGTGTGTGTGTGTTTCAGCTTCTTGAATGCATTTTTGTGAAGAATCCTAAACTACAGGATTCTTCTGTAAACACACAGAAATGGTAGTTAATAACAGGCAGAGAACAATAAGCCTTCCACATCTGCATGTTTAACTTTAGCAGGAATTATTATTCATAGATTTGATTAATATGTTTTCCCTAAGAATGCCTATATCCTCTGGGACAACCCTATGGTCGATGTCTGACAGAGACTGGTTACAGAGATTCCTAGAGAGGCATTTTCTCATGTTGTTTTGTGTGTGTGTTGTGGGTTTTTTTCCCACTTTTGTAGAGTCCTGTGCTTGAAATTGGAAGGCCTACTGCATAGTATGATCTAAGCATGGTATACAGAAGCCATAGTCCTTATATGGACTTTAAGAATACTAGCTTCTAATAAATGTGTTTAGAGCTATGCTATAAATGTATGTCAGTTCTATGACATACTAAACAGTCAGAGTAGAGTTGTGATTCGGGCATTGGACTACTGCTATGAAGACTAGGGTTTCATTCCCTACTTATCTATGGAAGCCCACTGGATGGACTCTCTCACACACTCTCAGCCTCAGAGGAAGGCTATAACAAACCACCCTTAAAGAAATATTGCCTTAGTGTCATAGCAAATCAAAAGCAACCTGAAGGCACACAACAACATGCCATTATGGATGTATAAGCAATGTTCTGTCTCAATTATTCTTACACTGAGGGTAGTTATAGATGATTCATTTGCTCATGCTAGACAATCAACAAAAGAAGAAAATCTTTCAAATGAAAATTGTGAAATTGTAATGTCCTGAAGGCTTACTTTTGAATCAACAGTGAATTTCTGCAATCCATTTCTTGCATCGTTTCTGCCACCGCTAATACCTGGAAGTGGTCAAATTCATCTGCCATGAGAAGAGCAGTTTCCATTAGCCTAAAATAAATGCATAAATGACATGTTTCAAGCAGTTCTTCTATGCTGAGTTGTTTCTTCCCTATTTCAAGGAAGAAAATGTGCTAGGGAAAAGCAGAAACAGAATACATGAAGGAGAAATGGTTTAAAATTGTGCAGTTCCTTTACTGGCGACCATGAAGGCAACAACTGGTAGGTACACCAGTTTTTAGACTTAACAATGTGCTTTCCCACTATCACAAGGGCTGTGAGACAAGGCAGGAAATGTAAGTATATCACCATGCAAGAAAAAATAATCCACTGGGTTGCTCTGAGCTTTTTGGGCTGTATGGCCATGTTCCAGTAGCATTCTTTCCTGACATTTCATCTGCATCTGTGGCAAGCATCCTCAGAGGTTTGTTCAGAGGTCTGCTGGAAATGAGCCAAATGGAAAAACTACAGACCACCACCACCCCCTGGACACTCCATAGAGATATATATAACGCAATTTGCCTCATTTCCGACAGACCCCTGAAGAAACCTCTGAGGATGCTTGCCGCAGATGCAGGAGAAACGTCAGGAAAGAAAGCTACTAGAAGATAGCCATACAGCCCAAAAAACTCACAGCAACCCAGTGATTCCAGCCACGAAAGCCTTCAACAACACAAAAATAATGCATTTGTATTTCTAGATTTGAAAGGGACTACACTTCGATGCACATTTATGTTTACTCTGTGGACAACACTGATCTCGGCCCTTAATTCTTTGACAAAAGTTATACTAAAGGGATATTTAGTGTCAGATTGGATTCTGTATTGCATAGAAATACTTTGAATCAAGCGGTTATTGATGGCAAAAACATTCCAAACTGCTTATCTCTATCAACATCTGCATCCAGAGGTGTTAACCAAATACGAAATTTGTAGAGAGATGTTAATCCTGTCAACGGATAAATAAGGTAAGAAATGGGATGGTCTCCTTTGGGTTTGCTGGAGTCCACAGAACCATGTGACCCATGGTCTATTTCATTCTCTTTAGAGCTCTTGAATTCCAAACTTCTGAATAATTTTCTGGGGTAACAGAAACTCTTCTGCACTTATTGTTCAAATCTTTCCTTATGACCAATTCAGGAATGGCCATTATTGATGAAGCAGGAGACAGGTGAGCTCAACTGAACTTTTATTGTGGGTGGCACAATAGGTTAAACCAGTGGTTCTCAACCTGGGGTCCCCAGATGTTTTTGGCGTTCAACTCCCAGAAATCCTAACAGCTGGTAAACTGGCTGGGATTTCTGGGAGTTGTAGGCCAGAAACATCTGAGTACCCCACGTTGAGAACCACTGGGCTAAACCCTTGTCCTGCTGAACTGTTGACGTGAAGGTTGGCAGTTCAAATCCGTGAAATGGGATGAGCTCCCACTGTTAGCCCTAGCTCCTGCCAACCTAGAAGTTTGAAATCATGCAAATGTGAGTAGATCAATAGGTACCACCTTGGTGGAAAAAGGCAAAAAGATGTTCCATGTAGTCATGCTGACCACAAGACCAGGAGGTGTCTATGGACCACACAGGTTCCTCAGCTTGGAAATGGAAATGTGCACCTCTCCCAGAGCCGAGCACAACCTCCAGAGCTGGAAATGAAAGGAAAAGCCTCTGCCTTGTTTGTCTATTTGTGTGTCATTGTATTTCATTGTAACAAGGCATTGAACTGTGTATGTTTATATGCTGTAATCCGCTCTGAGTCTCTTCAGGGAGAAGGGCAGAATATATAAGTGTTGTTGTTGTTATTTCTTCCAAATCACTCTCTCATCTGCATCACACCAGAACTTAATTTCATGAACTAATAAATGTATAGCAGAGTAACTTATCAGCACCAGTAATCCAAAGCGATAAAAAGAACCAAAACACATTGACTATTGTTATATCATCCATAGGAGGCTTTTCTTTGTAGTAAAATAATACAGTTGCACTATTCACAATAACAAGGTTTTCACAACACAAATAAACACATATATCTTTACATACAGCAGTACACACAAGGCTTCTCTTATACTAGGCCTTCTCATATCAGGCCTTTCTCAGGTCTACCTCACAGAGAAGCCTCCTCACCCAAACTGAGGAGTTCCCTCACTGAGGCAAACTAACACTAATGGGCTTCAGCCTACTCACTCTTTCAGTGCTTGACTCACACGTTTGTATTAAAAATACCCAATTAATATTTAATATTTCTGACACCTCTCACAACATGATAAGCTATATTATCTGCCTTGAGAATCTCCTCCTTTCCCTACTAGCAGAAAGGTGTAAAACTTTGGAAAATTTGGGAAACAATTCACATATTATAAAGAAAAGTACATGCACACTTACATCAGCTAGACAGACAGGAAAACTTACTGTTCTCTGACCTCTGGTCCTGCCATGGGTCCAAGACTAGCAAACAGCCGAGTGAAGATCAAAGGATTGTTGCAATCGTCCATCATTTCTGTCAGTCTCTGCTTGGCGATCAATCTAAATTCAGTATTGTTGAATTGTAAGGACTGGTAAAGTCCAAGGATGATAGCTAAATGTTCAATATCTAGGTAGTTGACATTCTGAATGAAAATCTTATTGCATTTATAGAGCAATGGGCGATGGGTTAGTTTCACATTCCGGAGGAACTGCACGAATCGCCGGACGTGGTTCAAAGGGACAAATTCCATGGTTTCCAGAGCACACTCAGCCTTTTGAATTAATTGATCTCGGAAATTCTGAGAGATAATGCTAGATATGCTGATCATCAAAACGGACAAAATCCTAAAATAATCAAAAACAGATGACACTTATTGAGTCAAGAAATGTAGCAAGTTGGAGAACACTGCATTAAAAAATCAAGAGAAAGGTAAGAATGGTGTCTGATGGAGTACAATTAGGTGAGACATGACCCTATGCCTTCTCCTGAAGAGCTATTTAAAATAAGCAAGTTTTTAATGCTAAAAAAGTACCAATTTTTTTAAGCAAAATCATTAAAAATAATTCTTCACATTTGATTGATGGATGTAGTGGTTAAGGATGCACACACACGATCATGTGCGGGAATAAGCCAGGTAGAATTGAACATGGCTTACTGCTGAAGACATGATACTGATTTATAAACCAGTGTGTCCTCAGTGACAACCCTATCATAAAATCACCAGGTAGTCCTCAGCTAGACCCCTTCCACACAGCTGAATAAAATTGCACACCATCTGTTTTAAACTGGAATATATGGCAATGTGGGCTCACATAACCAAGTTAAAAGTAGATATGGTGGGATTTTCTGCCTTGATATTCTGGGTTGTATGGTTGTGTAGAAGGGCCCCTAGACATCATTACAGACTCAAGGCCAACACAGATGTGATTACACTGATTTCTTCCATTCCAAGATGCACTTTTTTCCTATATAAACATTTCTAAAAATGGAGTGCATTTAAAATCGCAAGTATGTCTTATGTATTTTTTTGTTGATAGTTGTACGTAAATTAGGGTGCATTTTACAATCAATGGCGCCTTAGAATTGATGAAATATGGGACTAATCTCAGTAGGATTTACAGCCAAGTAGACATATCCAGGAATACAAAGGAAGGCTCCAGAAATAGTATCCAGTCATAATTCAAACTATTTGTAATGGTTAAGAAGCATGGGAAACCCAGGCCATGATTTTTCATCATCTTCTCACTTCTCAGCAAATCCCCAGTGAAAAGAATATAATATTACAAAAGTGGTAGTAACTACTGCAATTGTTCCAAATGGTCAATATAATTGTTATTAAAAACAGTTTTTGAAATGTCTATTGGAAGTACTACAGTTATCATACAAAAACGCACACTATTAATTTGTCAAAAACAAGCACAAAGTTCTTTGTAAGCACTAGGCCAAGACGTTTCAATCCTTATGTCAAATAAAGTAGTTTTTAAAATCTCTACATTGAATTTATCTATGTAAGAAAGCACCTGCCTATGGCATCTTCTCCTTCAGATTTACGTAATCAGTCTTTAACTAATCTAATCCAATTTTACATGGACTGTTGTAAAAATATGTATATTAATCAAACATAGTCATAGTGCTATTCCAGAGACATCAGATCAGCAAAAATTACCTTGTATCCTGTATTGAATTCAAGTTTCTGCTGACAATATCAGCAATACGACCCATAAGAGGACTATTGTGTATTTGTTGGTCCTGCAGACATAGTGCAAACTTAGACAACGCAGGCAAGCTTAGTCTGTGAGGATACCAAATAAAATTCCATTAGTATATCAAAAGATATAAAGTTCCATATATAAAACCTGGCAACACTGCATGCACAAGAAAACACACAAGAAAAAAACAAAGAACGAAGACCAGGCTGTGGCTGCATTAAATCACTACTCATCATGAGTTCAAAGCCAGCCCGGGTCAGAGTGAGCTCTCTACCATTAATAATCTAGCTTGCTGTTGACCTATGCAGCCCGAAAGACAGCTGCATCTGTCAAGGAGGAAATTTAGGTACAGCTTTATGCAGGGAGACTAATTTACGACACCATAAAACCTTGCAGCAGCATGCATAAGAATGAGGAAGCACTCAATCAAGGACTCGATGTCACAAATGGACGGTGAAGCAGCAGCTCCCCCTGTGGCCTGAATCAAGCATACCCTCATGAAGCCAGAAAGCTGGAATGTTAAATTGCCTCTGTGTCTGTCTATGTTGTATGTCTAATGGCACTGAATGTTTGCCATGTATATGTGCATTGTAATCTGCTCTGAGTCCCCTGAGAAGGGCGGAATATAAAAACTGTAAATAAATAAATATTCTGAAGCATTTCAGTTTGAAGGATGACTATGCCCCACCTGGCTGCTAGTTTGGTTTCTTGTGTTTGCAGTTCTAATATGTATTTATGCACCTTTTTTTTTTGTCGTGTCAGGAGCAAGTCGCTTCTGGTGTGAGAGAATTGGCCGTCTGCAAGGACGTTGCCCAGGGGACACCTGGATGATTTGATGTTTTTATCATCATTGTGGGAGGCTTCTCTCATGTCCCCGCATGAAGAGCGGGAGCTGATAGAGGGAACTCATCCACCTCTCCCCGGATTCGAACCTGCGACCTGTCGGTTTTCAGTCCTGCCGGCACAGGGGTTTAACCCACTGCGCCACCGGGGGCTCCTTTATGCACTGAAGAGCAGAGGTTATTATTTACAATGCATGCAAGTACAACCTTATGAAATCTCTTTCTTTTTTTCTTTTTTAAAAGTATTTTTATTGAATTTTTAGGGAAAATTTTTATTTATTTATTTATTTATTTTATTTTATTTCAGTTACGTCTATCCCGCCCTTCTCACCCCCAAGGGGGGACTCAGGGCGGCTTACAAAGGAAGGCACAATTCGATGCCTATGTCAAAAAAGAAAAGAGAAAAGAAAAATAAAAAGGAGGAAGGGAAAAAGGGGAATAGGGAGTAGGAAAGTTTAACGGGTAGGAAAGAGGAAAAGGCTAACTATGGTTAAGGGGGTATGGAAGTTTCCCTACTAATGGAGTGAAAGGGCTGGGGGGAAAGGTAAGGTATGAGCAACCAATTATTCAATGTATACAAAGACTGGAAACAAAACAAAAATTGTACTTGCCCATCTAATCGTCTCCAACCTTCCATGACCATTTCTTGTACCAATGAATCATGCGCCTCAACTCTGAACCTACAGAAAGAAAATTGAAGAGGCTATGCATAGTTATTTTGAACATATTAGAGAATGAAAACTATATAACCAGAAACATACTAGAAAAGCAGCTTATTAGCAGATTGGGGTTTTTAAAATAATGAATGGTTGTAATACAAATAAATATAAAACAGTCCAACAAAAAAATTGGTGTCTTGGTTTTCAGGAGTTCCCGGGGTTATTATCTGGAGTACTGATTCAGAAAATTGCATTGGATAGACTGCATCAACTCTAGCTTTTTAGATATGGGTGTCATGACTTTTATGGGCAAGCAGATGGCGACTGGTAGATGGCATGTTCCATATCTCAAAAACTAGAGCTGAGAGGAGAAAACTGGTGTCATTTTTGGAATCAGCAGATCAAAAATACCAAGAAACGGGGCTAACATTTGAGGTACCAAAATATATGTTGGCCAGTGATTGCACTTGCTCACATGCAGTCCCTGATGCTTATATACATGTCAACTTCTTCATAGTTCCCCCTTTACTTGGACCAGAAGCAGACCACCTAGAACTGATACTAGTATTGAATAAACCTTTTTCATAACTTGGTGAATGCCTGTACTCAATTTTAATAAAAGAGGAACAAAACTATTTTTTTTAAATCATGATTTAATAAACATATTCCCACACACTGCTTACCTGAGTATACTGTAGAGCGTGTCCACTAGTGTTTCATTATTCATATATGCAATTTTGTTCTCTGCTAAAATGCGAAGAATAAGAAACTGAGAATGATTTTTTACATAGTCAGTATTCCTCAGGAGCTCGGGCTTCTTCTTTTGAAACTGCCAAAGTAATTGAACTGCACTTCCCACATGATTTTCAGAAAGTTTTGTTTTGTTCTTTCCAACAAGATCAAAGACTTCATCCTCATTTGTACAGTTATTCAGCTGGCTCAACAAGGAGTCACTGCTCCAAGTTCGACAACAACAATGCCTCAGTGCAAATGGGTAAAAACGTCTCAAGTGAAGCATCTTTTGTGACTTTTATAACTTTCTTTTAACTGTATCCAGAATGAGATTTTCTTTCTTCATTTTCAATCGTCAGCAAAGGACTGACATCTAGACATTGTATATCTTGAATATTCTTATATTCTTTGAAGTTACTGCAAGGGACAAACATACAAAGGAATTCTGAAATATTTATAGCAGTATCATTTTGAAATGGTTCAATGAATACCCCAAATAAGATTGCAAATATGTGATTGGTCTCTCCAACTAGATATGTTTGTATCAGGTAGCTGTCACAAACAGCTTTTTTCTAATAAGCAACCTGACACTAAACCATGATTTAACATATTTTTCACCAAGCTATAATAAATCTGAGATGTATGTTCTAACAAGTATATTTCATCATATAGAAATATGCCAGCTGAAATTCTGAATCCAAACTGAACATATAACTATGTCACCCAAGGTGTATAGATGCTTAGCTTTTAAATGTAATTTTAATTATATTTTTATGGTATTCGTGACACAAATATTTAATTGTTCTTTAATTTTTGTATTAATAGGTCTGTGTATTTACCTTTCTAAAAATTATATTATGTCATGTCTGTTGTGTTAGCCACCTTGAGTCCCTATGAAGAGAAAGGCTGGATAAAAATAATAAAGTAAATGATGATAAAAATACATTTGCTGAGGTTAAGGAACAGGATTTCCATGAAAATGAAAAACAGTGAATAAAGAAATTGCTTTTTTAAAAAAAAACAAAGGCAACACCTCTTCAGGAAATTCTAAGCCTTCCAGGATGACTCTGTGGTCCGTTTCCACTGGACACAGCATAGAATTACATTGAGAGAGCTTAGAGATTCCTAGAGGAAGTTTACCAGGGACAGGATGAAGGATTTAGAGATTCCAAGAGAGAACAGTTTTAACCAAACACTATGTAACACACTTTTTGTTCCTGGGTTGTAAATGTCATTTCCTAATTGGTTCTATCATAGAAACATGGGGAAAGTGTATTAAACTGCAAAAACTTTGTTTTTGTGGGACATCCTGCAGCACAATTTGCTCTAGTTTTTTTCAATAAATATCTCATAAGAGTCTCAACCAATTCAACATAGTTTATGGCAGCCACAAAAATGAAGTTTCTGGAATATAACAACTGCTTTCAAAGTACGTACCACATAATTAAACAAGAAATAACACTTTCAAACCAGGAACAGAACATGTTTCACATTTTGTTACATAGTGTAATCAAAACTGCACGAGGAAGGACAGCTTTACTAGGTTTTCCAAGGCCCCTTCCAGACAGGTCATATATCCCAGAATCTGATGTCAGGTTTTCTGCTTTCAACTGGATTATATGAGTCCGTACTGCCAGATAATCTGGGATAAAGAGAAAACCTGGGATCAAGGGTCTGTATGGAAGGGCTCCAAGTTAGTAGAAACAGTGTATAACATCAAAGAGCTCTGGACAGCTCCTATTCTTAATGCGGATCTTCTATACATGAAGTAAACAGTCACCCATCCAGTGAAAACTCTGAATCAAGACATTTCTAACAAACTCCCTTGTGACATTTGTGGTTTTAAAAAAGTATATAATGAATGTGCCCCTAGTGGCACATTGGGTTAGACCGCTGAGCTGCTGAACTTGCTGACTGAAGGGTTAGTGGTTTGAATCCGGGGAGGGGGTGAGCTACTGCAGTTAGCCCCAGCTTCTACCAATCTAGTAGTTCGAGAACATGCAAATGTGAGTAGATCAATAGGTTTCACTTCCATGGGAAGGTAACAGCACTCCATGCAGTCATGACCATGGAGGCATCTATGGACAACGTTGGCTCTTTAGCTTATTTATTTATTTATTTAGAACTTTTATATCTTCTCACCTCCGACGAGGGACTCAGGCCGGTTTACAACAGAGGAGTTCATACACAATAGTTAAAAACATCACATCTTAGAAATGGAAATGAGCAGAGTAGGACAGGAGTAGACTTAAAAGTCTAGGGCAAAACCTTTACCTTTTATACTGAAAGAGAAGAACCCACACATATTCTATAAAGAGAATGTGGAGGGTGTATCTTGGTCCTGGAGGGAAATGAAAACATCTGCCTATGGGATCTATGTTTGTTGTTGTTCATTCATTCAGTCGTCTCCGACTCTTCGTGACCTCATGGACCAGCCCACGCCAGAGCTCCCTGTCAGCCGTCACCACCCCCAGCTCCTTCAAGGATCTATGTAGAAGTAGATAAATGTAAGTTCAGTCGTGTCAGGCTCTGGGGGGTGGTGCTCATCTCAATCTCATCTAAGCTGAAGAGCCGGCGTTGTCTGTAGACACCTCCAAGGTCATGTGGCCAGCATGACTGCATGGAGCGTCACTGGAGCAGTACCTATTGCTCTATTCACATTTGTATGCTTTCAAACTGCTAGGTTGGCAGAAGCTGGGACTGACAGCGGAAGCTCATGCTGCTCCCTGGATCCGAACCTGCGAGCTTTCAGTCAACAAGCTCAGCAGCTCAGCGGTTTAACCCACTGCGCCACCGGGGACACCATGTAGAAGTAGAAAAGCATTAATACATAGTTGCATCTCCACTGCAGAATGAATGCAGCTTGACATAGCTTGAACTGCCTTGCCTCAAGACTATGGGATCATGAGAGATATAGTTTGGTGAGGTGGCGTCACCCTCCGGCAGAGAAGGCTAAAGACCTTGTAAAACTGCCATGATTTCATAGCACTGAGCCATGGCAGTTCAAAGTGGAGTCAAACTGCATTCATTCTCCACCCCAGATCCTTAGGAGCGAGAGGAAAGAATGAACCCGGCCCTGTTTGCAGAGATCACCCGGCCTTACCGCAACTACAAAGGTGATTCCCCATCCCAACACACACCAGAGGGACCCCTCAGGGCTGGGAAGATCAGCCTCCCCCTTCCAGCCACACAGCATGTGACTGAACACGCTGCCCAGGGGGGAAGGAGGCGTCGCGCACCGATGACGTCCCAGGTTTCCCCTTAGAGTGACACTCCAGCCACGGATCTCCCCTCCTACAAGGCATCGCGCGCCGATGACGTCCCAGGTCCCTCTTACAGCCACTGATCTCCCGCCTAGAAAGGTTATGGGAAGTTGGAATGAACTGAGCGCGCGCACGAAGGCAGCCCGAGCAAAGTCCTCACGGGCTCTTCTGTTTCCGCCTTGTCCCAATTCTGGCTGGAGAAGGCTAGGACTCCATTTCCCAGCACGCTCCGCTTTGCCCTCCCATTGCCTATTGGGAGTTGTGTTTAAACTGATAAACGTCTCGACCAAGTTTTCTTTGGATCCTGCTCTCTCTTTTCAGGAAGGAGTTCACAGAAAGCAGTTTTAAACGAAGACTAGGGGTTTTGATTTCAATTTATGTTGCTACTATATGCTAATTCTGTATTTGATGCAGGTTTTTAAACTTTTTTTGTAATTTTGTCTATGTAATTTATTTTTTGTAATTTTGTCTATGTAATTTATTTTTTTGTAATTTTGTCTATGTAATTTATTTTTTGTAATTTTGTCTATGTAATTTATTGTACACTAGCCGTCCCCTGCCACGCGTTGCTGAGGCTCAGTCTGATGTTCTGGAAAATAAAGTAATGAGAAAGTGTTGGTTTCTAATATATGTCATGTCTTTATGCTTGTGGATAAACAGTATTTCTTGTTTTTTCTTTGTCAGTGTTGATGTGGTTTGCCTACTCTTGAACATGCAACATATAATTGCCCTTCTTCAGGGGTCCCTTTCAAATCTAGGATACTGTATCTCTCTGTGAGTGAATCATATATATCTATCTATATATATGGCTGTATGACTCTTTGTCAGGAGGGCTTTGATGATGTTTTCTTGCCCTGTTGAAGGGAATTGTGGCACAGCTGGCTGAGTGTCAGCTGCATTAAGATCACTCTGAGTTCGAAGCCAGCCCCGGTTGGAGTGGGTTTCCAAAAGCCAATTGTGTGTAGCCTGTTGTCGACCTTTGCAACCTGAAAGACAGTTGCATCTGTCAAGTAGGAAAATTAGGTACCACCTTAAAGTGTGGGGAGGCTAAATTAACTGATTTATGAGGCCATAAAGAAGACTCCAGCAAAGCATTCCAGCAGGGAAGCATGCGGGGAATGCGGAAGTGCTTCATCAGCATCGCAGATGGACGATGAAAGCGACAGCTCCCCTGGTGGCCAGAAAAGGTTAAATAGCCTCTGTGTATGTCTGTATACGTTGTATGTCAAAAATTGGCATTGAATGTTTGCCACATATGTGTACACTGCAATCCGCCCGGCGGGGTGAGAAGGGCGGAATATAAAAGCTGTAAATAAATAAATAAATAAATAAAATTGGACTGGATGGCCTTAAGTATTTTCTGTTGGTCATGGGGGTTCAGTGTGCCACGTTTGGTTCAATTCCATCATTGGTTGAGTTCAGAATGCTCTTTGATTGTAGGTGAACTATAAATCCCAGTAACTACAACTCCCAAATATCAAGGTCTATTTTCCCCAAACTCCGTCTGTGTTCATATTTGGGCATATGAAATATTCGTGCCAAGTTTGGTCCAGATCCATTATTGTTCGAGTCCACAGTGCTCTCTGGATGTAGATGAACTACAACTCCCAAAACCAAGGTCAATGCCCACCAAACCCTTCAAGTGTTTTCTCTTGGTCATGGGAGTCCTGTATGCCACATTTGGTTCAATTCCCTCATTGGTTGAGTTCTGAATGCTCTTTGATTGTAAGTAAACTATAAATCCCAGCAACTACAACTCCTAAATGACAAGATCAGTTTTTTAGTAATGGTCTCGCCATAGGTTAGTAGGTGTCATGTTTCCAAATTCGGTGTCAATTCGTCCAGTGGTTTTTGAGTTATGTTAATCCCACAAACGAACATTACATTTTTATTTATATAAAAGATATTTTATGTCCATATGTTTCTACTTTGTTAGATCTCGCCTCCAGCTATTAAAAGAGGCAGGAAATAAATAAAATATATTATTATTATTATTAGTAAAGGTAAAGGTTTCCCCTTGATATGAAGTCTAGTCGTGTCCGACTCTGGTGAATGGTGCTTGCATATCTCTATTTCTAAGCCAAAGAGCCAGCGTTGCCCGTAGACACCTCCAAAGTCATGCGGCTAGCATGACTGCATGGTGCCAGAGCACAGTCTGTTCAGGACCTTCCAAGTTGCCCAGCCTTCTGTGTGCCCAGGAGAGCGTTTCTCATTTGATATCTATCAGCCATGGATTGAGGTTCTGAGTTTTAGCCTGCCACCTTTGGACTCTTGCTTACTGAGGTGTTCCTGCGAGTACCTCTGTAGATCTCAGGAAACTATTTCTTGATTTAAGATGTTGGCTTGCTGGCTGATATCTGAACAGAGCATGGGCCAGAGATGTCAATGCTATAGAGTAGAGCTTTCCAAACATTTCATGTTGGGGATACACATTGGAGAAGTGCCTCATTTTCGCAGTACAATCCTTCAGGTTCATTAGCAAACTGTCACTGGCATTGACAGTTTTCTAGTGAACCTGAAGGACTGTATCGTGAAAATGATGCATGTCTACAATGTGTATCAGCAACACAAAATGTTTGGAAAGCTCTGCTCTATAGCCTTGAGCCATGGCAGTCCAACAGTGGTGTCAAAACCGCATTTAATGTGCATTGTGACTTATAATAGATGCTCTGCATGTGCTCGCCAAAAGCAGTGGAGAGTGGCCTACTGAGGAGGAGGATTAGTGCTTCTCTCAATCAGCCAGTCAGAAGAAGAGCCAGGCCCTGAGATAGATAGATAGATAGATAGATAGTTGGATTGTTGTAGGTTTTTCAGGCTATATGGCCATGTTCTAGAAGCATTCTCTCCTGACGTTTTAGATCAGTAGATTAGATTGATAGATAAGATAGATAGATCAGGAAAGAACTGAGTTCCCTTGGGGAGATAGGGCACATTACAAAAATAAAGTTTATTTATGTATAGATAAGATAGATTAAATAAATAAGATATAATACTAATAATAATAATAATAATAATAATAATAATAATAATAATAAATCATCTTTATGTATATCCCTTTTTTCTCCCTAACGGGATCCAAAGTGGCTCACAAAATAATACAACACAAGTCAAAGCACATTTAACATAAAATACAAGATATCTATCTAACTTATCTATAAATCTTATCTATCTATCTAGTCTATAAATAAACAAGCAAACTTTATTTGTAGCCTGCCCTATCTCCCTAAGGCGACTGTTCTTTCCTGATCAATCTCATCTATCTATCTCAGTGGTTCCCAACCTATGGTCCGTGGACCACCAGTGGTCTGCAAGAACGAAAACATGGTTTGCAGCCACACCATTACTACACTGTTGCCTCGAAACTACGCGGAAACAAGCGACTGGTCTCGCAGTACCCTCTTATTGTGCACAGGTAACTGGGATGTCGGAAGGGGAGAGGTTGACTACCTACGAAAGATTACTACCACATCAGCTCTAGATTATTTTATCTATGTAATGTATGTATCGAATATATTTTATCTATTCTATATAATCTATCTAATCTATTTTATCAGTCTATCTAATCTATGTAATCTCTGTTATCTATCTAATCAATGTATTTTATCTATGTAATCTATCTATCAAATATATTTTATCTATTCTATGTAATCCATCTAATCTATTTTATCTATGTTATCTATCTAATCTATTTTATTGATCTATCTAATCCATCTATGTAATCTATGTATTTTATCTATCTAATTTATGTATTTTATCTATGTAATCTATCTATGGAATATATTTTATCTATGTTATCTATCTAATCTATTTTATCAGTCTATCTAATCTATGTAATCTTTCTGTGTTATCTATCTAATCTATCTATCGAATATATTTTATCTATTGTATCTATGTAATCTATCTATTCTATTTTATCTATATTATCTATCCAATCTATTTTATCGGTCTATCTAATCTATGTAATCTCTCTATGTTATCTATCTAATCTATGTATTTTATCTATCTAAGCTATATGTTTTATCTATCTTATCTATCTAATCTATTTTATCCATATAATCTATCAAATATATTTTATCTATTCTATGTAATCTATTTTATCTATGTTATGTATCTAATCTGGCGGGGATGAGAGACAGGGCCTTCTCGGTGGTGGCGCCTCGGCTGTGGAACACCCTTCCCGTGGACATCAGACTGGCTCCTTCCCTGATGATATTCCGCAGGAAATTAAAGACGTGGCTGTTCAAGAAGGCGTTCGAACAAGAAGTGCAATAATTGGTAATGACGACAGGAATGGAACAACGGAAAATGATACTGGATTGTGGTTTAACAATGAGACGATGCGAATGGCTTTTTGTATTATTGATATTGATATTGTTGATGTTGTTGATGACGATGCTTTTGTTATTGCTAGATTGATTTTAGATTGTGTCTTGTAATTTGCACCCTGTCCTCTCTATGTTGTACACCGCTGTGAGTCGCCCCCGGGCTGAGAACAGCAATATATAAGCACAGTAAATAAATAAATAATCTATGTATTTATTTATTTACAACATTTATATCCCGCCCTTCTCACCCTGAAGGGGACTCAGAGCGGCTTACAAGGTATATATTACATACAATATATTATATTATTAGCATAGTACAATATCGGCATTAAACATTGCTATATTGCACCATACCACTATATTGCAATATTATTAGTAATATTACATGTAATATAAATATATAATTATAATATCATATTGTTATATTGCATTACATTATAATATTATATGTATATACAATATATTATATTAATCTATGTAATGTCTCTTTGTTATCTAATCTATCTATTGTATCTATGTATTTTATATATTCTATCTATCTAATCTATCTATCTATCTATCTATCTATCTATCTACCTACCTACCTACCTACCTACCTACCCTATCCTACCCTATCCTATCCTACCCTACCCTACCCTACCCTACCCTATCCTATCCTATCCATCTATCTCTCCTATCTATTTTTATGGTATCTACCTACCTTCCTATCCACTCTCTCTCTCTGGCTGCCCCTCCTTCCTCCACCCGCCCCGGCCCGCCACTCTCCTCCACTCCCGGAGTTTCCCGCTTCCTCCTCCTTCCTTCCTTCCTTGCTTGCTTCCTCCCCTCCCTCCTCTCGCCCCTCCCCTCCCTCCTCCTCCATTGACGCAGTCCGTGCTGCACCAGATCCTAACATGGCGGCGGAGGCGGGAGAGAGGTGCTGCTGAGGGGCGCCGAGGCGGGGAGAAGCCAGGGCTCCGAGGCTGGGTGAGTGCGGAGGGAGCCCGCATGGGGGGGGGGGGAGTCCGCGGGGGGTCTCCGGGGGAGAAGAGGGCGTGAGTGGGCCCTCCAAGTGGGGCGTGAAAGGAGGGAGGGAGGGAAGGAAGGAAGGAGCTCTTTCATTTGAATCTCCTTCACGCCGCGCGTCCATTCAGGAGAAGGGCCGAGAGGAGGAACAGGAGGCCTTGAATGGGAGGGAGTGGAAGGCGGGCGAGGGAGTGAGCGAGCGGGGCGGGTGTGCTGGTGTGCCCACGAAGAGGGCTGCCCTGCCTCCATTGTGGCTTCGGCCTGTGTGGAATATACACAACCAGTAGGAGTTGGGGGCCCTGCTTCCCTCCAACCCGAGGGGGGATCATCTGCACAACTTGGTTCCACTCTGAGGCCCTTCCACACAGCTGAATAAAACCCCACATTTCCTGCTTTGAGGTGGAATATATGGCGGTGTGGACTCAGATAGCCTAGTTCAAAGCAGATATTGTGGGATTTTCTGCCTTGCTGTTCTGGGTTTATTTATTTGTCGTGTCAAGAGCAACTTGAGAAACTGCAAGTCGCTTCTGGAGTGAGTGAATTGGCCGTCTGCAAGGACGTTGCCCAGGGGACGCCCGGATGATTTGATGTTTTTATCCTTGTGGGAGGCTTCTTTCATGTCCCCGCATGAGGAGCTGGAGCTAATAGAGGGAGCTCATCTGCCTCTCCCCAGATTCAAACCTGCGACCTGTCGGTCTTCAGTCCTGCTGGCACAGGGGTTTATATGTTTGTGTGGAGGGGGACTTACTCTTGAAGGTATAGAAAGCGCAGTACAGGTTGAATATCCCTTGGAAGGGATCCTCAAATACTCCAAAATAGTCCGCCCTGATGGGTGAGAGAGGGGCACTTTTGCTTCTTGATGGTTCAGGGAACACAAATATTGTTGAGGACTCCTGACCCAAAATTCCATCATACTCCAAAAAGCAGTGGGAGAGAGTGACACTTTTGCTCTAGGATGATTCAGTGCAAGTCAACATTGAGCCCTTAAGACAGGCCCTATATCCCAGGATCTAATCCCAGGTTTTCTGCTTTAAACTGGATTATATGAGTCCACACTGCCAGATAATCTGGGATAAACAGAAAACCTGGAATATAGGGCCTGTCTTGAAAGGTCCATACTTGGAATTCCAAAATAGTCCACCGGCCCGGGATAGATAAGAGAGGGGCACTTTTGCTTTTTGATGGTTCAATGAACACAAAGCTTTTAATCCAGTGGTTCCCAACCTTTGGGCCTCCAGGTGTTTTGGACATCAGCTCCCACAGTTCCTAACAGCTGGTAAACTGGCTGAGATTTCTGAGTTGAATTCTAAAACACCGGGAGGACCAAAGGTTGGGAACCACTGTTTTAAACAAAGGCTGGACAGCCATCTGTCAGGTGTACTTTGTGCTGTTCCTGCATGGCAGGGGGTTGGACTAGATGGCCCACTTTGTCTCTTCCAACTCTATGATTCTATGAAATATTGTTGAGTATTCCTGACCCTGGATTCCTGGATTTCGTGTTTAAAACTGAGTCCCAGCTCCAAGATACCTTAATATGTATATGCAACAAACATCTGAAAGAAAGACTAAACCTGAAATACTTCTGCTCCCAAGCATTTTGGAAAAGGAATACCTGTCCTTAATCAAGTGAAGCTGACTGACTTTTACACGTATAATTAGAAGGGAAAGCAGACTAAGTGGTTGTTGGATTTGATAATAACTAAGTGCAGAGTGAGAAGAAGATACAGATGGCAAGAAGTGGCAAAATAGCTGGCATGGTGGAATTGGGGAGGAACTGCATTAAACTGGTACCAACAAGACTAAATTAAAGCATCATTACTACGATATATTCTTTTTTTATAATGCAGTGTGCATTTAGTATCTTCTGGGGTTTGGTTCCATGGATGCTCAAGTCCCATTATATACATTGTAGTAAAATACATAGTGTCACTTCTTTAAAAATGATAAAATAGATTTCTGTTCTGTGTATGCCTATACCATCTCTGTATATGTTTACGAAAAAATGGAAGGTTTTCCCACTCAATCTATTTTCATAATAATAGTGAATGAGAAGTGTCATATATTGCAATTGGTGTATTTCATTTTTTATAAATGATTTTAAATTGGAATGAGGAGTGAAGTAAAGCTTTCAGGTATCACATATTGTTTAAAAATGAACTTAAAAGCAGATTCTTCAAATATGAAACATGCAGCGAAGAGATAAATGAAATTTTGTCTAAATGCAGAATGATTTTCTTGTGTCATAAACTGTGTGTCAGATGCTGCATATATTTCTGATTGTTTATGTATTTACGATATTTCTACCTCGCCTTTCTTGAACCCGAAGGTGACTCACAGTGGCTTTACAACATAGGCAGCTATTCAATGCTATTAAATCAATGTAAAAATTACAATTAACATTTAAAACAGAATTATAAAATACATACACGAAAACCTTTAAAAACATATAAAACCACTACTTTCACTATTAGCCTTGTCATCCAAAAACATTGTCTAAGCCATTCCAGTATTCAATTTCACATAGTTCCATGTTTATCAATTGCACTAGGTTCACAAAGGCTTGTTCAAAAAACTATGTTTTCACCTTTCTGCAGGAGGGAAGAAGGGGCTGATCTAATATCCCTAGGGAGGGAGTTCCTCAGCAGAGGTACCACCACTGAGAAGGTTGTCCTTAGACCAGGGGCCCCCAAACTAAGGCCCGGGGTCAGGATACGGCCCTCCAAGGTCATTTACCTGGCCCTCGCTCAGGGTCAACCTAAGTCTGAAATGACTTGAAAGCACACAACAACCACAATCCTATCTCATCAGCCAAAAGCAGGCCCACACTTCCCACTGAAATACTAATAAGTTTATAGTTGTTTAAATTTTTCTTCATTTTAATTATTGTATTGTTTTTAAGTGTTTTTTGCACTACAAATAAGATGTGTGCAGTGTGCATAGGAATTCATACATGTTTTTTTCAAATTATAATCCGGCCCTCAAACAGTTTGGGGGACTGTAACCTGGCCCTTTGTTTAAAAAGTTAGAGGACCCCTGCTTTAAACAAAGATCATTTAAAAGTACTACAAGAGAAAGTATGTAAAATGCAATTAAAATTATCAGAATGCTGCAGTGTACCCTTTGCGAACAAAGATTGAAGTGTTGGAGTTTTCAGGTGTGCTTTTATTTTGGTTTTTGTTGTCGTAATTAGTTAAGGGAAATTCATGGGAGCATGGAAGAGATCGTAAACTGTTTTGTCATGATCATGGCTTAAAATATTTACAAGCATAAAATCCAGTTGCCAAGTAAAGCTTTTAATTTGTTTAACCTGAACCATCAAACCACACTAAAGGTGCATCTGCAATTTAGAATTAATTCAGTTTGACACTACTTTACCCGGCATGGCTCAATGCTATGGAATCCTGGGAGTTGCAGTTTTTGGAGCCTTTACCAGAACCCATTTTTGATCTGGTGCCTCCTTTCAATTTAGCCATGCTTTTCAGATGAGTAGCTTGTTTCCATCACTTGCAGTTCTATTTCTTCTGATTTTTATTATTTTTAGCTAATCTCCCTCACTCTTACTTGAGGATAGGAAAATTCTCTATCCTGGCTGTTATAGAGGTTTCTTTATCCCTTGTTGCTGTAACTGGAAATAAGTGTGTTAGCCTTTTACTAAGTTAAGAAAATGTATAGGTTAGTAATTTTGGTGGGTTTATTAGCAAGGTTTGTTTATTTACCAAAATAAAGCATTTACATATACAGTAGAGTCTCACTTATCCAACCTTAGCTCATCCAACTTTCTGTATTATCCAATACAGTCTGCCTCCCGCCTGGATCCACAGCTGTTTCAAAACATTGTGATGCTTTGGTGTTAAATTCATAAATACAGTAATTACTACATAATGTTACCGTGTATGGAACGGCTTTTTCTGTCGATTCGTTGTAAAACATTATGTTTTGGTGCTTAATTTGTAAAATCATAACATAATTTGACGTTTAATAGGCTTTTCCTTAACCCTTCCTTGTTATCCAACATTTCCTCTTATCCAATGTTCTGCTGGCCAATTGTTGGATAAGCAAGACGACTGTACAGGGTAATGCAAAGGTCACTTGACAGTGACCATTGCTGGACACCCATTGAAAAGGTTGAGATAACACCAGGTTGAGATAATGTGTTTTTGCTGTTAGTTTAATTATTTTGTTAGTTTGCTATTCAATTACAGATATGTATTTTTTAAATAAATAAATACAGCTAGCAAGAGAACTTTGCCTCTCTCTGGATATTTGATATTGATATTGAAATTGGTTTTTCCAAATCATTTTTGTAAGTTTATCTTTTCTACCATAGTTCTCTTCCTCTTTTTGTGGGGATGAAAATGTATCAGAATTTTTTGTGGAACATTTTCGATTTAGTCAATGTGTGCCATCATGTGTTTCCTGATTTAATGACTTGTGAGGTGAATCTACTATAGGTTTTCTTGGCAGGATTTGTTCGATGGCGGGGAGGGGGATTTGATGTTATCTTCCTCTAAAGCTGAGAGAGTGTGACTTTTCCAAGGTCATCAAGCAAGTTTCCATGACTGAGTAGGGATTCAAAGACTGGTCTCTTGGAGCCATAGTCCAGCACTCAAAGTATACCACACCAGGGACCTCTTCACCTGGGTGGCGGTGGAGGGTTTTGGCTGTTTTGCCACAGAGCCTGGTGGCTCTCATAATATCCCAGACAAGTGCTTCCAGGGTGGCTCCATAGCAAAACTGGCAAGAAAAGCCCTGCCGCTGCCGAAAAATAGTTGGCAGCACATGACAAGAGGCTTCCCGTCTTTCCATAGGGTGGGTTTAGCCGACTTACTGAAGCTTCCCCCCGTGTGATGAGATATGAGGGAAGCCGGGACAGTGCGGGGCGTGGGGCGACAGGCATGTGCCGCCAGGATCACCGCAATACTCTGCAATTTTGGCAACATGTGTAAAGAGGTTGCAGTTCTGATTCAGAACTGTCCTGGGAACTCACATGATCGGCAATGTACTTCTGAATATCCTTTGTCAGTTATCATATGTACGGTATTCTTGCCTTTCTGGCCAGATTGTGAGCTTTCTGAAGGCATCTGGCTTTCCTCCGTTAGTAACAGGAAATTGGACTACCTGATTTCTAGTTCCATCCAACAGGTCTGTACTTATACAATGAAATGCAGTGACCGGCCTTTGGGAAATCCATTGTTTACAAACAAATCTGCCCTAGCCAATTTACTTAAGGAAAAGGTCCCATTGATTTTGCCAAGTATGTGCAATGAAGTTCAGTAGGAGTGTTTCCTATGTGAATGTGTTTAGAATTACATTTTTAGTGCATTCATGCATTACAAAAATAAGTTTAAAATGAATACGCTGCTTTCTTTTGTTGGAGGCTGGTGACTCTTTGTGTATAATGAGCAGTGGACCTAAAGGTAAATTCTTGAAAAGAGAGGTCTCTTATAAGAAGAGTGCAATTTATGCTTTTGTTCACACAGCAAGCCGTGTGGTCTTTATTCAAACTGTTGTTGAATATAGGAGAGCCCTTGCACAGTGTTGTAGCATTTGAATGAACCTTGTCCTTCACATTTGCTCTTCCTATTATAGCCCTATTGTCAAGACAGCCTCAAGTACAATCCAGGCATATTAGACCCTACATTTACAGGTCTGGTTGCATAGATAGGATTTTGCCTGTAGACAGTAGTGAAATATCAGGCAAGCAGCAATGCCACAAGCGGCTGCTGCTAATCCTCCTATAGGCCTCAAAGGGAAGAGGTGTGTGTTTGCTTATAGGAGGGCATCTGGTTCTTCTTGTAAATTTGGTTGGTTCTTAAAGCAGCATTTCAGCAGTAACATTCTTTGGTTAAGTTTTGGACCTGTATGAAGAATTACTAGGGATTTGAGGTTAGTATTTCTGTTTGAAAAACTTGTATGCATAGCTGCTTACTTTAGTTCAACACAAAACTTGTGGTCTGTGCAGATTTTAGACTTTTTCACCTATTTATGTAAATTGCTTATAATTATACTTTTAATGCCTCCATTTTTCACTGGAACATGGGTTTAAGGAAGCTTACAAATTCAAAGGAAATATGCTTTTATAGGTTTATTGTTTTACTTTCACTTAAAATATAATCAAACTGTGGCATTAAAATCAGTTTACAATATCAATAAAATATTTAAAATCTAAAAAGCAGTATGATACATTACTGAAACCTGTTACTTAAAAAAAACAGTCAGTCCCCAAAAGTCCCTGCCTGCCAAAGGACAACAAGGAAGAAAGGAAGGGGAGTTTTAGAATCTATGGGAAAGGAGTTTTAGAACCTATAAGCAGCCATCGAGGTGTCCTTCTCTCATGTTCCCATTTAGCAAGCTTGTGAGGATGGTAGAACCATGAAAAAGGCCTTTTTCAAAGATCTCTGTTCCCATGCAGATTTTTGGAAGAATATGGTCCAACAGACGGTCTGGACTGGATGGAAGCAAATGGCAGTTTCAATGTAATCATAAAACAGCTGTGTCTTGGAAGGAAGGATTGGGAGCCTCTGCCACTCATCTGCTCATGTTTGATTCTGTCTAGTGTCCCAGTATTGACTTCTGATCCGCCTGGGTGCCCAACTCATGATAATGATTAAAGCAGACAAGCCAAGTCAATAAAGTTTTGGAATTTCATGATATTATTTTTGGGAACTATATAGAATCTTGGTACTCTTTTTGGGCTATTTATTTTATGCATCCATAGATATATATATACACTTATACATTCTCCTTTAGGAGAAACACAGATATAGCAATGCCTGGACTCTTAGCTTCCATTATATAACATATATGTATGTTATATAATGTTATATGTAAGGCATCATATGTTTTGTAATAGCACATGGTCATCAAGATGTTCCCCTTTTATCGGAACAATTTACAGGAAGTTTATCTCTCTATTCAGCCCTTCAGTCTTAATCATCATCATTAAACGATTCAACATAACCTTTTATCCATCATCAACGTTATCATTGGGATCTTAAACCCTAAAACAAAACTCTTCAGTGATATTGTCATCAAAACTGCTACCATACTGTGGCAGGCCACTGAAAATAGTTTTAGGTGATAAATTATAGGTGGAAATTAATAGACTATATTTGCAACATGCTTTAGGTTCTTAGTCAACCAAAACTCAAGCAACTAATAAAGAAAACTAAAGTTGCATACTGTTATTATAATACAGTAAATAAGTTTGTCTTTATTTGCTTTTAATTACTGTTTTTAAATATGACATCAAGACAGAGTTTATGGTATGGTATGGTATAGTATTTGGTCAATTTTTAACAGCAACTCAAGCAACCAGAAACCACATGTATCCAGCATCTTCCAATCCTCATGAATGCTGGTTAATTGAGAGTACTGTACTGTATTATGAAAGTTGTATGTTTAATATTCCAAACGTCCCCCCGCCTTGTATACATTAAAGTCAATATTTGGATGATACTGGTGTGCAAGTTAGAAGTTACAAACTTCCAAGCAGGAAACAGGAGGAATGTGTGCCAGAGGCTTACTAGCATTTGAAATTGACTTCCATAGACACAGGGGATGGGTCTATGGATGCAGGTGTTTCAACCTAGTGTAACAGAGTCGTCTTAGGATGGACTTCCTTGTGTACAGGAGAGTAGGAGGTGGCAGCACTAAGCCCCAGATGGCCATTCTTCCTGCTTTATGCTGGGAATGCAGACCATCACTTCCATCTTTCAAAGAGTAGAAGCACCACAGCCAAAGCAGGAAGAATTATGCCTTGGCCTTGCCAATGTTGCCTCCACTAATGTCCTGAGATCGCTTCTCAGGGTATCTGCAGTCTATTGCAGATATGTAAATTTTAAATAGAAACTTGAGTATGCATGTTTTTTGGCATACACTGGGGGACCTAGAACAAAGTCCCTGTGGATACCAAGGGCCCACTGTATACAAGATGTAGTTGGTCTAGAGATTATTTGAGGAACAGTTGTTCATATTGGATGTAAATTCTGGGCTGTTCCTTGTGATGATACAGGTGGAGAATTTTCCACTGCTATATATACCCACTGTTCTCGACTATTGGTGGATGGTTATTGTTGTTTTTATGTTGTTATGATGTCTGTTGTTCAGTTTTATTGTTTTAATTCTTAAAATGCAATGTATATTAATTGTGCTATATTTTATTCTGCTTTGCTGAGCTAGTCCCCATGTAATCTACCCTGAGTCCTTTCAGGGAGATGGTGGTGGGGTATAAGAGTAAAGTTATTATGATTATTACTATATTTTTCCATGGAGTATCTTCTATTTCTAAAAAACATTAATAGTGTAACAAGTTAAAACTTTCCTGAGATGATTGTACCTAGGAAATCTGTATGTATATGTAATTCATAATTTTCAAGATATAATAAAATTAGTATGTAAACAGTTTTAGTAGCTATTTTCTTAAAGTTTAATGAAGGGAAGTGAATGTAATTGTTAACAATATATTTACAAACACAGGTTGAGCATAACTGAATTTATTTTGAAGGTGTAGGGGAAGTTAAGTGTCTTGCAATCTGAGCTTGATTGCAGTACTGAGTGGTGTGTTGATCTACGTCCCATGAAAACTGCAACAGGAATAGTTCACTTTTTTATATCTGTAAAAGACGATGTAATTTCATACCTATATATTTTTGTTTGTCAGTGTTCTTTAATCAAGGCTTAAAAACACATTCAAATGAGTACGAAATGAAAACTTAACATTTGTAATTCCATTACAGTCTTAAAGGTTGGAAGCCATGGGAGTGAAAACCCAGAGACCTCGTTGCTTTTTTGACATAGGCATCAATAATGTACCAGGTAAGAGAGACACTACTGGCTTCCATGTACCATTTTGTCATGTTGAAATGTCCAGGTGCACTCACCGAGCCTTCTTTTATTTTTTATTTTAATTTTATTGATACATCAATTCAATTAACAAACTTTTGTCATACAGGTGTAATCTCAATATATATTTTTCCAAAAGTCACTTTACCTTAATTGATGCTTTAAATATTCCTTGGATGTGTATCACCCGTTTCCCATGCCCCCCACTTCCCCCCTCCCTTCTGGAGCAGCAATTCCGAATGATATCATTGCATCGATTTAACCGTGTAGAAAGCCTGGTTCAAAATCCTATATCATTTCCATCTGTTTTGTCGGTTACAAAAGACCATTTCTTATACTAGTCTTATTTTGTATAACCATTCATATATTTGCTTTTCCTTTGATTATTAAAACCACTAATTATGTATTCTGAGAGATAAAACCACTAGGTTTCCAAATCCCATCTTGCATTATCTCTCCATTCTCGTAGCTATTGTAGTTTGCTAATGGTTCAATGGCCAATGCAAATAGGGTTGGGGAAAGGGGGCATCTCTGTTTGGTTCCACTCTTCATGTTAATTTGTCTCAAGTGTGCCCAGTTTCTTGTGATGGTTGCTTTATTTCCACTGTATTGTTCTTTTATTACCTTGCACACTTCCCCCATATTAGTTTCCTCACAAATGTTGGCATAATTGTGGGGGTATAGATTCATTCTCTCATATGTGGTAGGATTGTAGAAAAATTCAGAACGATTACATTGAAATCAGAAATGCAGTGGAGGAACTAATAAGGCAAAAGTTAAAGTGGGATGAAGCTAGATTTATGTCTCTCACTGTAGAGGCAAAGGAAGATAATACTAAATGGACAGAAATCCTAAAGTATATGATAGCTGGAATACAGCTACTGAGTCTTATTATTGACCTTCAAAATCATATCTTTAACATTTGTGGGTGTAAATAATATGCCTTTAATTATGTATTTTTATTTTTGTTTTAGCTGGAAGAGTTGTCTTTGAATTATTTTCAGATGTTTGTCCAAAGACATGTGAAAACTTTCGTTGCCTTTGTACAGGTTTGTATATATTAGTAATTCGTTGTATAATGCAGGGGTTGATAAAGTGTAGCTCATTGCAGAACCAAAATTCAAAAAGGAAAGTCACACTTCTGTAGAGTGGACTGCCTTGTGCTTTGAAAAGACTGTTTTACATAAAGCAAATTCTTCAAGTACCAATTAGTGCAGTTGCATATTTGAGGTTCTGTATAGAAGAGTCAGCTGTGTAACTGTGCTTCAAGGATGGCTTCAGTGACAAAGAATCGAACTGTGTACCAATTTATTTTTTGAAATCTAGATTTGTTAACGTTTGAAAAGTAATCCCAAACCTCAGGACAGGCTGAGCATCTTGCTTGATTTCTAGATAGGCTTCATTAAAGATATTGTATCTGCAAGAGAAGAAACAGATTTATTGTAGCCATAATCAAAGCCTTTATTTAAATAATTTGGAATTGTGCTTGATGTGGGACAAGTCTTTATTTCAGTAGACCAATTCTTTAATCAGTAAGATGAGACCAATCATTAATTCACACAATTATTTCTGATTTCTCTTTGGAATCTGAGATATATATCTTTAATAGTAGCTCCTTCCATTTAGGAAATCTAGGAGAGTTTCAAAGCAGTTTGTAATATGATATAGAAATGGGAAACTTTTGTACACATGTCTGACAATTTGGACCATTAGAAGCTTAGCAAATAAACATAGTATTCACGTCATGTAATGTTTTCACAATTTGAGTGAAAGTTATATAATAAGATAGCTCCTTACAATTTACACTTTATTTTGGTTGTTTGTGGAGAAACTGTCTCATTAGAAATGATGGAATTTGAATGTTTTTCCCTCTGCAGGCGAAAAGGGTACAGGAAAATCAACCCAGAAGCCATTGCATTACAAAAGTTGTCTGTTTCATAGAGTTGTGAAAGATTTCATGATCCAAGGAGGTGACTTCAGTGAAGGTATAACATTGACTATTGGAAATAATTGTTTACAAATATGAAATGTATATGAAATAGCAATCTAAATCCTAAAAAGAAAACACGCAGGGTGGCAAGCTCTATGCTGTGCCCAGCTTACCTGTCTAAATGTATCTCCTCCTATGAACCACCTCAGTCCCACCTCCTTTTTTTTCAGGGCATTTTCAGTGGTGGCTCCTCAGCTGTAGAACTCCCTCTCCAGTGAGATTAGAGCAGGTCCCTCACTCCTGGCCTTCAGAATGAAAGTGAAAACCTGGCTCTGGGGGTCAAGCCTTTGGAGATTAACTGCAGTGCAATAATAGCTATGGAATTATGTGTAATGACTTTTGGAATGGCCCTGGATTACGATTGTGGATTGTGTGATTTTTAATAATGGTTGTGATGTTTTATGTGTTTTAATGTGCATTTAATTTTAAATCTTTAACTTAATGTATTTTAACTGTTTGTTGTTCAAAGGCATTGAATAGTTGCCATATGTAAAGGCGCCTTGAGTCCCCTTTGGGGTACAGAAAGGTGGGATACAAATAGAGTAAATACATAAATAGTCCTGTACAACCTATATTAAGGTCAAGAGTCTACCCTCAATGTGCAAAACAGAATGGTTTACAATGGTCTGAATATATCATTATATTTCAGTAAAATTAGACTCAGAGGAAGGGGGCTTGAAAATTGGAGAAAAGGATGTGCAGATACCGTACTGCTAGCTGAAAATAGCAAATGTTTGGAACAGTTACTGTAGAAAGTCAAGGGAGAAAGTGCAAAAGCAGGCTTACAGTTGAACATAAACAGAAATAGATTATTTTATATAACTTTAAAGTGGATATTGAAGCCATTGAAACAGTTCAAGATTTTCCATATCTTGGCTCAGTTATTGATCAGAATGGAGATTGTATTGTTGAGGGCTTTCACGGCCAGAATGGAGATTACAGTCAAGAAATTAGAAGGAGACTTGAGAGGGCAGCTATTAAGAAACTAGAGAAGGCAACCCATGCTGTTATATTTCCAATTTCTATGTGGAGTTATAAAAGTCATCTGAGAGGTGATGTTGGAAAAGAGTTCTGCGTATTCAGTGGACTGTTGGAAGCAAAAATAAATGGGTTCTAGAACAAATCAAGATTGAAGGTTCCCTGGAAGCCAAGATGACTAAAGTGAGACTTTGGACGTATCATGAGAAACTGGCCTCACTAGAAAAGACTAATAAATAACCTAAATGTACCATATTCCTACTGATTGTGGAAGCTAAACACTATCAGCCCTGATTAGTATTTTAGTGGGAGACTTCCAATGAATGCCACATGCTGTGAGTTATATTTCAGAAGAAGGAACTGGCAAAGCCGCCTCTGAGTATTCCTTGCATAAGAAAATTATGACATTCTTAGGGTCACCTACTAACTTGAAGGCATATTTATACAAGATAGAAGGCTATAGGAAAAAAGGAAATGGAAAGACCAAATTAAGGAAGCCGCAGCACTGAAGCTGTAAGGCCTGAGCAGGGCTGTTGATGATAGGATGACTTTGAGATCTCTCATTCATAGATTCATCATAAGTTGAGGTAAGTTTGATGACAGTTAACAACAAGATGATGAGAAAAATAGAGAACAGCCTCATTCTGTTTCATGACAATCAGTTTTCTAAGATTTACCTAATTTCACAGGAATTGAAGTTCCCTACACTCATAAAATATTTTCTGTGTCGATAAGAAACATTTACGAGACATATCACCATTATTATTAGTCATATTTTTTTCATTTTGTAACAGGAAATGGAAGGGGAGGAGAATCAATATATGGTGGCTTTTTTGAAGGTAAGAATATTAAATTCCTTACCATAGTTATTAGTTTAATAAATATGTCTGTTAGGGAATTAGTATTCAGTGTTCCTTGCCTTCAGGCCAGATTTTTATTTAGGACTATGGCCTGATCTGTCCTTAAGTTCTAGAGCCAGGGATCAAAAAAATAAATAAAATAAAAATCTTCCTTCTCTGTGGTTTTGTAATATGACCACTGATGTAGTGGCTCAGCTTTGTTCCTCCCTTTCTACTTATCTTAAGGTTTTATTGAAGAGCATAAGTCTTCTATCCCTTGTGTCAAATTGCCAGAGCTCTACTGGTATACAGGCTGAGGTGAACCAAAACAAACACCCAGCTTGTGTCAAACTGTTTAATTAAAGCATCACTTACTGTCTGACTGTTTCCATAGTCCAAATAGAAAACAAAAATAGCACTCAGCCACAGAATATAAAAAAAGATTGATAGCAAACGCCAATGCAGGTTCGGGAGAACACCATAGTCAGAAAGTTCAGTCCAGTAGTCAAACACGAAGAGTTCAATTATTAATGTCCAAAGATCAAGATTCTGTACCATAGTCAATAGCCAGTCCATAGAGTCAAGGTTCCAGGAGACAGGTCAGGATACCGAAATCCACAAACCTGGGAGAAAAACCAGAAGCACCCACAGCCAAATATGACAAATACTCCCCCCCCCCCCCAAAAAAAAAGATCGGTCTCCAGGCTAGCTCCTTATATCCAGTTAAACCCAGCTGCATCCTATTTCTTGCATGCCTCCACCCTTAATTGCTTTCGCCTGTAAATTTTTACTTATAGATTACTCTGCCCTTTAAAACTGACATGGGTTAGGACTGACATTAACCCCTTCCATCACCAACTGCTAGGTCTGATCACTACCACCATCAACTGAGGAACATGATACATGACACCTTGTCCATTTCACGTTCCTCAGCCCTTTTCAGTTTTCACATCTAACGGATGGTGCCTCAACAAACAACTGTGTTTATAAAGTCAATGACATTATACCATCTCTAGAAACAAAATGGAACTTAAACCCCACGGGCTAGACAGGTCCTTAAAATGGACATGGAGCTGAATACTAAATGGCAGTTGTACACAACAGTCCAACAAAAGAGACTTTATGATTTCTTGTAAAGCTGGAAGGTGGTTACAGGTACTTACCATGGTTCTGTTTGTACTTTCCGGCAGCTTGAATTGTGTTGTAGTCTTAAAAGGCTTTTTCTTGGAAGAGCGATTTATGATTCAAAGCTGCAATAAACAAGTCTCCACAAGACCACATATTTATAAAAACTCAAATTTATTTATGTTTGTGTCTCAGATTTATCCCTTGTCCTCTACATATTATTGCTACCACTTTTTATAGACTTCTATGAATGTCAAATAAGACAAAATTATGAGCTTGTTTTCATAAAAACACTGATCTGCTTGAGCTAATAAAAATGAGGAGTTTAATGTGCACTGTTTTTGCTCAACAGATTTATTGAATTGTAAGGTAGTTCTGTTTACACATTCACTTATTCTGTGCTGTTCAAAGAGTAGATAGAATAATGGTTTTAATATTTTTGCAAGTTTGACTGAGAATTACCGTACATGTCTTTCTGTCTTTAGTTTACCTGTCTGAATACTGAATAATGTTAAGCACTGAGATGACGCATTTATGCAGTTTGACAATCCTTATTTAAAATGCTAAAGAAATGCCAGTGCAAGGTAATACTTGGATTTTTGAAGTAATTCAAACGCTTTCTCTAGATGAAAGCTTTGCTGTAAAGCACAACAAAGAATTTCTCCTTTCAATGGCCAACAGAGGAAAAGATACAAATGGTTCACAGTTTTTTATGTAAGTATCATGCCAGCTCCACTGTGTTTCTTCAGCATTTGGATGATATTCCTTACAATTCAAATTGTAAGAACTTTGAATTGTTCAAATGGCCGAGTCTTTTTTCTCTTGACAAAGTATGAATCCCTTTTAAATTATGCAGTTTAACTGTGCACATAATGTTTATTTGGGATGTAGCAAATAGGGTTAAAAGCATATAGGGAATACATTTGAATATCGTAGTCATTCTATATGTAAGAATCAAGATCAGCTTTGCATTAGAGCAGGGCCTCTTAAACTTTTCCCACTTGCAAGCCCTTACCTCCTGATAAATTTTTCCATGATCCCAGCTATATAGGTATAGTAAATAGGTATAAAAATCAAACTTTACCGATAATGAATCAGCATTTGCAAGACTTGCTAAACAGACTGTTTTTTCCTTTTTGTGAATAATAGATGAAACATTTTCTGAAGAGTCCACTGTAAACACTGCACAACATTGCTAACAGATTTGTGTAAATGTGGCATTCAGAAACCTTTTACTATTGTCATTTTTTTTCAACCTTAACATTGAGCTAAGGGGAGCCCATTTGTGGCCGAGACTCACAGTTTAAGAAGTAGTGTGTTAGAGGAAGCTGTCACTGCCTTCTAATTCAGGAAACATCTCTGTCCAGTAGTAGCCATTGTTGAAGCTAACTTGGTGTGTACCTGAACAATACTGAAGAACAGCCTACTGCGATCCTTGTGTAGGCTCTTCTGAACTTACTTTCTTAAAATGCTGGCTTTGAGTACAGGGAATAGGAGGCTAAGAGGCAGTGCTTGTTTTGTCCAGATATTTTCTGCTCTATTTCAACTGGCTACCTTTTATGTCAGGCCTTTTGGAATATCCAGTACAGGCAGTCCCCAAGTTATGAGCAAGATAGGTTTGTTATTAAGTTGAATTGGTATATGTCATAACAAATTCATTTTTTAAGTGAAGCTCCAGCCAAAACTACATATTTTTTAGCTTTGGGTAGCATATTTAAGGTTTAGCATCCCTGTGGTGTTTGCCTTGCTGTCCGTGATTCTGTTCAGAAGATTCCACTTCACTTCCTGTCCCTGTGATAATTGGATTCTGAAAAAAATGGCTTGTTGTAGAAACAAGGACTGGTGCTGAAGCTTCACTTGAGACACCTTTTCCCCACCTTAAGATGGAACAAAATTTTGTTATAATGAAAAAAAGAATCTGTGTTATTTAAGAAGTTCCAGTCTGGAATCAGAGTGATCCCAAGTTTGTCAGCCATAACTAGATGATATTATAATATTTTGAGTACTGCTGTGCCTGTCAGAAATGTTATATTTTTCTTATCGTGTCTGTCTTCCTTAAATTCTTTATGTTTTTCCTATTTTGCCCATCATTTTTTTTTGATCTGTGCCTCTTTAGGTAGGGTGGTGTCTTCCTCTGAAAGGAGTGGTTGTAAATGTTGATTGTTGACTTAGATTTTATGACATTTAAGCTATCCTTTTTAAACAGATGCATATTTGAAACATTCATTTATTTGATTATAAATGAAATAGCTTGTGTTCTGGTGAAATATTTTATCTGTATAAATTCATACAATCCCAACTCCATCAAGAGGGCTATATTTCTGAAACTGGGCAGAATTTCCTCTCTTCTTTACCGAAAGATACCATGTTCTAGTTCTAACTGTATCTAGGCTGTACTGCTCTCCATTGAAAATGGGCACTCATATTGCTAATTGTCCTTCCAAACCAAAAACTTCCTCTTTATTGAAAATAAAATGTCAGACAAAAAGGTTCTAGCAGTGGTTCCCAACTTTTGGGCCTCCGAGTGTTTTGGACTTCAACTCTCACAAGTCCTAAGAACTCCCACAATTCCTAACAGCTGGTAAGGTGGCTGGGATTTCTGGGAGTTGAAGTCCAAAACACCTGGAAGCCCAAAGATTGGGAACCACTGTACAACTAGTTGAACCCTTTTTATGTGATATCCAGTGCAGTATGTGAACAGAATGCTTTTGCAGGCAAAAGTGTCCAGTGATGTGAACTCTCATCAGCAGTGTGGCCTAGACAAAAAAAAATCATCCTATTGAGTACTAGATCTATACAGCACAGTGTTTGAAATTGCTTCAAATTTATGCATTATGTTGTTACAGTATTCTAATTGAAACCTTATGCAACATTATGCCTTGATATTTGAACTACAATATCAACATGTGCCTTTTGAGTATGATGTTTATTTTTTAATTTTTTTGTTAATGGCATAATACAGAAGGTTTAACCTGCTTCCAGAGATTCTAACATATTTTTTCTTTTGTTAAATTCTTCTAAGAACAACCAAACCTACACCTCATCTAGATGGGTAAGTGCACTTGTACATCTTGATTGCAATTTGCAAAACTTTGACGATTATTTGAAATGTTCAGAGTGGTAACGATGTCAGCTTTCTAAAATAAGCTTTGATCTTTTAGGCTTCATGTTGTTTTTGGCCAAGTAATCTCGGGTCAGGAAGTTATAAGAGAAATAGAAAACCAGAAAACAGATGCATCTAGTAAACCTTATGCAGAAGTACGAATATTGAGCTGTGGAGAACTAATCCCAAAATCTAAAGGTAAGTCTAAAATAACAAATCAAATTTTTCTAAAGGTGTCTACTAGATTTTGTAATACAGGTGCGTCTTTTTCTGCTTCACTCTTTCATTCTTGACTCCAGTAGACAATGGAATCCAGTTGGGCAGTTTAGAATGCAGAACCACCGTAGTTGTACTTTGTATTTTAATATATGCATTTTATAATAATATATTTTAATGTATGTATTTTATGGTGATGTATTTTAACTGTGGTGTGCCTGCCTCGAACCATGAGGAGATGTGGGTAACATTAATAATAATAATAATAATAATAATAATAATAATAATAATAATAACAATAATAATTCCTTTGCCTGACATCTCCCTTGCCCAGTCCCCACTTACCAGTTAATCCCCACTGTGATCAATGGGGCCCGTTCCCCTTCTGATTGGGAAGCAGCTGGTTGACAGTTTCATTTCATTATAGAAGTGATCTCTGGTGTGATAAAGAGGAATGGGCACCCGGTTGTAGTTTTCCCCCATGCAAGGGTGGGTAAGAATATCAGTCAGCTGTCCTTTTTAATGGGAACTGCAAATCACATAAGACAGAGCTGTGAACGTGCAGCAAGGCCCCTGTTAAAAAATGGCACGTTTCGGCAACATTTGTGTTTTTGTCTGTCCTAATATTCCTAACTCCCATAAAAGTTGGGGGGCAAATGTAAATTCGTTCCTGTTTTTCTCAGACATCTTTTATTTGCAATTGTCGCTGTGTGAACATAAATAAATACATTTGCAAAATGCTTTAGGCATTTTTAAATGATGAAAGAGACTTGTTTGGGCTCTTGTGGTGTTGGTTGTTAGGGGAAACTACCCTAAAATATAGCAGAGCATCCAAAAATCAAACAGGATACTAAAAGTTAAGCAATCAGCTTACAGCTAGCAAAGTGTGAGGTACCTTGTGATGTGGCTGTAAAGAATTAAGAACTTAGGCAGGCAAAGATGCAGAGTCCAATCTTAAAATCACAAAAGGTTTATTTACAATAATAAACAAAGACTGCATTTCTTAATAGTAAGGAACTGGGTCTGAGCTACTCTAACACCCATCTCTTCTGAAGTTTCAAAGAGAAGGGAAAAACACCAATCACTACATCCCTGTGACACATATGCAGAGAGAGATCTCAAAGCACACAACACATACTTCAATGTAAGAAACAAGTCAGGTTTAAAAAGGCTTTCAGTAAAAAAATATACATTCTACACAACCAATCAGAATGAGAGCAGAAACAGAGAAGAGAGAAGAAATAGATACATTCCCAACTGTCATGGGGGAAGGGAAACCCTTGGTCTATACTAAACTAAGTAACTTCCTTGTTGAGGACTTGAGATTTGGTCAGTGTGGGGTTGAATTCCAACATTGGTAACTGTCTATTGTTTTCATTCAAAGCTAAGAAAGAGGAGAAGAAAAGACGAAAGTCTTTGTCTTCATCCAGTGATTCCGAAAGTTCAAGTGATTCAAAGTCTTCCTCTGATTCATCATCTGAATCTGATAGTGCTTCTGAAGAAAAAACAAAGAAAAAGAAAAAGAAACACAAAAAGAATTCCAAGAAACATAAGAAAGAAAAGAAGAAGAGGAAAAAGAGCAAAAAGAGGTATATTGGGAAGCTGAAGGGAAGTATGAGTTGGTGACAGCACTGGGAAGTACATTGCACTTGTATATTTAATAGGGAATTGCTATGTAGAATCTATGACACTTCTTTTCATTTTCTTGTCATGTTACAGAAATAATATATCACAAGTTTTTGTGATTTCCTTTCCTCACATGTCTGTGTAACCATGGTGACTACAAAAGAAATTTCAGAGTGGAATTTCAGGGTCTCTAGGAAAATATTCTATGGTTTTAAAGGGTTTTTGACTTCCCTCTCTGTCCCTGAAAAATCACAACAGATTTTCAGGCTGTTGAGGCAGAACAGCTGTCCCTCCCCCAAAAAGGAATTGATAAGCAATGGAAGGAAACTGCATTTCCTTCCTACCTCCCATGGAGCCATATCTCTTGCTGTGTCAACAATGAGCAAGCAGGAAGGTGGAAGATATAGCACATATTCCTTTCTGACTTTGTCATAAGACTATTCTGCCCGATTGATTTACACTGGCCAATACACATTTTAGTGCATTAAATGTTAGACCAGGGGTTCTCAAATTTTTCAAGCCAGTTCATGGTCCCTTAGACCAGCGGTTCTCAACCTGGGGGTCGTGACCCCCAGAGGGGCCAATTGGACATTTAGGAGGGGTTGCAAAGCCCTCTTCTTTGGCCCCGCCCTCTTTGCTTCCTCAAAATGGCGCCAGGTGAGAAGCTCCCTGCGATCATCTGGCTCCTGCTGTTTGCCAGGCCTCAGTAGGCGGGAGCCGAGTGACAGGCTCTCCACCAGGCTAGGCTACATGGTGCTGCCTCAATTGCCTGTTTCCTGCTGCCCGCAGGAGTCGGGAGCCGGGCGTGAGGCTCCCCACAAAGCTAGGCCGCATGGTGCAGTGGGAGCCAGGCAATCGAGGCTGCGCCATGTGGCCTGGCCTCTTGGGGAGACTCCTGCGACCTAGCAGGCAGCAGGAACCAGGCAGTTGAGGCAGTGCCATGCGGCCTAGCCTGGTGAAGAGCCTGTCAGCCAGTTCCCGCCTAAGCTAAGAAACTAGAGCTGATTTCTATCCAATGCAATTTTCTGAGTGACTGTCTCAAATAACCCCAAAAATAGGCCTAAAGACCAAGACGCCAAGATATTTTTTGGTTGGGCTGTGTTACTTTCTAAAACCCCCAGTGTCAGACCCAACTGGACTTAATGTCAAGGGGAAGCCTTTACCTTTACTAATTAGCGATCAATCATGTACTAGTCTGATGTACCTTAGAGAAATTAACTCTAGGTTTAAAAGATGATATGTTTTCAATATAAACCTAACACAAATAGATCCCTGTCTTGTGAGCATTTTATTATGGCTGAAAAGAAACTTAACTAGCAAACAGATTTGCGTATTATAATTTCTTAAACATAATCAAATTGAGATGCTTGTTTTGGCATATATAAATGACAAAAAACCATTATGTCTAAATACACGTTGATAACTTGTTCTTTTATTAATGAAGCTCAGCAAGTGAAAGTGAAGCAGAAAACCCCGAATCACAGCAACCACTTTCTACTGTCCGTCCGGAAGAGATTCCTCCTGTCCCAGAAAACAGATTCCTCATGAGGAAAAGTCCTCCTAAAGTGGATGAAAAGGAAAAAGAAACAAAGACCAGGGAAAAAGAAAGGGAAAGGTAAAATGGTGTTTGATCAGACTACACAGTGATGTTTAGTTGTGTTATGTACTAAACAGTTACATTGACCAGAGTTGTCTGCTGCATAATTTCAAATGCTTCAAATAAAATTTAAAGTGTATCCATTGTGCTTAAAGGAATCTTACAATAAAGAAAAAATATTATTCTCAGTTCTGGATCCATTCATTTTAGTTAACTTTTTGCAATTTATTAGGACTGAGGCATTTCAGTATCATCTTTTTGAAATATACTTTATTGAACAAATGTTTTACACTTTATTACAAATTCACAACACTTAGATAAAATATACTAATACCTAAAGAAGAGGGATGAATATCAGTTTTTTGTAAAGCTTGTTTTTTTGTGGACTTTACAAAACTTATAATTTATATGTTTGATTTCTTTGTTATGCTACAAATATTTAGTCAACTGGTTAGGCATATATAAACTTCATGATTGTTAAAGAAAATTCAGAAATCAAAGCTGTCCCAGAATTGTAATCATATTTCTCTGTTCTTTATTTTCAGTAATCCATCGAATTGTCAGTCGTTGTATCAGAGAAGACTGTTGGTGACAAGATCTGGACGGAAAATAAAAGGAAGAGGACCAAGGGTGTGCTTGCTTTCTCACAATCAAATTGGTTTTATCCTTGCAATAAGAATAAAACTGCATAATATTTCTGAGAGTTGATTTGTTAATGGAAACTTTGATGAGGTTTTAGAGAAAAGCATTCTGAGGATAAATAGGAGAGATGTGCCATCTTACTCACAGTAGCATAGTGTCATGTCTTTCACAAATGTAGGTATTACATCCTACTAGTTTTGCACTCTGCTTCTGTAATTATGCAGTGAAGGAGCCGGCTGTTACAAGCTTTTGTGTTGCACTCCAGCAAGATTGCTTTTTTGCTTAACAGCATTTTAAGATGAGCATGAAGAAAACCTTGTAGGTTTGCTTTAGAGTCACTGTAAATTGGAAATGATGTGAAGACACATAACAGAAACAATGGATTAGGCCAGTGGTTCTCAACTATTTGTCCTCCAGGTGTTTTAGACTTCAGTTTCTACAATTCCTAACAGCTGGTCAGCTAGTTGGGATTTCTGGGAGTTGAAGTCTAAAACACCTGTAGGACCAAAGGCTGGGAACCACTGGATTAGGCACTTAGGCCACAGTGCTTTTAACCATTTTGATCTTCAATACATTTGTGCCCCTTTGTGACTGATGCACTTTTTATTCTGTGGAAGAGCTGGACTCCTTTGGTCCTGTCTATGCATAACATGAATTCAGCCTAATATTTCTGGGAGTTTGCATTGGCTGCCCAAAGTGTACAAATAATCTGTTCCCCCTGAATAGCTTTGACAGTTGAATCCCCTGAAAGTTTATTCTCTCTTATAAACAAAACCTTTTTTCCTCCAAAACACCTAAACCCACATGGTTGAATCTGAGGTTGCTTTTTAGGTAATTCTTAATATTGGTTGGAATTGGACATTGGACTCTATTCTTGCCAACCCTGTGCTAGTGACATTAATTTCAGTAAGAAAGATTTCGATATAAATTACCATTCTGAAATGAAAGATGGAAGTGCTTAATTTTAGTTGGCTCAGACATCATCTCTTTCTTTTGAGTATGACTGCAACATGACCACTTTCTAGTCTTTACAAAAAAGTTGTTTACACTATTCCTTCAACAATGAAGGAAAATGTTATTTTGTAAAATTTCAGTGATTTTGCTTTCAAGTGTATGGCCTCAAAAACCCAACTGAAGTGGAGTAGATCCGCTGAAACGTAACTCAACATCTGTATAAATCCTAATGATTCTGTAGCTGCATTTGGGTGAAATGTAGCAGTTGGGCCTAGGGTTATATTCATCCTTTGATGAAAAATCTGAAGTCAGATTTATAACAGTTGTAATACAACTTATTCAACACCTACAAACAATTCTAAGGTAACTTTTCCTTAATTTTTTAAGCGCTATCGGACCCCTTCAAGATCCAGATCAAGAGATCGCTTTCGACGCAGCGAGACTCCTCCCCACTGGAGACAGGAAATGCAGAGAGCTCAGAGAATGAGAGTGTCAAGTGGAGAAAGGTGGATAAAGGGAGACAAGTAAGATGTGATCAAAATGCTTGCTATTTAAAATTCTAGTTGGGCAGTGCATATAACTGAATATATATGAGAAGACAGTAATGTATACCTTTATTCATTGCTGCCTTATATAGCAATAAAACTGGTACTGATTAGTGATATTTGAAAGGCTGTTGTAAGGAAGAGGGAGCAAGCTTGTTTTCTGCTGCCCTGGAAACTAGGGTTCGGAGCAATGGGTTCAAATTACAAGAAAGGAAATTCCACTTGAACATTCGGAAGAACTTCCTGATTGTAAGAGCTGTTCAGCAGAGGAACTTACTGCCCCAGAGTCTGGTGGAAGCTCCTTTGGAGGCCTTTAAATACAGGCTGAATGTTCATCTGTGGGGATGCTTTGATGGTGTTTTTCCTGCATAGCAGAATGGGGTTGAGCTGGATGGCTCGTGGGGTCTCTTCTAACTATGATTCCATGCCAATTTCCCCAATTTCTACTTTTGTCCTGGATAAGTGGTTCTCAACCTGTGGGTCCCCAGGTGTTTTGGCCTACAACTCCCAGAAATCTCAGTCAGTTTACCAGTGGTTAGGATTTCTGGGAGTTGAAGGCCAAAACATCTGGGGACCCACAGGTTGAGAACCACTGCTCTAGAACCAGGGTGGGGAATCCATAGCCTACAAATTGTTTTTGGAGTCCAGCTCCCTTCATCTCTGACTGATCCCTATTCTGGTGAGGGATTATGAGAGCTGGAATCCACATTTAGATGGATGCAAGCTGGTTGACATTCCCACCATTAAGCACTGATGGGATTGGTGATGGTGAAATGCATCTCCTTCAACCTTGCTTGTAAATGCCTACATTTTATGCAAGCGTGTTAAGTGTTATAAAACAGATTAAGTTACTAATTTGCTGTTCCCCTTTTGACTTGATTAACTTCCTTTTCTTTTAATTTAAAATGTATAAAGTAAATATTACCTTGGTGTTATTGTTGTTGTTTTCTTTCAAGAGGTGAAGTTAATGAGAACAAGAAGGAAAAAGATGCCACAAATCAGAAAAGCCCAGGAAGAGGAAAAGAAAGGAAAGCATCTGAGAGCCCGAGTAGAAGAGGAGACAAAGAAAAGAAAGCAAAAGACCACAAATCTAGCAGCAAAGACAGAGAGACAAGGAGGAGTTCTGGGAAGGAGGACAAAGACAAACATAATAAAAGTAAGGCCAAAAAAAGGGCTCGGTCTAAAAGCCACAGCAAAAGTAAAGAGGTGTCAAAAAGTAAGGAGAGAGACTCCAAACACAGCAAACCTGAAGAAAAAAAAACACGTTCAAGAAGCAAAGAGAAAGATTATGAAAAAGAGAAGGACAAAGAAAAACACAATGATGTTCGTGGGAGAGAAAGGAGCAGGAGTAAGGACAAGAATAAAAGAGGTGGATCTAAAAGTAATGGTCATAACCATACTAAAACTAAAGAGAGAGAAAAGCATGCCAAGTCAAAAAGTAGAGAACGGGAGCAATCCAAAAGCAAGCATGGCTCGGATAATAAGACAAGAGAACGAAGCAAAAGCAGAGACCGCCGAAGGCGAGACAGGTCCAGAAGTAAAGAACGAGACCGCAGCAGAAGTAAAGATTACTCAAGACACAAAGATAAGGAAGTGAGACGAAGAGGGCGATCAAGAAGTCGGGACAGAAAAGGCACACCAGAGCGATCTAAAGGTAAAGAAAACAGGAGGAGGAAGGAATCGTACAGCTCTGAGAGGGAGGGGAGTCGGAATAAAGATAGGCATCGCAGTCAAGAGCACAGGAGTTCTCACCAAAAGCAAAATGCTGAAAAAAGGAAGCGCTCAAAAAGTCGTGACAGTAGTAGCTCAGAGACTAGTAAGAGTAAAAAGCCCTGTCGAGATCAGGAGAGAAGTCCTGACTCTAGGAAAAGGCAGAGCAGCAAGGACAGAGAAGTGAAACAATCATCTTCACGCAGGAGCAAAGAAAAGGAAAAGGACAGGACCCATTCTTCACGAGAAAAAGACACCACCCTCAAATCAAAGAATCAGGAGAGAGATCATTCTCATGGCAAAGATAAAAAATCCGATCGTGACTCAAGTGCTGGAACTGATGAAGACAGACATGGATGAGTTTATGGACTTACTGTCTCCATTCTGCCTCCAGGTTCTAGAGACATGTTGGGGAACACTTTTTTTTAATGTGGACTTCAGTTTGGTCTTTTGATAATCCACAACCTGGAACATTTGTACTGCTAAAGTTTTAATAAACTTGAAATGGAAAAAAAGAAGTTTTATGTGTAATAATGGTGTGCTGTGTTTAATATTTCATGGTTTGTGTATCCAGCTTTTGTGTTTCCAGAAGGTAACGTGCTGTACTGCGTTTCCATTTCAGTTTAGTTGGCTGAAATTAAACAAGTCAATTGGGCTGAAAATAAATTTAATTTCTTTAAACCAGTGGAATTCTGCCTACTCATATTTTGAGGAATTTCTCTTACAGCAATTTCAATAAGGCTTTGTTAAACTAAGAACTATTGTCAGTAGGCTAGAGCAGAAGTGGGAGTGCAGAGGAAGGGGGCAATCTGCATTTTGAATATTTTAATGAAGGTACTGTTTTATCAAAATGTGACATTACTTTTCAAATCAGAAAACATGTCAGTTGCATTTATATTTGTACTGCCCATTTAGATTAAACATTTTCAGAATCCATTTGATTCAGAAATGCTGATCATTACATGATCTTGAAATGCATCTACACTGTAGAATTAATATAGTTTTAACACCACTTTAACTGCAGTGGACCAATGCTATGAAATTCTGGGAGTTTAATTTATAAGGACTTTTGACTATAGTTCAGTGCATCACCAAACTATAACTCCCAGGATCCTATAGCACTGATCCATGACAGTTAAGTGGTGTCAAATTGCATTAATTCTACCGTGTAGATACACCACTGGATAACCTTCATTTTAGTGTTATTTCACACTTGCCTGTCACAATGTATTTTGTGTGCCATGTTATTTTATCTTACCTCTTCTAGAGCCAAAAAAACAAAAAAAAAACCAAAACAAAACTAGCCAGCTTTGCCTGAAGAGAAATTTGTTCAGAAAAAAAAGAAAAATATAATTTCCAGTAAATGTGTGTGTAGAATTTCCTATTTTCTAACCATTCAGTAGCTACTGTTTCTCATTTGCCTGACACTCTGCGTGGTGAATACAGTGAGTTATATTATGTGGTGAATTTCTCTTAGTCCTGATGCACATATGACTCCCCATCTTATCTAGCTTCTGTCCTCTTCAGAACTGTTCCCCAGCAGTGAAAGGGGATATATCATCAAACGGGTTGCTCTTTCCCTCACCCTGATGGACAGGAATGGTACAGGACCTTTGAGGAGCTTATGGAAATTAATTTTTTGTGTCTGTTAATTGAGCTCCTTTTTGTTTTTGTTTTACTCATTTTTTTCTTTTTTTTTTTAAAGTATCTCCCACCATCTTTATCTTTCTCTGTCACCTCCTTTTCTTACTTCCTCAGGTGGGACTAAACCTCAACTCTTCCTTGCTGCCTTCTCATAAGTAGGGGAAGAGAGCCCTGCTGTGCCCAGGGACTCACTCCACTTACTAGTTTCACTGTCCCTGACAAGGCCAAGTTACACACTGAAAATATTTTATATAGCCTTCCACCTTTCTCTCCACTTGATGGCTATTTTTATGATCACTTCTGCTCTATATTTGTCTCAGACTCCAGATCTCCAAAATAGATTGGGGGGAAACCAAGGAGAAAAGGGAAATGTGGCCAAAAAAAACTCCACCTCCCATTTGAAGTGTCTGGGTGGTTTCCTCACTCCCCTTCTAAAGAAATTTGAGAAATTTCTGCAAAGGAGAAGGAGGTCTCAGCCACCTATTTCCTAGGAAAGATTTTCCCCTCATAGAATCATAGAGTTGGAAGAGACCTCATGGGCCATCCAGCCCAACCCCTTGCCAAGAAGCAGGAATATTGCATTCAAAGCACGCCTGAGAGATGGCCATCCAGCCTCTGTTTAAAAGCTTCCAAAGAAGGAGCCACCACCACACTCCGGGGCAGAGAGTTCCACTGCATTGGCTAACTAATCTCTCAGGTTGCTCTCAATAAACAGCACCCATCAAAGTTCTGTACCATTCCTACCCATTGGGACAAGAGAAAGGAACAACCACCTGATGTTCAGCTTTCACTGTTGGAATTGACTGTATCACAGGTAAGAACCAATGTCACTTTCTTGAGAACAGGTAAGCCCTCGGAAGTAGAATGATGTAGAATGAACAGAAGGTTGCAGTACCTGCATCACTGTAAATTGGTTGCAGTCCCTGGGGAGGGTCACTGTAAATTGAATATATCAACATGCATTAATAGAAGTTACCATTAGGTGGAAGCTGCCATTAGCTATCCCAAGGCAGAGTTTATTTTGTGATTGAGTGTGCAAATGTAAAATATGGGTTGTATGTTTCATTTTTCAATTGCTGGAAGAAATGAAACTAAAACAAGGAAAGTAATCATTTGGTAAGCAACTGTTCTTCTGTAACATGTACTGTATTTGTCAGGGGAAGTTAAGTATATGATGGTTGAAATGGCTGTTAAGTTTGACTTTCTACCTGGTCAGGGAGCAGTTTACCAGCTTGTCAGCCATTAAGAACATGGGCCATATACTACATGATCAAATAATGCAGCTTGGTTCAGCTATATCTTTTGCCTCCTTTGGGACATGTTTGGTGGCTTAACATTAAAAGTGGAAAATTTTAAAGGAGCTATTAGTCCCTACTGTTACCCCTTCCATTGCTGTGAGTATGTGATTGCTCATGTATTTGGCATGGGGGAGGAGGCAACAATTTTTAAAGTGCTTTACATGTGTAGGAAAAAAAGAAACATGGTCCATTATTTTTTATTATTATTATTTTGATCACATTCCTGCCACCCTTAATTGTGCAGCAAAAAACTGGCATGTGATGACATCGATTGGTATCTCTTGTAGACCTATTATGCAGCAAGGTGGCCTTCTGGTATTAAGAAATTTAATTATTTACGTGCTTACTACAGAGTGTACCATTGGTTTTTTCTTGTTTCTTAATAGCTGGTGGACATGGAGGCAAATTCTTTTTCTCTCCTGCTCCCCCCGTATTGAAAGTTTATTCCTTGGAGCATTAGCTAACTAATCTCTCAGGTTGCTCTCAATAAATGGCAACCCATCAAACATGGGATTGTGAGAGGTTATTCTCCTTGGAAAATTTGGGAGCCATACCTACCTCATTTTCAACCCACACCACTTTCTAGCTGTGCATTACTTTAGTTCAACTTGTTTATGTTAGACTAGTGGTTCTCAGCCTAGTCTAACATAAACAATGTTCTGGCCTTCAACTCCCAGAAATCCTAACAGTTGGTAAACTGGCTGGGATTTCTGGGAGTTGTAGGTCAAAACACCTGGGGAACCACTGTGTTAGAGCTAGAGTAAGTTCAGGTTTAGAGGAGCTAGAAACTACATGCCTCCTCTCCTATCCTAGTGCTTCTGATTACTTTTTAATTTCCTCAAAGTATGGTATTTCCTTTGTTCGACTCAAGGCTCATTCAACCTTTCATTTTTCTTATCGATCTTTGTTTTCACCAGTAATCAGCACTTCCTCTCTCATAAGAGAGAGAGAGAGAGAAGGCAGGAAATCATTCCCCCCCCCCCCAAAAAAAAAAATAATTATCAGAGGCGGAAATTTAGGTGCTTAGGGATAGATGCGACAAAACAACAGAAACTTAGGGTTTTGTTTTTTTTTACAAAATAAATATTAAAAACAAAATAACAAATGGCGTAGTCCTCAGAAGCAAACAGTACAAAAATGGTTCAACATCGCAATGTTATGCAATCTATTTTTTATGTGTAAAAAGTTATCAGATAAAGGGATATATTATCTGTAGGGTAAAATGTTGAATAAATGGAATTGAATAAGTTTTGAGAGGAAGATGCTTTACATTATCATGCCCTCCTTTTTCAAAATTAATAAATTGAGATATAAAGCATAAATGTGTGGCAAAATTGCTTCATGGAACCAAGATTGCAGGTGTTAATAATTTGCCTGTTGTGAGAAATTGTTTCAGAATTGTTTCCCCATGTAAATTAATGTATACCAGGACTGAGATGAGCAAGTCAAAGCCGTGCATTTTTAGAAGTACCGAGACCTCGGTTTATATTTGGTTGTCTCAGGAACAAAGTAGCAGTGACAGAAATAACAATGACTTCTGCTCATAAAGAGAAAAATAAACATTGAGATTATCTTAAAGCGTTTAAATATATGTTAACAGTATTTTTCCATGTGACAAAGTCCATATTAATCTATGTGATGAAATTATATCTATAAGTAGTACCATGATGCATTTCCAGTTTTTTCCATATTGTTAAGCCTAGTTTTATGTGCAGTAAATTTGTTATGTGTTGATTGAAATAACAAAATTAGAATGAAAAAGAAATGTTCTATGCTTGTTTCTTATAGTTGCCAGCTTATTGCTGTCACTGTTTGTTATGTACAGTATTACAGCATTCAGCATTACATGATGTCTCACCCCATATGAGATCTTTGCATTCCTCGTGGTATTGTTAATATAGAAATCAATTTTTGGAAGACTCTCTAAAAAAGGCTGCTGTTATCTAGGTGTTCTTTGATGTCTATGCAAAAACTCCCAAAAGTCTTTTAATTTTTCTTGTATTTTACTATTAAACAAATGCTCTCGTATGGTTGATATCAGGATTAGCTCGATCCTGCAACAACTGTGGTGCTAAATCTGTGAATCTTTGTGTGAGAGAGTATATTATACATGTTGCTGTGAGCTATAGAGCATTACAGATAAAGCACAACAAATGGTTGAATCTGTCCATTTTTTTCTCATTTTGCCAGTCTTAAGTTTGCAATATCCTGTTTCCACATCACTGTGAAATGTTTTTCAAGTTCACCTCAAAATTAATATGCATTTTCTCCTAATCTGTGTTTTGTATTTAATGTTGTCAGATACATGCCATTTTTGCAATCAATTTCCCCTAAGTAGAGCACATATTCATTCCTTATTTTCAGGAATATTCACATTTTATGTACACCATTTTATGTACATTTACATTTTATGTACACTTCCCCTAATTTGGTACACATTTTTATCAGAACTCATCAGATTATGAAGTGTCAATTAAATAGACTTTTATTACTATTCAAAGGAGACAGATGATGAACTTGTATAAGAAGCAAAAAATGAATCAGAGCCTATAGGTCGGTAGGTGGTTCACTTGTTTGTTTCTTATTTATTTGAAAACTTCAACACATTTGGACCTCTATCAAGATTGGCTTTTTTCAGGAGCTATACTTTACATTTCTAAAACTGCACGAGACACTCTCCATACAATTGTGTAATTAATGGTCCAATCCCATGGAGTGTCTCAATTGAAATTTCTGTTTCAATTGTAGCCCCTGAAGAAGGCCACCTTTGATAAAGACCAAATGCATTGGGCTTTTTAAATAAACAAGAAATTAACATCTCGCAGCACTACCTACTTTTTAAACTTTTGCATTAATACCATATTTACTCGAGTATAATGTGCCATTGATTGTAATGCACACCTCAATTTTGAAGTTGAGGAGAGCAAAAAAAAAAAAAGGTTTGTTGTCTATTGCAATGTACGACTTCCCCTTGCCAGTAAGACCTTCTGTTGCCCGCCTTGGCCGACAGGTAAAGGGAAGCTATGCCCCTCTATCATGCCAAGGCTGGTGAACACACCTGATGGCTGGGCAGCAACTTCCCAACTAATGCCTCTTTCATGAGGTCTTCAATACCAAGGTGGAGATTAGGAAGGCCTTGTGAATGAGGCAAGTTCTCCAAAGTCAGTCTAATGGAGGGGTTCAAGTTGGTTAACTTGCACAATTCTAACGTGCCATCAAATGTAATGTGCACCTCACTTTTGGCTATGTAATTTAGCCAAAAAGGGTGAGCATTAGATTCAAGTAAATATGGTATGCAGACTGAAGGTATGTCCCCATTCCCAGGCACCACAACAAAATGCTGTCTCAAATAGGAATATAGAGAACTGAGACTTTCTGGTGGATCTTTCACTATGAATGCTTGTGCGCACATAGGACATGAAAAAATGTTTAGTTTTATCCCAGTGGGCATGAGAAAACTGTCCTGGTGCCATGAGGGCAAGTGGTATCTTAACTTCCGGCACCAGCATTGAGATTGTGCCACACAATTCTATGGGCTACTTCCTTAGTTCAGCAACTCGTAACACTGATCTCTTGAGTAGCTGATGTTGTGTTGCCTTGTAAAAAGCCCTGAGTCTTATGCTAAAGTACTCTGAAACGAAGTACTATTTTAATCTCTCCTTTTCAGCAAAGTACTTCACATAGAAAATAATTATGCCAGTATGCCGCCATTATTAACTTGTTACAGAGAGTGGTAATATAATCTTTGCAGGGTTTTGTGGAACTGTCACACAGATACCTTTCTATATTGTCATTTTGGGAAGAGTATGAAGTTAGGATAATTTTCTTCCTTCGTTTGCATTTGCAAGCGTTTTGTTGGCTATTGGCTTTTCTGGAAACGAAGCCAAAAAAGCAAACTTGTTTTTATAATTCTCCAAACTATGTTGATAAGGCTATTGAGACATGCACACTAGTCCTTGTCAGACATTCAGCTTGTATTGAAGGTGGGCATTGGCATCACTGTGGTGTGAACCCAGATTGGTCCAATAAGTATCTGATCTAATAATAGATTTTTTAAAATTCCAATGAAAACAGTTAAGCCCAGTAGTTGTTCATTATATTTAAAAAGAAGCCATTCCTGCCTTCAGATGAAGTAAGTAAAGTATTACATTGTATTTGAATTGCCAAGACACTATTCCTTTATAAAATTAGCAGATTTATTGATATCGGTTAAGTTGATCAATCTTCCCCAATCCATTTCGTCAAAGAAATACCTGAATATTTGTGTCTGCTCTCTATGTGTGTCAGTATCTTTAAAATATTAAATGTTTGCATTCACCAGAGTTCTAAAGATACAGCGCATGTCAGCCTCAAACTTTGCACTACATATATTGCAATAGTTGGATGGGGAAAAAGATTGGTTAAAATTTTTGAAACATGCAGTGCATGTTTTAAACAGAACATGAAATGTTTTTCAGCTTGCATATATAGCCCCTTTTGCATATACTTCTGTAAAGTTGTATAGAGAAGTACATTTATGTTAATTTTTGTGTGATCTCTTACATGTATTTTTAAAAATGTGATTAACCTACAATATCTGAACCACAACACTGTGGTGACTGGCAACCTTCCTCGGGTATGTGGTCACTGATCTGTTGGAACAGATAAGTTTTCAGGATAACACAATAGCTTTCTCAGTGTTGCCTAAAGAGTGTTGGAAAATTCATTATTTTGGACATTTTTGTAGTTTGTAATTCTCAGCTGGGAAAGACATGAAAATGTGAGTGCTTGGTTTGGAACATGCAATCTATATATTAAAAGTATTTTGAGAAGTTAAAAGCTGTTTTCATATTCTGTTACGTCACTACAATTGATACTCTTAATGGTAAAACCTGGCTCAGATCTTTGACCTAAGGTTAAACCTGGATATGGCTATGGATAATAAGCCTTAGGAGCATGTGACATTCAACAATGCCATCCCCTGTGTACCACTTGTACATTCCTCAGTTTTCAGGTCACATCGTGCCATCTCAGATTTTTATTTTATTTTTATTTTTTTGTGTCAGGAGCAACTTGACAACACAAGACTTCTGTTTTTTTTTAAAGACTTTATTAAATGGTGAAAATGGAGTGCTTCAAGGTACTCTCACAGAAGATGACCCCTTCTGAACCAGCAAAGTAGAGCATGAGCCAGCTTCAAATATGTTAGCGTCACACATCAATAAGATTCATGTAACTGGTCATACAGACAGGGCATTATCCTCACATACTACAATGTATGCTCTTTTTCTCTCACAATTCCCAAGTATTCTTTCATTGAAAGATCTTCTGTTCAAAGAAAGAAGCAAGCAAGTAGCCATGCCATTTCACAGCCTACACTTTGTGCACCTATTGATGGATGTGTTTATTGAGGTAAGGGATTTTGATTGGATGCATGTCAGTTATGGGTTGTGTGACTGACATTTATGATGTGTGTGTGTCTCAGCATGAAGGCTATTATGAAAACCCATCTGAAAAGGATGAGACATGCAGTTATCAAGATAAAGTGGCTTTTACCAAAATAATTTAGGAATAACAGACACCCCTAGGGCATTCAACAGCTGTAATTTTTCTAGTGGAGATACTGCTTACACATTGTGGTTCTACTAGAGAACTCAACTCCAGAATGTACTGTTATCAAGCAGGGAGATCAACTTGTTCATATTCCATTGAGAGAAATGTTTGTCTCAGTTACTATTTATGTGTTTTTTGTTTCTTTGTTTATTGCATTTCTGTACCGTTTTTCTCAGCCCTTGGGGGGACTCAAAGCAGTGTACAACAGAATAAATGGCAAAAATTAAATGCCAAAACATACATATAAAAACAATACATAACCTATCTAAATTAATAACATAGCTATGAATTTAAACCATTAAAATCTACACAAAAACATAAAACATGGACATAAAGCGTATTAGACATTGCATCAATCCCGTGGTTGTCATTTAGCTGCTTCAGTAATACTATCAGTCGCTGAACACCTGCTTGCATAGCCAGGTTTTGAGTTTTCTGAACACCAGGAGGGAAGGGGCTGATCTAATCTCACTAGGGAGGGAGTTCCACAGCCAAGGGACCACCACCAAGAAGGCCCTCTCCCTCAACTCCACCAGTACCACCTGCGAAGGCAGGGGAACTGAGAGCAGAACCTCCCCGGCCGATCTTAACAATCAAAACAGGTTCATAGAGGGAGGTACGTTCGGACAGGTAAGCTGGACCGGAACTGTTTAGAAATTTATACTAAAATATTTGTTCTAGCAACGGACTGACTGTGCTTAGTAAAACTTAAAAGCATATTGACAATAGGTTTCATTCTCCCATAGTATGACGATCATTGGAACCATCTATTAATAAGACATTTAACCAAAGTATATTACTATAATAAGCTGCTTACAAAACGTAAACATAGCACTGCTCCAAGTTATTCTCTAAAGTTGCAAGCTATATCACACTTATAAAACTATTCCTTCCCTCATTGGAGCTCTATATATGCTGTTGATTACATTAGTTATTATGTAAATTCATTTTAAAAGACAGGTGATTAGTCAAGAAGACAAAAGAATGTGTAGTGAACTTTTTACAAACATTAAGGGCAAGACTAAATGTTTCCTAACTTTCCTACTTTGTGAGGAAACTAGTCTCTTGTTAGCTTTTCACTTAGTATTTTAGACTAGAATTTGGCATAAAGAGCTACTCTAAGTTCTAGATTGGCCAGACAAAGCAGAGGGGCACTTACAGATGGAAAGCAGAAGGAAGCCTTCGACAATACAGAAGGAAGGATACTTAAATCTCTCCAAGTTACCTGAATTTCCTTTCCACTCCCACCAGTCCTATTTCCAGCCTTGTCCCTTCATTAGGTTTTCCAGTCTAGGGGGAAACCTTAGCAACCTACATGTGCTCTGCCCACAGCTCCCTAGTTTGGCTGTCAGAAGAGAATAGCTCACTAGCTATCTCATATTTAGGATTAAATATTTTGTTAACATTTCCAACCTAAAAAGCTAAAACTGGAAACAAATGGCCATTGCCTTCTTTAACAAACACAAGTGATAGAAACCAATTATAATAAAATTCCTAAAGTTAAGAAAGAATTGTAACCCAGAATTTTTGGATCACTGATAAAAACTTATTTATTTTGAAATGTGATAAGGAGAATAAAACAATTCAATTGCTTGGAAATGTTACACATTGTTTACAATTATTGATTTTCCAATTTTCTGTAAATATATTCAGACACTGCATTAAATTATCTTAAGCTTGCCAACTCTTACTGCATTTTTTTCATAATTTGGAATATTTCAAAAATGCACCAGACTTCATTTTAACATTGAAAACAGGAGGCAGGGGTTACCATGTAAACCCAAGTCGTGCCTTAGTATCACCATATCCATGTTCATGTAAGAGTTTCATATCTCGAGCTTTGTCACCAATATATGGCAACTTCATAGAATGCTTATCAGGTGATTGAACTGGTTCTTTATGATAAACTGATTCCCTCATTGTGCCTTCCTTCGCTGCTTGGTAAAGAGGGTAAAGATGTTGCGTTGTCTTGGATGCTTCATCGATGACTTTCTTTGCATACGCCTGGAATTCCTGCTCCTTCCACAGTGCAATGCGTTCTTTTTGCTTTTCATATTCTAGCTCTTCTTGCTTCTCATGTTCTACTTTTGACGCTTTTTCCGCCTGAATTGGAGAGCAGAGAAGAAAGTATATCCCCAAACAGTTGTATAATATATCTGAAATCAAGCTATGAACCTGTGGAAGTTCTGAATTCCTCACCACAACTTTTCAAATCACAGACACACTTGGACATCATTTCGAACATCTCAAATCTCATATTTTGTCTATATCCTTAACTATGTCTCCTTTTATTTTAATCTGCTTTTTGCAAACTGTCTTGAGTCTCAGAACATGAGAAAAGTGGGATATAAATAAAGTGATAGAGGGATGGAAAGGAAACTAGGAAAAATCATAAAATACACCCAGCCAAAAAAACCCAACAATATAAGTGAAATAAAAGATTTTCATTATGTGGGTTAAAGCACTCAGCTGCTGAACTTGCTGACCAAAAGGTTGCAGGTTCGAATCCGAGGAGCGGCATGAGCTCCTGCTGTTAGCCCCAGCTTCTGCCAACCTAGCAGTTCAAAAACATGCAAATGTGAGTAGATCAATAGGTACCACTCCAGCGGGAAGGTAACAGCACTCCATGCAGTCATACCCGCCACATGACTTTGGAGGTGTCTACAGACAACGCGAACTCTGAGCATCAACCCCCAGAGTCAGACAGGACTGGACTGAATGTTAGGGGAAAACCTTTACCCTTACTAAACAGCTATTTCGTATATTAAATTTCTGAACAAATGTGAACAAAAAATCTACAAGCTTGCTTAGTCTTGGCTTCGTGGATTGCAAATTTCCACCCCACTCTTGGTTTCTTTCTGTTTGTTTGTTCCTGCTGTTTAAGGCATAATCTCTTTGGTACTAGGGAGTGTGTCAGTGTAGTATGTTTTCCTCTGCCAGTTACTGAGCACACATCCAAATTGTGAATACTCCATTAGTTTAGTTTAGGCCAGGCCTTGCCTTCCATCCTCGGACCATCCCACGCTGTTCAGTAGGGTCCATGAACCTCTGCAGAGAAGAGACACCCGACTTCCATGATCCCCCTACTTGTGTCAGTCAAGATCCAAACCTCCCCCACTATGCCATACTGGTGATTATCCTGCTATGTAATGCTAGATAGTTGTACAGTAGGAACAAAAGTTCCTATCCCTAATATATTTGTCATACAATATGTCAGTCTGGAGACGAAGGAAGCCTCATTACAAGTCAACAGTTTCCTATCACAAAAATACACGAGCTGTCTTATTTTACTTCAGAATACTTCATACATTTAAAAATGTCTCACTTACTATTTGTGTAACATGGGCTTCTTGTAATTTTAGATTTGCACAGTGAAATCTATGTTTCTTGTCCTTCTCCAGTTCTTGATAGATCCGGTCTGCTTCTATCTGTCCCTTAAGTATTTCTTTGGCTTCTATTTTTTCCTGTTTTTCTTTTTCTTCCTTCATTTTTATCTAGAAAAACACAATCCAATTCTTAATCCAAAATAGTAAAAGCTAGTATTTCATTCCCATGGACTGACTTACCCTGAGTTAGATATAAGCTGTTCTTGTATCTTGGGCAATTTACTCCTTAATATTTTTATTTGTAAAGCAAAATTTGCTAAACATTTGTCATGTAAAATATTCAGGATCACACTTTCATTTGTCTCTAAAACACATGTATTAAATGCACAGCCTGTGGCCCGAATCTGGCCCACAAGGCGTTCATTGCCAAGGCAACATAGTTACATTTATAGTCTTACAATTACAAATGGTCCTTTGAAGGCAATCATAAATGAGTTTGGCCCTCTGCTCTAAGAGAAGACATTTTCAGAAAAAACCACAACATTTTCAGAAGATATTGTATGGGTGTAGCTTACCACACCAAGTCTGTGCTCTTTAATGGATTTGAGATCAGCTTTGTTTTTTTCTTCTCTTGCTTTGCATTCATTTTCAATCTCCTCTTCTGTTTCTGCAATCTCTCTCGCGATACGCTCATCTTCATCATCAATCTTCTTTTGCATCTGCTTCAGGAGCCGGTAAGTAATATTCTCTCTGTGTACCTCCATTAACCTGCAACAGTTCAGCAAATGTGGGCAGCACCTCACTGTTTGCATGCATGCAACAAAATAATCTGAGGTATGCCTTCATACTGAATAAAAACAAAACTCCAGTCAAAGGAGGATGCCATTATCTCTACTAGTAAATATATGACCAAATTCAAATGACTCCCAACCAAATCAATGAATCAATGGAACATATATATTGACTTTAGCCATTCTGCTATGGAATCTACTCTAGCTGTGAACAGCAACAGGATTTAGGTATTAACCTGATGGAGGCTTTTTTGTCCCATCCTTGACTGACTTAGTGAGGAGCACATGTATAAACCACTGTTATTTTCCCCTAGTATAAGATCTATTTTGAGAAAATTTGTATGTTTAAAACAAAAAAAAAACTTCTATGTTTAAGGAGGTTTTTAAGATCAAGTCAGGGGATTCTGTTGTTTTAGCTATGAATAAGTTTTAAGGGGTTTAACTTTATTTGTAAGGCAGTTAATCTCCATAAAGAACATTGTTGGAACCTGTTTGAGATACTCAACTCAAGCATTACTTTCTATTTCATATTGTTTGCTCAAATACTTTATTCTTCATTGCAAAGGATGCGAAACACAAGACAATCATCTAAGTTTAGACATCTTACTGGACTAGGAAAAGGATGAAATGTAAATACTGTGATATATAGTAGATGCTTAATTATAGAATTGTAGAATAGAGTTGGAAGAGACCACATGGGCCATCTAGTCCAACCCCCTGCCATGGAATTATACTGATTTATGCTTTATTTCTACTTTTTGAGCTAAAGGGATTAAAGGGAGGGAAATCACACCACATGTAATGTTGACATAAATCCTTAGTTTTCTTCTACAAACAGAAGAGCTCCTACCTACAAGGACACAGACCCAACGAAACTTTCACAGAAGGAAAAGGAGGGGAAGAATGTTTTCAATGATTTCTGCTCTCCTCTACTGCAGACTATATCAGTGGTTTTTTTAATGTTTTAATATGCCAGAAAACACAACAATATCTATGGCCTGTGGAAGCTCTTCAGAGACTGGCAGCTGATAGCTCAAAGGAATGGTATTGAATGCCTGAATTTGCATAGCAGTGGCCTGTACAACTCACAGTGTCCCACAATGTCCATTCTCAATTCTCCCAAACAGTCTTTCAGAGCTTTAGATGCTGCCGGGGGAAGGRGTCCAAACTTCCTTCCCGTCTTATGCTAGTTGGAGTATACTCTCAGTTGAATGTGTTTCAGTTAAGACCTAAGTCATGATCTGTATGTTGGGGGGGGGGGGCAGCTTATCACTATTGTTATAAGGAACTTTAACAGTATAAAAATAATACATGTATCACTTTATTTGATTAGCTACAACAAGCTCATTGCAGGAAGAAACTAAATAGAGATTTCTTACCCCCCCCCCAACCGAAAAAAGCCCCATTATATCACTTTGAGTAATTGTACAGATATAGTAAGTAATATAGAAACTGAAACAATAACAATATGCATAATATTCCAGCATACTATATAGGTGAAGCTGAAAGAATGCATGATACTAGCTGCATTTCCTTTGATTTTGATCAGGTATTTAAATAAATCACTGATTTCGCCTACCTGTGTAGTTCCTCTTCCTTTTCTTTTCTCAACTTAGCCATAGCTCGCTTTGCTTGATAATGACGTCGAATTTTATCATCATTTTCTTCTTCTTTTTGCTTTTCTATAGCTTTCAGAGTTTTCTGATCAGCAACGTACTCCTTTAAATAACAAGTCGCACACAGAGAAAATAATTTGCTGACCAATACAGTCACCAAAAACTCACATTCCTTGAGCTCTTGCCTCTACACCACTCAGTGGAATAGGAAACAACAGAGCAGTGGCTCCGGTGCAGCTGTTCCATTCGGATTTGCTGCATCGAGGCATCCCACGGCTTTAAGGAGGTGGGTCTGAATGAAGCTAATATCCTTGCCCCTCTGCAATTTCCAGATTGCAAGAGGGTTTGGTGTATTTGCACTAATTAAGCCCAGCCTAAATAAATGCTTCATGGGCATCAGATCCTGAATGATCTTGCAAGCTAAGCAGAGTAGGAGTCCACCAATGAATACAAGGTGGTATAGGCTATATTCTAGTAGAACCGAGAAAACCACCTCTGAGTATTCTTTCTCTACGAAAATGGTGACTAAAGTCACCATAATCCATAGTGGCCTGGAGTTAAATACATGCAGGCATGCATTATAGCATCTAGTTTGTGAACAAACAGGACCAGTGAAGAACTCAAAGGATTTTCTCTGCATATCTTGTCCCACAGAAACTGAAGAGTACTGTGGTGAAAGGAGTCTCCATGTGGAGCTATCCTCATCATCCCTACACCTCCCTTCCTCCTGCACACCCATGTCTCCACACAAGGAGGTTGTAGGTAGATAAACCATGCATACCTGTCTACTTCTAGTTTCAAATTGCACTGCCCAACACACATTTTGATGCCTCAAATGTTCTGGGTATCTTTTCCCTGCTGGTTCCAAAAATGATTCATTTCCCCCCAGTAGCTCTAGTATTTAAAATACTGAAGATATGCCATATACCGGTCTGTCTGCCCATGAAGAATCATGCTAACCATATCTAAACTAAAGCTGACGAAGTCTATCCAATGCAATTTTCTGAATCAGCACCCCAAATAACCCCCAGGAACTGGCCTAAAACCAAGACCCCAAGAATTATTCTTTTTTGGTTGGGCTATGTTATTTTTAACGTCATGAAAAAGGTAAATATAATTAACAAAGCCAACATAAACAAGCAGGGATCGGGACACTGGGAGTTTTAAAAACAGAAAATTGCCTTGAAAAGCTCCCTGTAGTGTTTATGGAATAGTGGGAAGGGATTTCATAGTCAACAGTGAAAAAACATATGATTGCATTTTCTATTTACTAAAACATCTAATATCTTAAAACATCAAATAACTGCAGATATGCTCATGGCTTATAGAACACTAATTTTTAGTTGTCTTTTTCATTAAAAAATTCACAACATTTTATAGCAGTCAGAACACATTAAAATTAGAAACACAAAAGCAATACAAACAATACACCAGATATATACCACTGCCATATGTTCTGCCCAAAGATAGCAAAGAGGAACTACCATTAGACTTAATGCCAACATTTCAAAATTTTGTCACTTATATGTCATTATTTAATGCCGTTGCCGTTGCCCATTTTTGGTCAAAAGATATTTAGCCACCTGCACACCTTCTATTTTTATCAGTTTTATACTAATTTATGCAATACTTTTGATACAAAATAAATAAATAAATTTAAGAAGGAGCAAAACAATGAGGCCAACAATGTTATAATTTGGGATCAGGAAGACCTTGCTGAAAAGGCCCTCTTTCTTGTCATCACTCTCTGAGTTTCTATTATAGTAGAATCTAAGTACTAGAAGTAAATTCTCCTATTTTTATGCAGAAATCTGTTAGTAAGTTGTTTAGCTGGTGTGTTCACAGACAGAATATCTAAGTGTTTATATAACTAAAATCAGAAAGTATTCCTTAGGTCCCAACTGCCAAACATTTGACTATGGGGTTATTGCTACGAACCAGATATGCCTGTCTACGTTTAAGTTTTTGCTTGTACTCCTCTTGCTCTTTCTGCATCACTTCCAATTGATGTCGCCTGACCAGTGCCTGGATCTCTTCCCCTTCTTTTTTCTCTTCTTGCCTGTCGATTTCTGCTTGATGTTCGTGCTCTTTGATCCTAAAATGCACACAAAAGGGAACAAGATAATAAATGAACACATATTACTAAAATCTAAAAATACAAATACAAATAAAAGTTTTGAGTTAAAGGCAGGGAGCAGTTCAGGAGTCATACATCCAGGTCAATTCTGAGAAGACCACGGCATCTTCTGCACTGGCAGAATTAGCCAGTTTTACAGATTAATGTTACCTTTCAATCAAATTGGTGACTAACACTATCCAGCACTACTCAGTCCATAACTTCTACCATCTAAAGAGTAAGTGATTATTTGGCTTTCAGGCAGGGAAGATTATTCAGAATGTGCTGTAATGAACAATGACATCTCTTACATTAATAGTTTATATCAATACAATAGTAGCTGTTAATCAAATACCCCATAAGAAAAAAAAACCCCAACAAGCTAGTAAGATTTATTTTATACCTCTAAATGCTGAACACATTCCGATTCTAGCTTATGTATTTAGAGGGGAATTGTATTCCCTTAACTAATCCTTATTTTATTAAGTGGAATGTCAAATGGGTGATCTTGGTTATATTTACTGTTCTAACTGCTCCTTGCTAAGCTGCAGTCTCTTCACGTGGCGTTCCTTGATCTTTTCCTCCTCTTTTTGTACAGCTTTTAGACGCTCCTGTTCTATTTCTTCATGCTTACTGCAGTACAAGTTTTCTTTTATCTTTTTAAATTCAATTTGCGCATCTCTTTCCTTCATTACTTCAGTAAGTAAAAAGGCTTTCTACAAAACAAAATGTGAACATTCAACAAAATAGTCTGCTTTCTCAAAGCTGAAACATGAAAATGAAAGGGGGCAGAGATGAACTACATTACATGGAAGCCTTTCACTCTCTCATTTTCATAATGTTGTTGCATTTTGGCTTTTTCTATAAACTCTTTTCGTTTTTGTGCTTGGTACTTTGCTTCTTCCAGGTCAATGTTTCTTCTCGCTTCCTCTTCCCTTTCTTTCCTTAGTTTTCCTGCTTTCAGTTTCATTTGTGACATACCCTGTAGTGAAGAGCAATACCTGCCATTAGGGGGTGTTATTCAAAGGCAAGATGGGCCAAAACTAACATCTTTGGAATGTCAGGCAAAAGGGTTGTTGTATGCCTTCAAGTCATTTCCAATTTATGGCATCCTTAAGGCGTATCTATCACAGGGGTTGTTTTTTTTTTGGGGGGGGGGGGTGTCATTTGCTTACCTCTGAGGCCAACAGAGTGTGACTTACCAAAAGTCACTCAGCAGGTTTCCCAGTGGCTGAACAAAGATTTGAACCTTAATCCCCAGAGTCTTAGGGCCCTTCCAGACAGGCCCTATATCCCAGGATCTGATTCCAGGTTTTCTGCATTAAGATGGATTATATGAGTCCCCAGTGCCAGACAATCCAGGATACACAGAAAACCTGAGATCAGATCCTGGCATATAGGGCCTGTCTGGAAGGGCCCTTAGCCCAGAGCTCAAGCCACTACATCACACCACAAACAATTTGAGCTCCCATTCTGCTCAAGGGTAAAGTACATCACAGATAATCTAGAATAAACAGAAAACCTGAGATCAGACCCTGGGATATAGGGCCTGTCTGGAAAGGCAAAGTGCACCACACTTCAACATATTAAAGTGAAACCTTTGCTATGAAATCCAATAACAGTTTTGTTTTTCTCTTATATGCCTCCTTTTCAAGGCAGTATTTGAATTAATTTCCATATAAGTAAACTTCTGCAGCTACCTTGGCACAACATAAAACTAAACATGTTTCATCAGAAGTCCTAATGAATTCAATAAGGTTTACATAAGGGTAGACATACATGTTTATAGCCTTTGGCACTCAGTTAGAAGCAATCTCACTCATCTCAGTGGAACTACTTTCTAGAAAACACATGTAGGATTGCATTGTTGATTATTTATGATAAATCAGAAAGAAGCAGGGGATAGCAATTCAAGATAAGTTCTCTCAATTTGGAAACCTTTCTTCTAATAATACATGCTAAAATAGCATTTGTCTTTTTAGCTGCAACATCATGTTACTGCTGGTTTATGTTCAACCTATAATCAATGATAATCCCAAGGTCCCTTTCACATGTTGCACTGCTGAGCCATGTAGCTCCTGCAACCCAAATTCCGCCTGTACATTTTTGGGTTTTGTAGACTAAATGTAGAATTTTGCACTTGTCTCTTGAATTGCATTTTAATTTCTGCCCAATTTTATAATTTATCAAGATCTGCTAACAGTCCTTGCTATGCTAAAACCTTTTTGACTAACAATTATTTTGTCTTACTCTGCATTAGAGGAAAAGATATAAATACATTCAGACATTCAAGAAGGAACACTGGCAGTGAAATGCATATTTTTCCCTTACTGCAATAGTGTTGGTCCAGTTCTTGACAAGTGCTTGAGACTTTAAATGTAGATCTTTCCGTGCTTTCCTTTCAGCACGGGCCTGTGCTACTTCTCTGGCTCGAGCTGTGAGGCTGTCTTGAATCCTTTGCCATTCTGCCTTGGGCAGTATGGCTATTTCGTGAAGATCTACTCCTACTGGGAGAAATATTCCCTCCACTTCATCCTTTTCATCTTCTGTGAAAAGAAAAGAAAAGATTTATATACCGCTGTCTCACTTTAAGGCCAGAAAGTCATAATTTTAACACCCACCTGGAATACCAATCCCTGTATGTAAGCTAGGTAGAAATTATGTAACTTCAAGTGTTGCTGAACTGCAGCTCCCAAGATTCTTTGCCACTGGCTGTGCTAGCTTGGGCTGCTGAGATGTGAGAGTTGCAGTCTTCTAATTAAAATTACCATATTTCATAGAACCCAAGGCACACTTTTTCTTGTTTAAGGGAGTTCAAAAACGTGGTGCACCTGAGATTTTATGGCGCCTTTGATTCAAGGGTTTTGGGGTGGCTTTTTTTAAAAAACTGCCTTATTTTTGAGATAGGAGGTGGAGGTGAAGGAGCTCCAGTGACTCTGTTAGGCTCCCACTATTTTGTCCTCAGCCAGAGGGCTGTTTACCATCTGGTTGAGTTAGGTACTGCTTCATATTTCCACTGCCTCCCAATGGATCCATAGACTTAATAGCCTTTATAGTCTCATGCATGACTTGTGAGTTTTTTCAAATTCCCTCAACAGGGAAGATTGCACTACAAAGCCACTGTGTAACAAAAACAAGATATTGTTTGTGCATACAGAGGAAATTTTTTAAAATATTGTAAGAATTTTTGCCCCAAATTGAAGCTTCAAAAACAGGGTGTGTTACCCATTCAATGGCACCTTCCAATTAGGTTAAATGTGATATTTGGCAGTTCTACCAGCTATAATATGTCTAGGCTCCACAAGTAAGCTGTGAATGGAATTGCTTGCATTTCACAGCCAGGTGCCTCCAGTGGCGCAGTGAATTAAACCCTTGTGCAGGCAGAACTGAAGACTGACAGGTTGGAGGTTTTAATCTGGGGAGAGTGTAGATGAGCTCCCTCTGTCAGCTCCAGCTCTCCATGCGGGGACATGAGAAAAGCCTCCCAAAAGGATGGTAAAACATCAAACATCCAGGCATGCCCTGGGCAACGTCCTTGCAGGTGGCCAATTCTCTCACACCAGAATTGACTTGCAGTTTCTCAAGTTGATCCTGACATGGAAAAAAAATAGCCTGGTGGCCTTACTGTTTACTTTTCCTGTTGTTCCATAGGATAAGATGGTCCCATTTTACACATCTGAGGAAGAAGCCTCTAGTAGTCCACAGCAGTATTATAATATAGTTGGGTAGATCAAAAATAGCTTTTGTAGTGTCCTTAAACATATTTGAAGTATAATGGGACACCCTCAATATCGCAGGGCAACAGGTACCCTCCACTTACACCTAGAAAGAAGTCTACTGCAGCAGATTCAGAAACAGGAGGTATCTTTGTCAAGGAGTGCATCTACACTCTAAAATTAAGGCAGTTTGAAGCCACCTTAAGCTTTATGGCTCAATGCTATGGAATCCCAGGAGTTTAGTGAGGCGTCAGCACGCTTTGGCAGAGAAGACTAAAGAACTTGTAAAATCACAATTTGCATCATTCCATAGCATGTAGCAGGTAGAAGTGGTCTCAAACTGCATTAATTCTACAGTGCAGATCCACCCAAGCTTCCTCTCCAGTTCCCATCACACAGAAAAGGTAGTGATATTACAGCATGGCCAGGACACACCTTATGAATTATGGGATAAGCTTTTCAACTACGGTGTATGTCCAGATGCAGTGGTCACTGGCTCTACAACAAGAAAAAGGGTTCAGAAGAACGTGAAGGTTTGCCTCTTTCTGATGATGATCATAATAAATGAATTACCAGAATCCAGAATTTTAGGACCCTCCCACACAACCATGTAACCCAGAATATCATGGCAGAAAATCCCACAATATATGCTTTGAACTGGGTTATCTAAGTGCCCTTCCACACAGCCTTATATCCCAGATTATCAAGGCAGAAAATCCCACATTATCTGAGTGTGGACTCGGATAAACCAGTTCAAAGCTGATATTATAGGATTTTCTGCCTTGATATTCTGGAATATAGGGCTGTGTGGAAGGGCCCTGAGTCCATGCTGCCATATATTCCCGTTCAAGGCAGATAATGTGGGATTTTTTGCAACTGTGTGGAAGGGGCCTTTGTTGGAGGTGGATTGTGTCTGTGACAAAAGAAACTCATTTTAGGAACATGTCCTCTACCTGGGTGTTTTGCCTTAAAAGTTTATTGAAACATGCTCATGGTGATAAACAGTTACATAAAAATAGTCACATGCTGACCAAAATTTTGTTCTTGCGTGCCTTCAAGTAATCAATACCATATGACAACCCTAAGATGAAACTATCGTAAAACAATCTAGGCAAGGGGGTTTCATACTTTCCTTCCTCTGAGGCCGAGAAAGTGTTCCTTGCCCTCAGGGCCCTTCCACACAGCCATATAACCCAGAATATCAAGGCAAATAATCCATAATATCTGCTTATCACTGAGTTATATGAGTCCACCTATATTCCAGTTCAAAGCAGAAAACGTGGGATTTTATACAGCTGTGTGGAAGGGGCCTAAGTCACCCAGGGGGCTTCCATGGCCGAACTGGGATTCAGCTCTCAAACCACATCATGCCTTCTACCCCAAAGCCATAGTTCAAACCACTACACCACAATGAGTGCCAAAATTATTTTATCCTGGTCTGTAAAATAATAAAACACCATCGAGGGGGTGGGAGCAGAGGCGGCCCTAGGTAATTTTCAATGGTAAGCAAACAGTATTTTGCCCCCCCCCCCCAACCAATCACTGTTATATATATTTACTGTTCGTCGTGGGAGTTCTGTGTGCCATATTTGGTTCAATTCCATCATTGGCGGAGTTCAGAATGCTCTTTGATTGTAGGTGAACTATACATCCCAGTAACTACAAGTCGCATATGTCAAGGTCTATTTTTCCCCAAGAGTGCCTCAAGAGCGCCCCTGGGCAAAACCAACTATACTGCAATTGTTTACTTTGCGTATGGGTTGAGCCGCCCCTGAGTGTGCCCAAACCCCAGATCAAGCCAAAGTTGAGAACCCAATCTCAAAACTTTGCATAGTGAAGTTCTAAACCAGGTATGGACAACTCTGAACTGCTAAAAGGCTACCATAGACCTTCATAGGAGACCTTTGAGGGTTGTCCCCCATGTCGCCTCCTAAAAACATCAAAATAATCTACTCTCAGAGGCGGCCCTAGGTAATTTTCAATGGTAAGCAAACAGTATTTTGGCACCCCCCTCCCAACCAATCATTGATATATATTTTCTGTTCGTCGTGGGAGTTCTGTGTGCCATATTTGGTTCAATTCCATCATTGGTGGAGTTCAGAATGCTCTTTGATTGTAGGTGAACTATACATCCCAGTAACTACACTTGCTGCACTTGCTCCCTTGCCTGGCCCGCTTTGGGTCTGGAGGCGTGCCTGAAGACCCCGGCGTGTGCACCAAAAGTCACCTCTTCTCCTGACTTTCTCCTCAGCCACTGGGACCAAGAGAGAGAGAGAGAGAGAGAGGTGGAGATGCCCACCTTTCCTGAAGGTAGGCGCAAAAACAAAGGAGGGAGCGGAGGTGGGAGATACCTCCAGCCGGAGGGGCTCTCTCTCTCTCTCTCTCTCTCTCTCTCTCTCTTGGTCCCAATGGCTGAAGTAACTACACTTGCTGCATTTGCTCCCTTGCCGGGCCCGCTTTGGGTCTGGAGGCGTGCCTGAAGACCCCGGCGTGTGCACCAAAAGTCACCTCTTCTCCTGACTTTCTCCTCAGCCATTGGGACCAAGAGAGAGAGAGAGAGAGAGGTGGAGATGCCCATCTTTCCTGAAGGTAGGCGCAAAAACAAAGGAGGGAGCGGAGGTGGGAGATACCTCCAGCCGGAGGGGCTCTCTCTCTCTCTCTCTCGCTCTCTTGGTCCCAATGGCAGAAGAGAAAGTCAGGAGAAGAGGCGACCTTTGGTGCGCATGCTGGGGTCTTTATTTATTTATTTATTTATTTATTTACAGTTCTTATATTCCGCCCTTCTCACCCTGCAGGGGACTCAGGGCGGATTACAGTAAACACATATATGGCAAACATTCAATGCCAGTTTGACAAACAACGTTTAACACACAAATACACCGAGGCTATTTTCTGGCCGCCAGGGGAGCTGCTGCTTTTCATCGTCCATCACGACACCGATGAAGTTCTTCCACATTCCACATTCCTCGGAGTCTTTTTTCTTTATGGCCTCATAAATTAGTTAAATTTAGCCTCCCACACAAGGTGGTACCTTATTTTCCTACTTGACAGATGCAACTGTCTTTCGGGTTGCAAAGGTCGACAACGGGCTACACAATGGCTGGACACCCACTCCAGCCCGGGCTGGCTTCGAACTCATGACCTTTTGGTCAGAGTGATCTTAATGCAGCTGACACTCAGCCAGCTGCGCCACAATCCCGGTCTTCAGACACGCCTCCAGACCCGAAGCGGGCCAGACACCCCTTGGCCCACCCGCGGATTGGGGAGAGGAGAGGAGGCGGGTGGAGCGCCGGGGGATCGGGAAAGGGAGCCGGTCATGGGAAGGGATCGAACGCGGAGAACGATTGAGTGCTGGCTCTGCTCGCGCACCCGGTGGTTGGGTGGAGCAGGAACGAGAGGGGCTAGGCGAGGCTCAAGGGCCCGGCCCCTTTGGGAAGAGGATCACCCGGCAGCGAGGCAAGAAAGCTGAGGCTCCCCCCGGACTGCTAGGGCTGTTGTGAGCTGAGGGGGCGCTCCTCAAGTGGCAGTCGAGGGGCATTTACAGAGGCGCCTCTGCGCCCCTGGCAAAAAAAAGTGTTCTGCGACCGCTTACTTCGCGTAATGGACGAGCCGCCCCTGGGTGGGAGAGTAAGGCAGTTGCCTCACCGCTTTATCTTTTGCCTATGTGGTATATCTAAGGGTAGAATGGATGTAGTTTGACACCACTTTACACCACTCCGGTGGCTCAGTGATAAGTCATCCTGGGATTTGTAGTTTGGTGAGGCAGAGAGGACTAGAAGAACTTCCATAGTATTGAGTCGTGGCAGTGGCCAAACTGTTGTCGGAGACTTTCATGGCGGGAATCACTGGGTTGCTGTGACAGGATAGGTAGACGCAGCCATCTTCTTCGCGGCGTGGTTTCCATGGAGACGCCGCTTGCTCCCGTGCAAGGGAAAGGAATTCCTATTACTGCTGCGGCCTTTTTATTGCTTTGAGTTCATTCACCACTTCCCCTCCCTCCCTCCCCCTCGCTCGCTCGCTCGCTCGCTCGCACTCACGCATGTCCTCTCGGTTTTGCCCCCGGGGCCTCCCGAACCGCACCGCGGGCCGCAGCATCGTGCCCATGTGCTCCTCCGGCCTCCTCCGCACAGGCTCTTCTTCTTCCCCGGGGAAGGCCTTGCGCGGCGTCCCTGCGGTTGCCAGGCAACTGGGGTTGGGGGGAGAAAGAGAGAGGATTGGAGAGAGGAAGTCTCGCGGCGCTTGCTTGGCAGAATCACGCGGCGCGAGTGTCCTCTCCGGGTCGCTCGCTCACGTGACCCGGCTGGGCGAAGATATTGCAGGTTAGTTTGGCCGAGGCTGGTTTGGGGGAGAGCCGTGGGGGAAGGAAGGGGCGCTTTCACTCTACGCTCTCTCTCTTTCCCTCTTTGCCCCCCCCCCACACACCGCGCGCGCTTCAAACAGCCCTGCCATTGGCCCGCTGGTGCCTCGCTCGCGCCGGGCCTTAACGAACCCGGCGCGCGCTGCCATTCCTTGGAGAGCCAGCCTTGAAATTGGACTCCCCACTGTAGCATTCATGCAGTGTGACCCCCCACTTGACCTCCCCTGGCTCAATGCCGTGGGGCCCTGGGACTTGTCTGGTGAAGCACCAACACCATTTAAAGCAGGCATGGGCCAACTGGAGCCCTCCAGGTGTTTTGGACTTCAACTCCCAACATTCTTCACAGCCTCAGGCCCCTTCTTTTCCCCCCTCAGCAACTCCCGCCATTCCTCACAGCCCCGGGACGCTTCCTTTACCCCCTCAGCAATTCTACCATTCCTCACAGCCTCAGGCCCCTTCCTTTTCCCCCTCAGCCGCTTAAGTGACCTAGGAGGAAAAGGAAAGGGCCTGAGGCTGTGAGGAATGTTGGGAGTTGAAGTCCAAAACACTTGCATGGTCAAGTTGGCCCATGCCTGCTTTAATGGCCCTATAATACTATGACTCCCAGAATCCCACAGTGTTGAGCCAGGGCTTTTAAAGCAGAGTCACACGTTTCATTCTACAATGTAAGAGAGGATTGCAAAGGCAAATTCCCTTGGAATGCATATATCCTGACAAACCATTTGGAGTTTTGGTATGACCTACTGTTTCGGGTTCTTTTATTTGCACAGTGCATGTGTGTTGAGGATACTATGTAAATAAGTGATTTGGATCCGGGATACCTAAAGGTAACCTGGATCCGCCCCACACACTTCGGTCTGGGTGGTGTCTGCTCCAACCAGCCAGAACCCGACTGGCAACCATCACTCAAGAGGATCTTTTCATCAGCTACCCCACAACTGTGGAACAACCTGCCAGTAGAGCTCCGGCTGCTAAATGAGCTGTCAGAATTTAAAACCATGTAAAGACCTATCTCTTCCAGCAGGCCTACCCAAACAGTCTCTAAACATGAATTTTAAGTGGCCTTTGTTTGATCTGTTTTGTGTGTTTTAGTATGTATTTCATAGAGATACGTTTTGATATGTAACTTTTATGGAGGTATGTTTTAGTGTGTGTATTTGTAGCGTTTTTGCTGTGCTTATGGTTTTGCAACCCACCTCGAGCCATGAGGAGAGGCGGGAAAGAAATAAAATGATGATTACTGTCACAAGTGCAGTTGGTGGAGATGAGGGAGAGGGTGCATGCCTCCCCCCCCCCCCGGCTTTGGAACACCCTCCCCAGGGAGATCAGACAGGCCCCCACACTGTCCTCCTTCTGTAGGGATCTGAAGACTTTAATGTTTGAACAAACCTTTGAGAACGTCTAGCCCCAGTGGTCCACAATCAATGACACAGCACTGAACTTTCATCCCATGCCCTGTTCCTTGGCTAGAGTTTGCACTATCCAGTTCCCTTGTCTTGTTTACAGTCTGGCCATGTCTTGCGGTAGTTGTCACCATAGGTCACTGGGCGTTGTTCTGAGTTTTAAATTGCTGTTTTTAAATGCTGTAGTTTTTACTTTGCATTGTATTGTGTGTTTATTTTATGCTTTGTCTTGGCACCTTGTGCCATATGTAAACCATCCCAAGTCCCTTTGGGGAGATGAAGGCGGGGTACAGAAATAAAATAATAATTATAATTATAATTATTGTTATTATTATTATTATCATTTCACCTTAGAGTCGCCAGAAGTCAGAAATTATTTGAAGGCACACAACAATAACCTATACCTTTTAAGGCTGAGCTGTGTGCTGGCTGCAATGAACATTATGAGAAACCTCTGAGTCTTTGTGAAACAAGCAATAAATCATATTTTTAAAAACCTTTTCTTGAGATATGTTGTGTCCCCATACATCTCATTATTACAACTTATATATTTGTTTTTATTGCTTATAAGGGGTTTCTTTAACCTCCGATTTGCTAGTAAAACTGAATTCCTGTGTTGTGAAATGATACATGTCTAAAAAGTGTGTCATCAGCATGAAGTGTTTGGAAAGCTTTGTTTTAATGGCTGTGTAGAAGAGGGCGTTTCAGCCAATGTCACTTGGTGCCTGGCTGCCTGACCAGCAATACCTGCTGAAATGCCCTCTTCTACACAGGAACAGATGCTCTCCCTAATTTTCACTCTGCGAATCCCCACTTTGCACAAGGCAAACCATGTTAATAAACTCCCTAGGAATAAAATGTTCCTTAATCATATCTTGCTGGGGACTGAAGGTCTTCATCAATAAAACCTACCTGCTCTAATTGACATTTTAAAACACAAATCTTACGATGGGGTCCTTGGGTTTTTGCTGTCAGAGGTAGGTAATATATTATTTTTATACCCTTGGTAGATATTTATTTTTATTTTATTATATAGTATTTATATGCCAGAATTCCCTCAATGTGCTATATATTACCTCCAATATGGGAAGTAGTGTGTGTTATACCAGTTACTGTGGTGTCCAGATGGAGGATGCACTTGCACTAATGTCCTGTTTTCTGAATTCCCAGAACCAACCCGTTGGGCTCTATGGCAAGCAGGGTGCTGAACTAGATGGGCATTTGGCTCCTTTTGCATTAGTTTAGTGATGAGTAGCAAGTATCACCTTGGATGAGAATCAGTTACGGTTGGATAGCTAATCAGGCATCTTCTATCTTTTCTCCACAGAATAAAATCACTTGTTCACCTTATCTACTGCTTTGGAAAAACAAATCACCATCTGAATGAGGAACACTGCTTGCCCTCAGCCTGTCACTGTTTACTTCCATAGTGAATTTTTCATCCCAAAATGTAAGTAGCATTTGCTACAGAGATTGCAGGAACTTTGGAGGGTAAGGATATTTATTTCAGGTAGTTTCCATTAGTGGGGATTAACAACTGTCTGCGAAGAATGTAAAAAGCAAGGCAAAGTTCACTATGAACTGTCTCACCTTAAAACTATTGTCAGAACCTGTTCCTTTTTTTCTTGCACTGGTTTTATGTTATGTAGCCTCGAAACTAATCACATTCACAATTTTTTCATCCCTTTACTGTAATGAACAACTAAACTGTGTGAATATGTGCTAAAATTATAATTTAAAAAAGCAAACACTGTTAGGATTACGGCATCACCTGAGCTCTGTGTTCCCATATCCAGTCAGTATCAGAAACAATATTTATTTAGGTATGTTGTGTTCTCACATGTTTTTTGTTGAAAATTAAAATCCACAGAAATATGAAATATAATCAAGGATATATACTATAAGGTTTCCAGCAGCTATCTAAGCATTTTATGTCATTTTTTAAGTTATTGGGAAAGTTTTTCTGAGAAAAGGCGCAGAAGGATTCAGCGACTCATTTGATAAGGAGACTTTAAAAAGCAGCCACTAGCAATTAGTAATACAATGCAGGATCTATCCCATATGATTGGAGCAGTGTTTATCATTACATTGTGCTTTTTTATAAATTGTGAAAGACCAAATCCTTTACAGATGGTTTTAAACTAGTCCAGTCTTGTAAGCCTACCCGCCCTCACAGGACTGTTCCAAGTATAAAATGATGTATTTCGTCCTTAGTGCCTTGAAACACAGTGAGGACAGGAGGAAAATGTAAGTCTTTTCATCTTTCTTTATGTGCAGCCATTGTAAAGTGCCCTGCATTTATGTTGGAACAAAACTGAAATACATTCACCACTTTTAATCTTGAGACCCTTCAATGAATTCGGGTTTCAAACATCTGTCAACCAGTGAGTACCATTGTGTTGTTGCACGTTAGATTGTTTTCCCTTTTTAAAAAAACTACTGCTGCTATATTGAGAAAAAAATACTGATTTTCAGAAGCTAATTGCATAATCTTAAATTTTAACCAAATACTATAAGTTGTGTTTGGTCTGAGAACTACTTTGTAAACTAAACTTATTAATTTAACTTGCATTTTATCACTAGAGTAGTTTGCTATTTTAGCCTATTTCAATAGAAACCACAAACACTACTGTGACACTTCAAAAAGAAATGCAACTTGCTGTGTGTTGTTGTTTTGTGTCTGTGTGTATATAGTGTATACTATACACATTTAATAATATGCTTTTGTGTATATTACACCCTAGTGATTTTAAGCCATACTTTCTATATGGTCATAATTTGTTCTGCATTTGAAACGCATAAGGGATTGAAAATACTTGGATTTTAACCAATTCATTATTTACTGTATATCATTAAATCTAAGGCACACTTTTTCCCATTAAGGGGCCTCAAAATGGGGTGTGCCGTGGATTCAATGGCATCTTAGATTTGCCATTTTATTTTGTTTGGAACCGTCTTGCCTTTGAGAGAGGAGAAAGAAGGCCACAGCTCCAAACACCTCTTGCAATCCCCCCTCCCAATTTTCTCCTTAGCCAGACAGCTGTTTACTGGTCGTCTTCTTCTTCTTCTTCTTCTTCTTCTTCTTCTTCTTCTTCTTCTTCTTCTTCTTCTTCTTCTTCTTCTTCTTCTTCTTCTTCTTCTTCTTCTTCTTCTTCTTCTTCTTCTTCTTCTTCTTCTTCTTCTTCTTCTTCTTCTTCTTCTTCTTCTTCTTCTTCTTCTTTAGGGTTTCTTTAATTTTATTTTTATTGTGCAATTTTCTGTGTATTTACTGGTCTTCTTGAGCTAAGTGCCACTTCCTGTTGCTGCTGCCACCTCCCCAGCAGGTACATAGAGCTAAAAAAAATAGACTTGTGCAAACAAGATGATTTCCAGGTGGAAGCAAAAATAAAGTATTGTGCTGGTAGAGAAAATTCTTTTAAAATGATCAAAGAAGATTGCTTTTACCAAAACAAAACAGGGTGCACCTTACCTTCTGTGACACCTTAGATTCAGTGAACTATGGTATTATTTCATTTTATGTATCCCAGTTTTCTTCCAAGAAGCTCCACATATGTGGTTCTCATCTTTACAACAGTCCCGTGAGCTCGGTTAGGCTAAGAGCAAATAAAGGTTTGAACCCAGTTCTTCTTATTCCTGATTCAATCTTTTATCCAAACACTTTGTGGTTTTACAGAATTCAGTGTCTCGTAAATTCTTATTACTTTGAAAAACATAGTAAAATGCTAAGGTTGTAGCCTGATCTGAGAGTAAGGTACAACTTTATTTTCCTGACAGAATATTTTTTTCTAAGATAATGAACAAGTATACTATTATTTTTTTAATCTTTCCAAGGCCATCATCAAACTGTAATATAATTATAGGAAGGCTCTTTGACTTCATTACATATTATCAGGGTGGTTTTTAATGTATTTTATTGGGGTTTTAATTAATGTTTTAAAGCATTTGCTAATATTTATGGTTGTAACTTGTTTGTAATTTTTATATTGTATGTTTGTAATAGTTGTAAGCTGCCTTGGACCCTTGACTGGGGAAAGATGGGGTATACATTTCATAAATGTTTTTAAAAATGTGGTTATACATAGCACCTAAACACATTCTCCTCATTTTCAGGGTTCGTTCATCCAACAGCAATGAAGCTTCTTCTGGTGTTTGATTTTGACCATACAGTTGTAGATGAAAACACTGATACCTGGATTGTGAAATGTGCGCCTGCTTCAAAACTTCCTGATGAAATAAAACATTCCTATAAAAAAGGACATTGGACGGAATATATGGGCAGAGTCTTCAGATACCTGGGGGACAATGGAGTGAAAGAAGAAGAGATGAAAAGGACTATGACAACACTCCCTTTCACTGCAGGAATGAAAGATCTCCTGGATTTTATTGGTAAACACAAAGACTTTTTTGACTGCATAATTATTTCAGATTCCAATGCAGTATTTATTGATTGGATTTTAAAAGCCGCTAATGTCTCTCACCTGTTTGATAACGTGTTTACAAATCCTGCAAGCTTTGATGGCTGTGGCTATCTTACTGTACAGAATTGTCACATTCATGATTGTGCAAAGTGCCCTGTCAACCTCTGCAAAAGAAAAGTCTTAGAAGAATTTGTAGAAACCCGTTTAACTTCAAGTATGAAGTACTCACAAATTATATATATAGGTGATGGCGGGAATGATCTGTGCCCAGTAATGTATTTGAAAAAGAATGACATTGTTATGCCAAGACATGGATATACGCTGGAGAACATGATTTCTCAGTTGTCTCAAAAACTTATTCCTGTGGAGGCATCAGTTGTCAGCTGGTCATCTGGCATGGAGATACTGGAATATTTAGAGTTGCTTATAAAATGATAGTTCTTAGTAATGGCGATAAACAGTAAATAAAATGGTGCTGCTATTTTGATCTATGTATGGTAGGATCATTTCCCTCTGAATGTTAGAAAATTTAACACTTTGTTTACACCACTTTAATTCATTGTCTTCCCTTCTACGTAGTCAGTAATTGAAGGGAGATGGGATGGATGGGAAGTGGACTTGAAAACGGGGAGGAACATAATGAATGAAACAGATGCCAAAGTAATTGTCAAATGTAGTTGCTATGTAACATCTATATAAAGGAGCAATATGGTCTGTTTTATGACAAATTGGGTCTCCTCTAATAGTTTACAGGTCAAGAAAATGTAGGTAACTACTTTTCAGAATATTCTTTTCTATAAATAAAAAAATTGCTCAAATTCTGCAAAATGGCAAAAACCACTGGTAGAAAGTGAAAAGATTACATTGCCACAAGCCAAGACTGGGCTATGGTATCCCACTTTCAGCAGCAGTAATTTTCTGTCCATCCGTTAATTTTGTCTAAAGGCATATGGGTGAATTTTTGTTGACCTAAATGAAATGTGGTTTTGGTTTTTATTCTTACCAGCACATTTATGTCCTTACCCTAAGATCCCTATTATCGGCAAGGTATCTAAATACCTTCATTGTATGTAAGTAAGAAGACATTTCTTCATAATCTCATCATATAATTTATTGTAGACAATTATTTTGTGTGTAACAAAAGGTTTCTTGCACATCTGTACAGCATGGCAGCTGTCTCTCCTCCCATTTAACAGATACTCTTCCATTTAGTCAATAATTATCACCATTCTGTATCAGTATCAGATTAATTGGTCAAAAAGCTACAGGTGATGTAATGCACAGGCAGTATCAGTAAGGAACAAATAGGAGCAACATTTACTTTGTACTTTCATTTTTTTACTCATCCTTACTATGCAAATGCACTGTGAGGAATTCACAGCCAAAGATGCAGTGAAATAAATATACTCCCCTTGAACTCCTATGTGCAAGATTGGAGGTTCAAGGTGGAGACATTGCAAACAATTTTAGATAGTTTGAAACTGAATGATTACTTGCTATCAGTAGATTTATGAGAAGCTTATGTTTCGATCACATAGGCAGTCACGATCAACTCAGGGCACTTGTCCTTCAATCTGGCTTCAGCACCCAGGGTATTCACCGAAATAGTAGTTCCTTTGATAGTGTTTATTGAACAGCAAGGGGCCCAGTTGTTTCCCTAGTTAGATACTAGCAAAAATAAAGGTTTCTCCTTGATATTAAGTCTAGAAGTGTCCTACTCGCGTGTGTTGCTAATCTCCATTTCTAAGCCGAAGAGCCGGCATTGTCCATAAACACCTCCTAGGTCATGTGGCTAGCATGACTACACGGAGTGCCATTGGACACCACCTTACTTAAAACTGAGTGCAGAAAGGTTAGCAAAGACTTCAAACTAATTTTGCCGCATCTCCAAACTTATCAAAAAAATGCTGATAAGTTTAATAAAGAGTCAAGTAGTGTCGACACAGATCACAATCTTTGGATAGAATAAGCAACCAGTTTGTATTTTATCTTTCAATAGAAAGGAAAAGGAAAATAAAAGAAGAAATAGTCACTTTGAGAAAACAGTAGATTTAATGCATCTGACCAAAATACTAGGGATAGTCATTGCAAGTATTCAAACAGCTCTGTGCCAAGGTTTCTCACCAAGACATTGCAAGTGTTTATGAGACCTTACCAGAAGGAAGTGATCTGGAAATTACACATCTTTTAGCAGTTGCAGAGAGATAGATCACACAGGTTTACTTTGAAGTTCAATGGGACTTACTTCCATGCAAGTGCATATAAATCTGCAGTCATACATTTCAAATTAGGATTTTCCTAAGATGTTTGTGTTACTGAGGCACCATATGTATCTTTGCTAATACCTGTGAGAGTATCGCCAAGAGTTTCTAATCCATTTTCTCACCATTTAAAAAATTATTTGTTTTTAATGAAGGTTTTTAAACATGTAATATATTGTGTTACATTAATCTTTCTCCTATTGTGAAAAAATGATTGTGTTAATGTTTTTATTGAATATGTGGAAAAGCATATTTAGTATATGTATGTTTTGAAAGTGGCAATGAAAACTGTGGAGCGTAAAAACTAAAAAGATAGCTGTTGACTAGCTTCCAGTTCTTTCATGGCAATCCTCTTTTTCAAGAGTTTCATTATCTGTCTTCTAAAATTCAAATTTTGAAGCTAAAGGGCTTGGTACAGTGAGCAATAAATATTTGTGAAAATCCAGCTTTCACTGACGTTGTTTTGTTTGAATACAATGTGCCTGCTGCAGCTTTTGGAGTCTATATATTGTTTTGAAATGACAAAGACATAACTGTAATTTATCCTGTTTTGTAGTATTTTGTATTTAAAGATCAGTGCTTGTATCAATAATAATTAATTAAATATTTTATTAAGTAACTACATTGCAATGTCAAATATTTGGCTTGATATTAACATATACTTGTAACAGAAGGGAGCAGGATATGTTTACATATATAAATAAATCTGATATACAAAGGTGTTGTTCCATGAACATGGTTAGAGGCTTTTGCACTCAGTCATTGTTAAAGAACTATGTGATATGTGCAAGAAGAATTTCTCAGTCTTAAAAAATTATTCCTTGGGCAATGCTTCTGAAAATAGGAATACATTTATACTGTGGTTTAAAATACTTATATTTCAGTACCATTAACCTTAAGCGAGGTAAGAGTTATTGTTAAAATAATAAAACAAATTCTGGAATAATCTAAAACTAGTCCATGTCCTCTTCAATTTTCATCCATTTCTGTTGCATTATAATTTTTTGCCTTATCAGGCTAAGGAAATTGTGGAAAAGGATTTTATTGGCACTGTATGATTACTACAAAAAGGCTGTTTTGTGTTTTTGTGAAGCTGAACATTGCTAAGTCTTGGCCTTCTTTCTGAACATCTGTTATATGTCTTGAGCCATGGTGGCGCAATGTGTTAAACCCTTGTGCTGGCTGAACTGCTGAGCTGAAGGTCGGTGGTTTGAATGCGCAAGATGGCGTGAGCTCCTGTCAGCTCCAGCTTCCCGTGTGGGGATGTGAAAGAAGCCTCCTACAGCATGGTAAAACATCCGGGTGTCCCCTGGGCCATGTCTTTGCAGACGGTCAATTCTCTCACACCAGAAGTGACTTGCAATTTCTCAAGTTGCTCCTGACACGATTAAAAAAAAGCCAGTTCCCAGCATTTTTGTGCTTCCACCTGCTCCTTTGCTGTGCTCAACCAGACTCAATAAGTTTAGGAAATAGTACCCAAAGTGATGCTGTGCAGATAAAAGATGATATAAGTCGCAGAACTGTCTTGATTCTTAATGGTTCCCACTGAATTCTGTGGCATAGTACACTTGATGTGGGCAACATGGCTGAGCTTATGAAAGCAAGCTATTTTCCCTTTTTGCTTTGCCATGTTGAGCCCTCTCTAAGTGGTGGAAATTATCTATTCTTTCTGCTCCTTCCCCCTCTATGACCCCCTCTATCTCAGAAACATAGGAAATTCACAACATATTAAAATGTGCTAAAATGGCAGAGTAAAAATAGACTTGGCTTGAGCTCACTGGCTTAAGAAATATTGAAAATTAGTATCAAAACCATGCAAATGGACTGATTTTTTAAAAATGCAGTGCTTGCTTCTCAAAGACTCAAGCAGCTTAGAGAGTAATCCAATGATGGGGCTATCTCTTACCGGTTGGTTGCCACCCATCTTTTTTTTTCTGCTGGGAAATCACAGCTGCTCCTTGTAACTTTATAAAAAGGTGGTGGGTGTAACTGAAAGGTTCCTGATGGAAGCCTTTGGCAAAATGCACTTCCCTCTTTGTCAAATTCTCTCTTCTCAGCAGTGATCTAAAACCAAAGGTTAACAAAACAACGAAGGGAAAGCTGTTGTAGGTAGGTTCATGGAATCATGGGTTTCTAATTTTCTGCTTTCATAGTTAAGATCTGAAATTAGTATCGTTTAGCTTATTAAATGTACACGCCAAAAGTGTGCACTCAGAATCCCCTCCATGGGTGCACCTACACTGTAGAATTAATACAATTTGACAACACTAACTGCCATGGTTAGATTCTATGGAATCCTGGCAGTTGTACTTTGGTGAGGCACCAGCACTTTCAGTGCCAAAAAAGACTACAAACCTTGAAAAACTACACCTCCCAGCATTCCATAGCTACTCATGGCAGCTAAAGTGCTTAGCAACATGGTGCACATGTGTGGGGTGAGGAAGAGCATGTAAGGCTGGAGGGAGGCTCGTGCCAGTGACTCCCTTCAAGGCAGGGGGGTTCTGTGTGGGAAGTTTGTGGGTTTCAGAATGCTCTTTGTAAGTGAATTATAAATCCCAGCAACTACAATTTCCAAATGTCAAGTCTATTTTTCCCAAACTCCACCAGTGTTCACATTTGGGAATACTGAGTATTCGTGCCAAGTTTGGTTCAGATCTATCATTGTTTGAGTCCACAGTGCTCTCTGGATGGAGGTGAACTACAATTCCAAAACTCCAGGTCAATGCCCACCAAACCCTTCCAGTGTTTTCTGTTGGTCATGGGAGTTCTGTGTGCCAGATCTGGTTCAATTACATCGTTGGTGGAGTTCAGAATGCACTTTGATTGTAGGTGAACTATAAATTCTAGCAACTACAACTCCCAAATGTCAAATCCATTTTTCCCAAACCACCAGTGTTCACATTGGGCATATTAAGTATTTGTGCAAAATTGGGTTCAGATCTATCATTGTTTGCATCCACAGTGCTCTCTGGATGGAGGTGAACAACAACTCCAAAACTCAAGGTCAATGCCCATCAAAAGGGTCTGATGGTCATGGGAGTTCTGTGTGCCAAGTTTGGTTCAATTCCATTGTTGGTGGAGTTCAGAATGTTCTTTGATTGTAGGTGAACTATAAATCCCAGCAATTACAAAATCAATCCCAGCCCCACCAGTATTCAAATCTGGGCGTATCGGCCATTTGTGCCAAATTTGGTCCAGTGAATGAAAATACATCCTGCATAATAATATTACATTATAATGGTATAGTACAATATAGTAATATATAATACTAATATTGGGCTATGGTAATAATATAATATTTTGTATTTACATATTGTAAGACGCTCTAAGTGCCATTCAGGGTGAAAAGGGCAGCTTACGAATGTCGTAAATAAATAAATATCGGATATTTACATGATGATTCGTAACAGTAGCAAAATTACAGTTATGAAGTAGCAACGAGAATAATTGTATGGTTGGGGGTCACTACAACATGAGGAAGTGTATTAAGGGAGTGGCGGCATTAGGAAGGTTGAGAAACCCTGATCTAGCCAATGCTGGCAACTTCCAGCCAGCCTGGAAAGCAGCAAGAGCTTTTAAAGGGACGGATCCCCTTTCTCTCCTGGGATCAGGAGGAGGAGGAAAGAAGATGTGGTGGAGGAGGGCGGGCTGCATCTCTCTGTCTCTGGGATGACCTTGTTGGGAGGCAAGGCTTAAGCTGGGGTTGGGCGCCAGCTGGGGCACCAAAATAGGAGGCGCCCAGCCCCATCTGCTCCGCCTGTTTGCAGCTGCTCGTCTCTTCCAAAGATGGTCCGAGGGGGGTCCCAAGGCGGCTCCCTCCCCTCCCCTCCCCTCCCCTCCCCTCCTGGGCAGCAGCCCTCCCCTGGAAGCCTCCCACTCGTGCTGTTTCCCTCCCTCAGCTGTGGCTCGGGAGAAGAGAAGAGGCTCGAAGCAGCGCCCGACAAGTAGTAACGGGAGCGCAATTGCGACTTCCCAGCTTGGCCCAAGTTTGCCTCCACGGGGTTGCCTCCAAGTCATGGAGTCGGGCAACACTTTGACAAGCCATGCTGTGGGGAGCACGGGAGTTGTAATTTTAGTTTCTGGTCTTCAGAAGGAAGGCAAGGCTGGTGCTGGGACACCCAAAGAGGGGAAGGGAGCAGAAGGGAAAGGGAGAAGGGAGCATGCTCGCTTTCCCCACAGCTTTCCTTCCATGTGCCCTGACGTTTCCTTGCCCTTGATGGCTCCTCAAGCCAAGGGACCCTAGTGTTGTCTAGGCTTTGAGAAGCCAAGGGACCCCCGTGTGGGTCTTGCTGAGGGGGAGGCAGACGAGGAGGCGTTCCCTCCCTGCTCCACGCCCCATTTGGCTCCTTCGGGGCGGCGGAGGGGGGCTTGCAGGCGACTCTTGGCAATCTCAGGGTCCTGCTCGCCTTTGTTTTCTTCCTTCCTTCCCAACTGGACCTCTCCTCCTCCTCCTCCTCGGCCTCGGCCAAGCCAAGTCTGTCCCCTTGGAAGAGCAGGTGGGTTTTCAGCGAATGGGGGAGGCAGAGGCCAAGGAGGGAGGCTGTCATGAATGGCACCTGCTTCCGAGGAGGGTCCTTGAAGCCAGGCATTGTCTCTCTGCCGCGCTTTTGTTTACAAGTTGGAAGGCGAGAGGGAAAGAGGACACAGAGGGAACCTAGGCACCCGCAGTGCTCCTCGGAGCTGCCCTTAGTAGTCGAAAGCACTGCTTTTGAAACTGTGCGTCCCGAACCCAGGTGGGATCTCCTTATCTCAATGTTAGGTGGCGCAATGGGTTAAACCAGTTTCCTAACCTTCCCAATGCGCAACTCCTTCATCCAGTTCCTCACCTTGTGGTGACCCCCAACCATAACATTATTTTCGTTGGTACTTCACGACTGTAATGTTGCTACTGTTAGGAATCATCATGTAAATAAATATCTGATATGTAGGATGTATTTTTATTTACTTGGCACAAATACCCAATACACCCACATTTGAATACTGGTGGGGTTGGAGGTGTGGGGACTGATTTTGTCATTTGGGAGTTGTAGTTACTGGGATTGATAGTTCACCTACAATCAAAGAGCATTCTGAACTCCACCAACGATGGAATTGGACCAAACTAGGCACACAGAACTCCCAGGACCAACAGAAAATACTGGAAGGGTTTGGTGGGCACTGACCTGGACTTTTGGAGTTGTTGTTCACCTACATCCAGAGAACATTCTGGACTCAAGGATGGATCTGGACCAAACTTGGCACGAATGCTCAATATGCCCAAATGTATACACTGGTGGAGTTTGGGGAAAACACACCTTGATATTTGGGAGTTGTGGTTACTAGGATTTATAGTTCACCTACAATCAAAGAGCATTCTGAACCCCACCAAGGATAGAATTGGGTCAAATTTCCCACACAGAAAATAAAACATTAATACAGTTAAATAGATCATGGTTTTCCATACCTTGGCAAAGTCACTAACCAGAATGCAAACTGCCCTCAAGAAACCAGAAGATCAGGAAGGCATGTACACTGTAGAATTAATACTGTTTGACATCACTTTAATAATAATAATAATAATAATAATAATAATAGACTTTATACCCGCCACCATCTCCCCAATGGGGACTCAGAGCAGCTTACACGAGGCCAAGCCCAAACAACAAAATACAATAGAGCAAAACCGTAAACGCAAACCATTATATGATACCACTGATTATTAAATGTTGGCCCCAACCCCAACCCCAAATTGGGTCCCCTCCTCAGCTCATTATTGGGGCCCCAAAAATATGGCAACAGTAAAGGTTTTCTGAGCATCACCTAGTGTTTGTTTTAGACATGTACACAACTCAGTTGTGCAGTGTTGGCAGTGCACTCTGTAAAATATGTTTCAATTGTACTTCATAAAAAGGGAAATCATAACTCGTATAGCCAGGAAGTTCTTCCTAATGTTCAGGTGGAAATTCCTTTCCTGAAATTTGAACCCATTCCTCCGAGTCCTAGTTTCCAGAGCAGCAAAAAACAAGCCTGTTCCCTCTTCCTTTCACATATTTATACAAGGCAATCATGTCTCCTCTCAACCTTCTCTTCTGCAGATACAAAGGAGGAGATGCTTAGCACATGTAAGTCTGTCCCTAGCATCTTGTTGCTCTTTTCTCCCTTGAAGTTACCACTTTATTCCTTTTTAATGAAAGTCTGTCCCTCCCAAGTGAACATGCCTAGTCATTTACTTTACAGATTATCTCTCATCACCATTTCTGATATTTCTTTGCAGTGATGGCGCTAAACGAACAGGAGGAATACACCTATTTATATAAAGATCTTTCCCATCCTGTTGATTTTTTGGATGCATTCAGAATATTCTACTTGGAAGGATTATTCACTGATGTCACTCTTCAGTGTGCAACTGGTGTGGTTTTCCATTGCCATAAAGCTGTGCTAGCTGCTTGCAGCAACTATTTCAAGGCCATGTTCACCTCTGACATGAAAGAAAAATCGAAGAATCAGATCACAATTTCTGGGCTCAGTCCCCCAGTACTGGAATCTCTGGTGATTTATGCATATACATCAGAGATCAATATAACAAAGAGAAATGTCCAAAGTCTCCTTCAAGCTGCAGATCGCCTTCAGTTTATCTCAATTAAGAAAGCCTGTGAAAAGTTTCTGATAAGGCACTTGGAAATTGACAACTGTTTAGGGATGCATTCCTTTGCAGAATACCATGTCTGTTCAGAGCTAGAGAAGGAATCTAGAAGGATATTGTTATCTAGGTTTGAAGAAGTGTGGCAGCAGGAAGAATTTCTGGAAATCAGTAGTGAGAAATTCCAGTTTATTCTCTCCAGAAAGAATATCAGCTTTTGGAAAGAAGAAATCACATTCGAGCCCATTATTAAATGGATTGCCCATGATCTGGAGCAAAGAACAGAGTGTATTTATGATTTATTAAACTGTCTTGGAGCAGATTTTGATGAAATGTATTTGAGATCAGCCTTAAGTATGTACAAGAAATGCCGATTAACCAAAAATAAAATCAGGTCTCTGATACACCATGCACTAAACCCAAACCCCAAAACAAGTTCTACAAGGTCTACAGCTGTCATGTATGTAATTGGTGGGTATTACTGGCACCCTTTATCTGAGGTGCATGCATGGGATCCGCTAACCAATGCATGGATCCAGGGAGCAGACATGCCAGAGCATGCAAGGGAGAGCTACGCTGTCACTAGTCTAGGACCCAACATTTATGTGACAGGTGGATACAGAACAGACAACATTGAAGCACTTGATGCAATGTGGATTTACAACTGTGAAGCTGATGAATGGACTGAAGGCTGTCCCATGCTGAATGCACGGTACTACCATTGTGCAGTGACCCTGGGTGGCTGCATCTATGCTTTGGGAGGTTACAGAAAAGGCGCTCCAACTGAAGAAGCTGAATTCTATGACCCTTTGAAAAAGAAATGGGTCCCTATTGCAAATATGATTAAAGGTATGTCACATTATACACACTTATTCTGTGATATTTGTTTGCAATTGCTGGTTCAAATGTCAAGAAATAATCTGATAATATAGTATCTTCCTTCTCCTATTGTGTATGTTTTATGTTTCTTCAGACTTTGAAGAAAAATCTAATCAAAACCATTGCAGTCTTTCGTTAATTAAAATAAGTGCATAAGAATTTTTTTTGTGTCAGTAGAGACTTGAGAAACTGCAAGTAGCTTCTGGTGTGAGAGAATTGGCCATCCTCAAGGACATTGCCCAGGGGATGCCTGGATTTTTTTTGTTGCACTCCAGGCCAGGAAGAAGCCCTCTGACTTAAAAACATCACACAACTAAGTTAAAATGCAAGCAGTTTATTGAAGGTAATTTAAAAAGCATTAGCAGTAAAAACACTCCAAAGAAGTAGGTAAATCCAAGTAGGTAGAAAGATAAGAAGAACAAATAATCCAGAAAATAAATAAATCAGAGCACATGAAAAACTAACCCAGAAACTTCCAGGGTAAAACTCCAAACATGAATCATGAAATCAAACAAGGTATAACATGAATATATCCAAGGCAAGACCGCAAGGTTCACTACAAGGTCTTGATTCAGTTCCAACGTTGCTTCGTCTGACCAGATTCTGTACTTGGCACTTTTATCCCCTCAACGACTATAAATCTCCGCCAGAAACTGGTTTCTTCTCAGCATTGACTCTGTTATCAATTTCTCCCTAATAATCATACATGATGTAATTGTAATAATATTATAAACATTTGTAATAACATTATAAAAATGTTGATATGATGAATATTGTTTATCCTTTCTGAAAGCCTTTCATTAATATAGTATTACTGATTAGGGGTTGGAAACGCCACCGCTTGTGTCTTGAGTGAAGTAATCTATGTCACCGGAGGCCACTATGGTTATCGAGGAAGCTGCACATATGACAAAGTTCAGAGCTATCAATCTGACAGTAATCAATGGAGTATCATCACCACCAGTCCATATCCAGGTAAGCTTTACATCTACTCAGCAGTATGAGTAATGACATAACAATTAGTTTTTTTTATTCCCATCAAAATTTTCACAAACTTTGCTCCCATGTTGTCTTATCATTCTACAGTCCATACCCTTGTTAGCAGTCTTATTTGGGGTGCACTGGAGATTGCCATGGTCTGGTCAACAACCTCCTCAATGTTTCTGTTGCTTGTCTATTCACCTGAATTCACTTAGCATATAAAAGAGGAAAGGGTAGAGCAAAGTCCTCCATTTGACTTATTCTCTCTCTCTGAACATTAGGAGAGGCGTATTTGCATCAAAGAAGTTGGAGAGGATGATTGGTGCTGTCACTGTCTTATACAAATAACACAAATTTGAATTCAATTTGAAAGGATATTTGCTGTACTCTTGGCCATTTGCTGGGGTTTGGATTCATAGATTTTTTCAAGGATTCTTTGTGGCGATCAAGTGCTCTTATAATTTCTGGCCACTGCAGTGGGAGATAGTGGCCTCAGACTCATCAACATGAAAAAATATAGGGCACGAACTATTCCTTTTGTTGCAGTGAGGGCTGGCCCAAGACATTTTATTGCTTGAATTCCTGGGAAAGATGACACTCTTCTATTCCATATAGAAAATGCAACCTGACTGCCAACCACGTTGTACTTCAGTACTGTCCTCCATTGCAGGGGAGTCACCAGGGAATATGGTGAAGTGAAATTTGCTCCTCAGTGATCTCTGAGGAGAGAGCTGCCAGCTATATGTTTACTGACCCTAATTGCCATTTTCTTGCTCTGGAGGAGCAGATCAGAAAAGAAACTTCACAAAGCTAATTTTCTTGCTTCTAATTAAACAGCTGTTATTAACAGTTGTTGGCACTGGTGGCAAGCTGCCCAAAAGACATTCCACACATATCTGATCACTGTCATTCAGCACAAACTTTGTCAATTGCTTTTTAATAAAGAAGATATTAATGAAGCTTCATCACAGGTCATCACTCATGACCAAGTATGATTTTCTTCCAAGGATAAGAGTCTTGGCAGTGGGTCCATAAGTAACTGTAGAGACCTATTCTGGATCTGCATGGTCTTTTGCAGTGAGGACATACATTTCTAGATGGAAGGCAGTCCCGACAAGGGTTGGCTTGATGCGCCTTCGTCTTGGCATGTTTCTCCTTGTTGCCCTCTATTTGTGCCTTTTCAAAATCCACAGCACCGTTGGCAACAGCTGGCATGCAGTTAGAAAGCTCGAGGGCCAGGGCTTCCCATTTCTCAGTGTTTGTTCCACATTTTTAAAGGTTTGCTTTAAGTCCATCTTGAAATCTCTTTTGTTGTCCATTCCGTTTTCTGTTTTGGAGCAGAAAGTAAAATAACTACTTTGGGAGACGGTGATCAGACATTCAGACAACACGGCCAGTCTAGCAAAGTTGATGGCAGAGAATAATGGCTTCAATGCTGATGGTCTTTGCTTCTTCCAGAACACTTTATTTTTGACATTGCAAAGAGACTGGTTGGTACCTGCTGGTAACTTTGGTTTTCTTGATGTTGTTTAAAATGGCATGTAAATCTTCCTCTGAATGATCACAGTCTGCATTATCATCAGCATATTGGAGTTTTTTTAGAAGAAGTTGTTGTGACCTTAACTTTTTTAAAATTAGAAAAGTGGTATAAAAAGTTGAAGGGTAGGAATAGTGATTTTTAAAAAATAAAGTGATAATTTTAAATTGTTAATTTTAATCTTAATTTCTTCAGTTGATTTTAACTTGTATTTTTAACTCTGTATAGTTTGTTATATGTCTTTTAATAGTATTTTATCTTTTGTTTTAATGATGTTGTATCCCACCTTGAGCCACAGAGAGAGGTGGGAAATAAATGTATTATTATTATTATTATTATTATTATTATTATTTAAAAGGAGTAGCAATTTGGTAGTTAAAATCAGCAGGCAAAGAGTGGAAGGCTCATAGAATAGTTCTAGTAGTAGAATTTGTTGAGTGATTTCAGCTCCACTAAAATCATGAGGGGCTCAGTATGTCTAGCTTCCCCGAAGGCCGAATGAGACACAGTTGGGGTATAAGGCAAAAGCAGAGGTTTATTCTCACTGGCCAGAGAGGATATCAGCAGAGAAGTGATCTTATAACCTGCTGTGCTTAGTAATCCTAAATTTTATGCAGAATCCCCTGAAATCAAATGGAGAAACCTTGTTTCAGTGCTCTTACATTATGACCCCTAATTATGTTGTCTTCTTCCATATCTACCAAATGCCTGGTCTGTTTTGCTTTTAACAACCCTATTCAAATAGTTGCTGAGCCTTTATTTATCCTTCATATAGAATATGGATTGTGTTCAACTGCATTGGAAAGCAAGCTGTACCTTGTGGGTGGACAGACCACAATCACAGATTGCTATGACCCAGAGCAAAATGAGTGGAAACAGAAGGCTGATATGATCGAAAGGAGAATGGAGTGTGGTGCTGTTGTCATTAATGGATGCATCTACGTCACAGGAGGCTATTCTTCTTCCAAGGGGTCCTATTTACAGAATATTGAGAAATACGATCCAGAATGTAATAAATGGGAAATTGTGGGCAATCTCCCTATGGCTATGCGTTCACATGGTTGCGTCTGTGTGTACAATGTGTAACCAGACAAAATGACACATTTTTGTCAAGAAGAAAATGTCCAAGAGCCTAAAATTAAAGAAAGGTGACATGACACTTGTATGGGACTTGGTCTATGGAAGAAACATGTCTTCCAATCATGATGTAACACTGCTCAAATTGTCTTTTATTGACTTGGAAACTTGAGACCTACCTAAAAGTCTATTAATATATAGATTACTACTTTGGGGAGTTATTATTTCTGGTTTCTCACTTTTTAAGTGCCTGTATGTTCTGATTGTTGCTAGATACTGGCCAAAACAACTACTGGGTTCTGATTTAGTAAAGGAAAATCAGCCATTGCACTTTGGTGCTACTCTGGATATTTTCTCACCAAATATGATGTAAACTCTTCCATTCTCTCACAAGAGTGTTAATAAATCCAGACTTTTTCTGTTATAGTATTCAACATACTTTTCCCTCTTTATTGCTGGCTTTTTGTTGTCAGCAATAAAAAAAGAGTATTTTATTTCATATCCTGAGAAAGCTCCCGAGATGTTGAAAAGCTCACTTCTTGGTGAGCGTTGCATTGGTTGTTAACAAACCCACTGTGGTATTGTTTCTATCAAAACAGTATTATTTCTTTAAAGTTTTGTCTAATAGAGACAATATGCCTGTACCAGTTTTCCCCAGCCATAAATGTTGTGCTATATTTTGTGATACTACTGTATACAAACAGCAATATGTGATGGCTGTACAGCACATAATTCGTTTGTGCATATTGTGAAGCTGCTTAGCTCATGAACAGTAAACTTGAATGATGTGAATGATGTGTTCCTTTTTGGAAAAAATGTTAACCATAAAAGTATTATTTAATATTTGCACATTATTTTGTAGTTAATGTTTGTTTTTGAACTGCCATCAAGGAAAATGATTTTAATTTAACTATTTTACTGTGCTTATGTTATATTGTAACATTTTCTGTTAATTGTACTGCTGAAACCATTACATATATTCTAAATCTATGTTAATTGGGGATATAGAACAAGTATAATGGGTCTCTTTTTGTTTCCACTAAAACAGACTTTCAAGTTCCATACTGATTTTGCACATAAAAATGTATTCTAAGTATCAGATTATAGGTTATTTTAACTGATGTATGTTGTAAAGCTCATGGTTTCAAAACGGTAACAAATTTACAATTGCAAAAAAGGACTAAACCACTCATGGTGTTAGGTAATGTTTCTTGGGAGATATCTTGACTACCCTGAACACATCACATAAAGTAGAATTTGTGAAGGGAAGGAATACTGTAGAAATTGCCTTTAAAATCTATATCTCACTCCCTAAATAGCTAGACTCAATGGCAAAGGACCTGATAAATTGGATTTGGATGATCCTGCTCTTCTTTGTCTAGACTAGAAATTAGCAACACTGAAACCTGTAGGTTGTAGGCTTAAATACTATGAATAATTCTGGGTTGTGTGGCATCATTGTATTATTCGCTATAGCTTTTTTAGTGGATATAAGAATTAATGCTTCTGACATCAGGGCAACAATCTGGATGAATAAAATTCCTCACATGGGTAAGAATTATAGCTGCCTTTAAAGTTAGAGGTACCGGCACAATAATATAACCTGAGTATGCCACAAGATTAAAGCCCCTGGGGTCATAATATCCAAATGGGAACAGATGTGGAAAACAAAGATTAAATTCACAAAATGTTATGGACTAAGAGAAAATTTCTACATGATAATACATGGTGCCAGAAAGATTAGCAAAGATAGAACCAAAATTTTTTAAAAGTTTGTTGGAAATGTCATCAAAAAGAAGGAACTTTTTATCAATGTGGTAGACATGTCCTACAGCAAAATTTTAATAAAAAATTATAATTCAGAAGAACATTGAAAACATTTTTTAAATTAAAGTCCCACTAGACCCAGACTTATAAATTCAACATTCTGAATTCTGATGCTCTTTTACACATGGTAACTACAGCAAGGATTGTTTATACTTTTGGAAGCAAGAAGAGCAGTATCTGCTAGAGCAGTATCATAATGGCTGGTGCAAGCAAAGACACCAGAGTTAGTGTTAGAAATGCACCTTGGTTCTCTTTATTTATTTACTTGTTTATTTATTAAAGTGGAAATGAATGTACAGCTTTTGGGTTCTCAGAACAATTATTGCACTTACTACTGTTTTCAAAAACAATAAATGTTATGTATTTGAAAATACTTTGGTTAGTTATGATTTAGTAATTGTAGTGAATACATTACTATAGCATAGTCCAATGAGCAAGAGGGTTTTACTGGTGAAATCAGAGTTTGGGAATTTTTTTTGGACGATAACCCGCAGAATCCCCCATTGGGATCCTGAGAGATGCTGTCCAGAAAGTTCCTTGGGGGTGGCGTGTGGGGGGTACTTTTGAAAGAAAATGATTGGTTGGCAGCAAAACTGCTCTTGTAACATCTGTAGGTTTATATTTGACAATATGTTTGGGTAATTCTTCTTCCTTTTTAATCAGAAATACTTGGTGAAAATAAGTAACTTTATGACATGTCCAAGCAAACTGTTTACTCATTTAACAGTTCAAGGAAATCTGTTCCTAATGTAAAGAAATCTATCTTGTTAATGTTGCCACATATAACAATAATAATAATGATACATTCTATCGTTACCCGCCTCTTCTAAGGGCCAAGGCAGGATACAACGAAGTCAAAACCTATGAACATAAAATACACACATAAAAACACATAATGATACAAACACAGGGTGCTAACTCAATGTATAGTCGTAATAGAATGAAAATTCAAAACAAATTATTCAGAGTTGACTTATTTAGCTGTCAAATCTCTTCCAGCAGGTCATTCTACAGAATACATAATAGTTAGGTAGTCCAAAGTAAAGCACATAACTCTGGAATGAGGATCTCCCCATTCTTCCTTTGAGAGATGTTGTGATTCCACTTTCCAACTAAGGGAGCATCTACAGTGAAGAATGAAAGTGATGACACTTTAGTTGCAAAGCTCGATGCTATGGAATCCTGGGAATTGTAGTTTGATGGGAAACCATCACTCTTTAGCAGAGAAGACTAAAAAGAAACTCCCATAGTTCCATAACATTGAGCCTCGGCAGTTAAACTGCATTGATCCTTTATTCTGAGTCCCTTTGGGGTGATAGGGTGGTATATAAATAATAATAATAATAATAATAATAATAATAATAATTGTTATATAACCCAGGGTAGTTTCAAGCCCAATTTGGCACTTGAGTAGCACTAGGTGGCATGACTCACCTTCCCTCAGCCCTTGGCTATCCCATCATGTCTAACTGCTAAAAGTTAGAAACTGACGTGAGAAGTAACCTTTCCCAAATGGATGGGTGTATCATCTCAGACCCGTTTTGCCCATGTTCAATGATCTAGTGGTATTATTATTATTATTATTATTATTATTATTATTATTATTATGTACAGCTTTTGTGATCCCACTGAAAAATCCTAAACACTTGAAAAAATATTTTTTAAAAAATTAACAATAAAAACAGCCACACTAAACAAATACTGTACAGATTTCTACAGAATTAAATATTATATAGAGAACCGTAAAATAAAAAGCAACTGAGGAAGACCTTGCTCTCTGGTCTTTTACAAATGAGGAAGAAGGAAAGGGAGAGGAGGTGAGTGAGAAACCAGGATGTTTACAAACAAGAAAGTGAGATGGCAGTGGATGAACTGAATCTCTCACTTTCAAAGCTGAAGGGTATGTTATTGTGTGCCTATAAACAATTTCAGAGGCCCCTTCCATACAGCTGAATAAAACCCAACATTTTCTGCTTTGAACTGGGATATATGGCTGTGTGGACTCAGATAACCCAGGGCCGTTCCAGACAGGCCCTATATTCCAGGATCTGAACCTGGATTCAAAGCATCCCCGACAGAAGGCCATTCAGCCTATGTTTAAAAGCCTCCAAAGAAGAAGCCTCCACCACACTCCGGGGCAGAGGGTTCCACTGCTGAACAGCTCTCACCATTAGGAAGTTATTCCTCAGTCAATCTGTTTATCCCAGATTATCTGGCAGCGCAGACTCATATAATCCAGTTTAAAGCAGAAAACCTGGGATCGGATCCTGGGATATAGGGCCTGTCTGGAAGGGCCTCCAGTTCAAAGCAGATATTATGGGATTTCCTGGGTTATATGGCTATGTGGAAGGGCCCTTGACTTGGCATTTCCACGGTGTGCTCAGAGGGCATTTACCTTTGCCTTTCTCTGAGGGCCCTTCCACACAGCCATATAACCCAGAATATCGAGGCAGAAAATCCCACAAGATCTGCTTTGAACTGGGTTATCTGAGTTCACACTGCCATTTATCCCTGGCCCCTTCCAGACAGCTAAATAAAAGCCCACATTATCTGCTTTGAACTGGAATATATGGCAGTGTGGGCTCAGATAACCCAGTTCAAAGCAGATATTGTGGGATTTTCTGCCTTGATATTCTGGGTTATATGGGCTGTGTGGAAGGGCCCCCAGTTCAAAGCAGATGTTGTGGGATTTTTATGCAGCTGTGTGGAAGGGGCCTGAAAGTGTGTGACACAGCCCTATACCCCAGAACATCAAGGCAGAAAATCCCACATCCTGCAAATCTCTTGGGAAGACAGGTGGACAAACGTCAGCATGCTGGAAGAAGCAAAGACCACCAGCATTGAAGCGATGCTCCTCCGCCATCAATTCCGCTGGACCAGCCACGTTGTCCGGATGCTTGACCACCGTCTCCCAAAGCAGTTGCTCTACTCCAGTTGCTCTAACTCAAGAATGGAAAACGGAATGTTGATGGGCAGAAAAAGATGGTCTCAAAGCCAACCTTTAACAAGGTATAGGGTTACAGCCTGTGCTGGACGGGGTTACACTCCCCCTGAAGATGCAGGTTTGCAGCTTGGGAGTGATCCTGGGCTCAACGCTGAGCCTGGAACCCCAGGTCTCAGCGGTGGCCGGGAGAGCTTTTGCACAATTAAAACTTGTGCGCCAGTTGTGCCCGTGCCTTGGGAAGTCGGATCTGGCCACAGTGGTCCACGCTCTTGTTACATCCCGAATAGATTACTGCAACACACTCTATGTGGGGTTGCCTTTGAAGACTGTTCAGAAACTTCAACTAGTCCAGCGGGCGGCACCCAGATTACTCACCGGAGCGTCATACAGGGAGCATATCACCCCTCTGTTATATCAGCTCCCCTCGCTGCCGATCCAGTTCCGAGCACAATTCAAAGTGCTGGTTTTGACCTACAAAACCCTATACAGCTCCGGCCCAGTGTGTCCAAACACATCTCCCTCTACGTCCCGCCTCAGAGTTTAAGATCTTCTGGGGAGGCCCTGCTCTCGGCCCCACCTCTATCACAAGTGAGGTTGGTGGGGACGAGGAGCAGGGCCTTCTCGGTGGTGGCCCCTCACCTGTGGAATTCACTCCCCGGGAATTAGGTCATCGACATCCCTCCTCTCCTTTAGAAGGAAACTAAAAACATGGATGTGGGACCAGGCTTTGGGTAATCTGGCAGACAGACAAAGGACAATGACTAGAATTGATAGGATCTGACAATGTGGAATGAATTTACGGACTCTGAGCTGGCGAACGCTGAGCAGGAGACCGGTTTTATTGATAGTGATGTATAATTGATTGTTTTAATTGTTTATAACTGCCAATTAGCTTCCGAGCACAATTCAAAGTGCTGGTGTTAACCTATAAAGCCCTAAATGACTCCGGCCTAGTTTACCTGTCCGAACGTATTCTCCCCTATGAACCATCTAGGTTGTTAAGATCGTCTGGAGGGGCCCTGCTCTCGGTCCCACTGGCCTCTCAGGCGCGTCTGGTGGGGACGAGGGACAGGGCCTTCTCGGTGGTGGCCCCTCGACTCTGGAACTCTCTCCCTCTGGAGATCAGAACTGCCCCCTCCATTCTGTCGTTCAGAAAACGGGTGAAAACCTGGCTAAGGGGTTTGGCTTTCGACGAGTGAATCAGTATTTCTGTGATCGGATAGATGACGATGAATGATGGACAACGAATTCACTATGACGACTGACCATTGTTATTATGTGATTGCATTTTGCTGTTATAACGTTTTAATTGAATATGTTATATGACGTTTTTAATGATTGTTTTGTGATTTTATTGTTGGAAACCGGCCCGAGTTGCTAAATAAATAAATAATAAATAAATAACTGTTGTCTATATATGTTATTTTGTTGTTGTGTTGGCATCGAACTGTGCCTTTTGTAAGCCGCCCTGAGTCCCCCCCCTCGGGGGTTGAGAAGGATGGGGTAGAAGTACGCGAAATAATAATAATAATAATAACCTTAACAACTCTGGCATAGACACTGAGGACTGGGAAGCCCTGGCCCTTGAGCGCTCCAGTTGGAGGTCAGCTGTGACCAGCAGTGCTGCAGAATTTGAAGAGGCACGAAAGGAGGGCGAAAGAGAGAAATGCGCCTAGAGGAAGGGGCATCAAGCCAATCCCGGCTGGGACCGCCTTCCACCTGGAAACCAATGCGGGAGAAGATGCAGGTCAAGAATAGGGCTCCACAGTCACCTACAGACTCACCAGAACACTGATCCTGGAATACTATCCTCCTCGGACAACGAGGGATGGCCTAAGTAAGTACGTGGTGCACTCATTCATTCCTCCTCCGGCAGAGACAGGAAGGGGGTGGGGCGTGCCGCAGTGGCTGCTGGGTGACCGAGGGGCCGTCCTGAGAGTGGAAGCGGCCTAGAGGCCTCAGAGGCGCCGGAAGAGAGCAGAAACAACGGCGGCGCGTGGCGTTTCCTTCCCTCTCCTTCAGAGAAGGTGGGTGCGTTGCCTGGCAACCCGGGCCCGTATTGGAGGGAGGGGGGAAAGGGCGGGCAGGTCTCTCGCCTTCCGTTGGGGCCTGTGGGGTCCTTTCCGCGTAGGAACAAGGGGCGGCGGGGCCTAGAGGGGCAGCGAGAGCCTATCCACGCAGGAATCCCGGCGGCGGGAAAGTGGGGAAGGCTGAACGCCCTGGGCTTCCTTCTTGACTGTCTCCCCTCCATATTAATCGAACAGGTCTCTAGTGTGGCTCCGAGGCAGGGCTTCTCAAGGGCAGGGATTGGTTTGCACGCGCTGAGCACGTGGAAGGAAGCCTCTCTCTCTCACTCTCTCTCTCTCTCTCTCTCACACACACACACACACACAAGAGTGCGAACATCATGGCAGCCTTTCCATTATTTTATCAAAAACCAGGGGAAGGAGGTATTCCATCCCTGCCTAAGCAAACCCTGTGAGGTCACCATAAATAAGTCCACCTGAAGGCAGGCTCTCAGAGCTGTATGACTCAGTTGGATGGCTAGTGCTTCCTTGAAATGAAATGTTATTTATAGGCCGCCATATCTCCCCAAAGGGACTCACAACAAAATACACAATGGCAAACATTCAATGCCACTATATAAGATAAACAATAATCAAGCTCAACACACAATTATATAAACGTGCTTCTTATGAGTAGCTTGTAGATGAACCGTCCACGACCAGGTTCGGCCTACTTCAGGCCACCTTCTGGTGGACTGAAATTAATACACGAATCAATATTTTGCTACAGTTGTATACATATAGAACATCTTATACTGAAATGTACTCAAAGAAATTAGTTAAGTCTTCACCCTTGTTATTACAACAATATTTGTTGAACATATCCATTAAATACCATAGTTGCAACATGGTTCATCTACAAACTACTCATAAGAAGATACGACTGTACCAAATTTTTTTGCATGATATTGTTTATTGTCGCTGTGAAGTTAAACAGTGTAGCATGTTTATATAACTGTGTGTTGAGCTTGATTATTGTTTATCTTATATAGTGGTATTTTTGTTGTATGCACCTCATTCAGGAACCCATTTATATTGTATTAGACATTCAATGCCAACAGTAATCTATTAATATATCTATTAATATTTACTTACAATATTTCTGTCCTGCCTTTCTCGAACCCAAAGGTGACTCAAAGCGGCTTTACAACATAGGCAGCTATTTGATGTCATTAAAGCAATGTAAAAATTACAATAAACATTTAAAACAGAATGATAAAATGCATACATTAAAAACATATAAAACCACTACCTTCACTATTAGCCTCGTTGTCCAAAAACATCATCTACGCCAGTGGTTCTCAACCTGGGGTCCCCAGATGTTTTTGGCCTACAACTCCCAAAATCCCAGCCAGTTTACCAGCTGTTAGGATTTCTGGGAGTTGAAGGCCAAAAACATCTGGGGACCCCAGGTTGAGAACCACTGACTACACCATTCTAGTATTCGATTTCACATAGTTCCATGTTTATCTATTACACTAGGTTCCCAAAAGCTTGTTCAAAAAGCCACGTTTTAACTTTTCTGTAGAATTTCAGGGGTGGAGGGGCCAATCTAATATCCCTTGGGAGGGAGTTCCACAGTTGAGGGGCCACCAATGAGAAGGTCCTGTCTCGTCCCCGCCAGTTGTGCCTGCAAAGAAGGCAGGGCTGAGAGCACGTCCTCCCCAGATGATCTTAAACTCCTAGGTAGAGATACATTCAGACAGGTAAGCTGGACCAGAACCGTTTAAAGCTTTATAGGCTAAAGCCAGCACTTTGAATTGTGCTCGGCAGCACAATATATCCTTCTCTGTCACTATCCTTTACCTGAAGTGTTCCATAGATCTGATTTTGGAATACAAGCAGTCCCCAAATGACAGGCATCCGAGTTAGAAACTACTCACAGTCAAGAACGGGGGTGAGACAACAGGAAGGGAGAGAAATCTACACCTTGGAAAGGAAATTAACTCTGAAATTATCATGGGGTAAAGGGGTCTCCTCTGAAGCTTGTATCCCCAATCCTTGTTTCCACAACAAGCCAAATTTTCCAACATCTAATTATCACAGGGACAGAAAGTGAAGTGATAGGGGTGTTAACCCTATACTCTCCAACATATATATGTGCACTTTTATTTATACATTTTTATTTATATAGATAGATAGATATTAGTTGGATAGCTAGGGTTATCCATATGGCTGGTGTTACACTTAAAATGTGCCTGTTCTGGCTTGCATACAATTCAACTTAATAACAAACCTACAGAATGCTTTGATGAAGGCTTTCATGTCCAGAATCACTGGATTGCTGTGAGTTTTCTGTTCTGTATGTCCATGTTCCAGAGGCATTCTCTCCTGGCATTTCGCCCACATTTATGGCAAGCATCCTCAGAGGTTGTGAGATATATTGGAAACTAGGCAAGTGATGTTTATATATCTGTGGGATGTCCAGGTGGGAGAAAGAACTCTTGTCTGTTTGAGGCAAGTGTTAATGTTGCTGTTGTCCACCATGTTTCGCATTGAATGGCCTTGCAGCTTCAAAGCCTGGCTGGATCCTTTGTTGGGAGGTTTCAGCTGGCCCTGATTGTTTCTTGTCTGAAATTCCTCAGTTTATGTTAGTGTTGCTCTTTATTTACTGTCCTGGTTTTAGAGATTTTTAATACTGGTGGCCAGATTTTGTTCATTTTCATGAGCCTACCTTGTTTGTAACTTGGAGGCTAACTACTTGCATATACATGGTGATATATCCTGGTGATAGGATCCAAGGCTAAAAATGAATTCATTTATGTTTCACATGCACCTTACACACATATTTTAATTACTCTGTGCAGAATTATAACAGCATGGTTCTACTCTTCTAGCCATAGCTGTTTCCTTTGGGATCCTGGGATGTTTAGTTTGGAGGCTCTATAAAGCAATGCTTTTGAGACTGTTTTATGTGGGGGACAAATAACCCCTCCCATGGGCCAGAGACTGGAACATACCCATTGAGTATTTATTTTTTATTTTTTTGCTCTGGAGTTTTTCAGAAACTGGTAGCCAATATCTTAGGATACTGCAGTGGTCAAGGAACCTTTACTTTGAATTACACTGCTCTGGAGCTCTCACTGAGAATTTTAGTACCCCTTCCTTAACTAAAAACCCCAGGTTTCCATAGGATGCTTGCATAGCTGTTAAAGTGGAATCATGGCATTACAACTGTGTTGTGTGAAAGGGTCCCTGGTCTTCAGGTGATAAATGGATGACACATTTCAGATGATTATGTTTGATCATTCCCTTGCATTACATGTGGGCAATCTTCAAACTAGCATGTGAACTAGAGAGGTTCTCGATCAGAAACAGGAAATACATGGTCCTCTCAATTATTCTGAAATGGATCCCTATCATCTTTCACCATGCACCATTTTCTAGGGTGATGGAAATTGCAGCCAAACACCTGCATTCTCTACTTATGTTCTTGAGAAGTGTTTCTCAGGTGAGAAATGAGGGGGAGGTGGCTATCCTTCTTTGGTATTATCAATAGATTTCATTTCTATCAATAATGATCCATAAACAAGTTCTGTTGCTGCTCTTGTGGTTTCACCACCTGTTCACCAAACAAGACCTTTATCTGTTAAGAAAATCTTTTCATCATTGGTTGCACTTCCTTATTTCAGATGGTAGGAGATCTATGTTCTTACCTAGTTGACTTCCTTATAAGTGCATTGAGCCCCAGTTTTGCAGATGGATACCCAAATACTGGCTGACTTCTGAGTTGCCTTTGCTTGGTTTTTGGTTCTGTGCTATTTCCAAAATTAGAACAAGTCAAATTGACACATATTTAGATATACAGTATTTAGTTTGGGGCAAACTTTGCAGATTCTTGGAAAATTTAGTTTCATCTAGAGTGGGCTATAGGTACTGAGCCACCTTCCCCTTTTTCCTCTTTTATGGGGTTGAATGGTTACACACATTGGAATAGTGGATATAATGTTTCTAAACATCTACACTTCTAAAAGACTAGTGTCCCACAATTCAGTGATGGAACCAATGTTTTGAAAGTGGTTATAACCATTTCCATTTCCAGTATTGATAAATTGTACTCTTGATTACAGATCGTGAAAATGGCTGAAAATGGAGACAGTGAAACCATGTCTGATTTAGAAATGAAGGTGTGCCAGCAAATTGAGGTATGAATATTCCTGGAAAGCACAACATTACATAGAATGCGTATGGGAGCCTGTACCTTCATTTTACATATTGGACTGTAAGCCTCAACTAGCATGCCTGTACTCTCTGGAAATTATAGTATTTGTAGTCCAACAAGTCTGTAGAGTGCTAGGTTAGAGAAGAGTGGTCTCATTTGTAAACCTAGTATAGCTATAGTTCTACAGTATTTGTAGTGGATTTCCTACAACATTGCCCCAAACTCTTGAGATCATCAACAAACGCCTTTCTTTTGTTATACAGTTGCCCCTCTGCATTTGCAGATTTGATTATTCATGAATTTGATTAAAACAGTGCCCCTAACACCAATGAATGTAGAGGGCTGACTGTATATGCCTATTTTCAAGCCCCTCTCCTCCTCCAGTGATTTTGCATGATGAATATGTGGGCTTGCAGAAAAGATCTATCTGTGGGTGGAAAGAGCATGCTGGGTACAGACCAATTAAAATCTTGTTGACAGTGTTGGTATTGCCATGTTTGCTGGTAATTTACCAGACCTCAACCTAAACCATATGCCTTAAAATATGTTACTTACAATATTTAAAAATATTTGCAAAAACACTGGTTTTTATTTGTACATGTACTTTAAATGCAGATAAAAGACTAAGAAATGATTTCATTCATTAAAGGGATGGAAAATGGCAAGTAAAGAAATGGGATGTTGTCATTGTGGTTCTATTATTTATATTACTTTGATTTCCATTATAGTACTACTTTGGCGATTACAATTTACCACGAGACAAATTTCTTCAGGAGCAGATCAAACTGGACGATGGCTGGGTGACTTTAGAAACACTAATCAAATTCAACAGGTAAATCTAAAGCCCAAATTGTGCGCTCATGACTTTGTTGGAAGAAAAACAAAATATACATTTAAAAGTGGATTTATTTTTAACTCTCCATAAAAATGTGAATATTTTTTGTTTAGAAAACATGTGTTCCAATTGAATGCAGTAGCAAGCAGTAGATGTATGCTACCCTAGGGGCACAGACCATGTATGCAGTCCCTGTGGTCGTCCTCCTTCAGAAATGACATTTGCTTAAGGAAATAATTGTGGGAACTAAGGCTATCGTTTTTTGCCTTTTTTTATGCCTGTGTGCACACTAAGGTTAGGATATGTCTGGTGAACATTAGTCATTCCTTCAGAACTATGGGTCTCTCTGTTTGTACACTAGAAACCCCTTTTAAAGGACTACAGAACCCTCTGGAAGAGCAGGCCATTGTTGCCACATAGGGTAGAAAGCACGGGAAGCAATGTCTGATTCCACTGTTGTAGGGTACCAAAATACACTGCACAATTTTTCCTAAGTGAGAATACTAAGGTTTATATACTCAGAACTTACCAGATGCAAGAACTTTTCATTGTTTGGAAGTACAGTGTCTCTCCATGGGATAGAAAGTAAAATATCCATGTTTGCCTCTCTTAAATATTTATCTACTGGAATGACTGATGGGTCATATTTACAAGCTTGATCCTCAAGGGCACATTTCTTTGTTCCTAAATTGTTTATTTAAGGGAATGGCTATAAGAGGAGGGCTTTGATTCAATGCATAGATCTTGAAGTCCATAGAAATAGAAGGGAAACTTTTTGTTTTCCTAATAAACTGGCTACCCCTTCCCAAACTTCTGAAGTTAAGGCTCATGAACAAAAATAGGACAGGACAGAAAGACTATAGCGGGAGAGAATAACTGCCACATTTTCAGTAAACGGGTGGCTACAGAAAGGAGGAAACTGGTGTTTATCTTCTCTAAGCTCAGCATTTTAAATAGGGGGTGGGTTCAGTTTCAAGAGTCTAAGCTTCATTGTGTTTATATTTAATTCTGATAATACTTTCAACCAAACACGCTCTCTGTGTTCTCTTTGCTACTTTCCTTTGTAGGTTAAATCGCCTTACAAAAGACTTTGATGTAATAGTGGCGGCATTAAAAAAATCAAAGACTGGGCTTATAGAAGTTAGTGAAGAAAAGACTAAAATTCGAAGGTCTCCAAACAAACCGCAGCCTGAAGTAACAGAGCAATACAGGAATGCAGTTAAAAACAGATCTGTGTATATTGTAAGTGAAAATGAAATTCTATTGCAGCATGTTTCAAACATTGTCTACAGGGACACTTGTTGCACTTGAAAATTAAAATGTTATGATAGTGCCATTTTTCACTTATTGTGTGTTACCAAAGATTATGCATAACATTTACTGCCTTGTGAATGGAAATGCATTTCCCTGTCCTTCCAGAAAATTGTCCAGCTCCTTGTAGGATACAACTGATGATGCTGAACAAGTTGTGATTTAGCAAAGAGCCCAAATACATTTTCAGGAAATTCCAAGATTTTAAAAATACAGTATGAAAATTATTTTTATAATGTTATTTTGCATAATATTAAAATTGAATTTTTAATGACTGGGCCTAAGTACTTGAAACACTTTTCTTGGTACCTGTGAGTATTGGTCTCTTTACCTTACAGTAATAATGTTCAGTGGGCATTTCAGTAGCTGTATACCATCTTAAATTGCCAACAGCCCAAAATAATAAAATGATGATTTTGTTGGTGTGATGGTGGTATTTGTACAATAACTAAGTATACAAATTATCTAAATGCTTTTTTTTTCAGAAAGGCTTTCCAGTAGATACAACTCTAGATGATATCAAAGAATGGATAGATTCAAAAGCCAAAGTAGAAAATATTCAGATGAGAAAGACAATTCAGAAAACATTCAAGGTAACTCTTTTAAACAGACCTTTGCCAGCTCTAATTTATTGGAAAGAACAATTCCACTGAGATAATTAAACACTTTTCTTTATCCAGGGATCCGTATTTGTAGTATTTGATACTGTTGAATCTGCCAAGGCATTTGTCGAGACTCCAAACCAGAAGTTCAAAGACACAGAGCTGTTTATTGCTTCCAAGTGAGTGTGACTTTAGTTAAACATCTGAATTGTTAGTGCTTTGATAAGGACTAAATAAAAAGTACGGTAGGGTGGGTGTTTTTTCATCATTTGGTACATCAAACACCTGTACATTACTAGATAGGTTTCCTTCCATACACTTCATAGGTTTTTGTTCTTCCATGAAGACAATGCATGTGTCCCATTTGGTCCTTGCAATATCTCTACGGCAAGCATCAGTTTGAGAAATGGGGATTGAACTAAAGTAATGTCCATTACATACATGAATGAATGGAGATTTCAGTTACATTCTGACCTCTTGTCCCCATTCCCCTTTATTTTTCCACAAGTTATATTTCAGGTATTATATCGACAAAGTTTGTGAAAAAATCTTACAGGATTTAGTTAATAGGTATCAAATGTAGAAAAGATGCCAGTTTAACTTACTTAGTATTCCAAAGACTGAGAAGTATGTCACAGGAAAAATGGAAGAAAACACTTATCAGTGACCTAGAAGATGGGAGAGAAGGGCATTCCAGAATATTCTTCTAAATAGGCTAAGCTTATGCAGATGGTTCTTATGGACATGTACAAAGAGAATGAATTGGGTACCATCTCTTGCAGAACTTGTTGCTTGCACTTTCTCCACATGGGAACCAGTGTGCAGTTATGAATGTATAGTAGCACTGAGTTCAGCACAGGATATTTCCTGACTGACTATGGCTAATAGGACGAGTGTGAAGTCTTGCTTAACGCTCTCTTTCTTTTGTCTTGGCAACAGCCTTTCACCAGGTGCAGTGTCTTTTTCTTGAACATTTCATGATAGAAACAATCTTTGTAGATGCACTTTTGTATAGTCCACTACATCAAATGCTAGAATCTAGTGTTTTCTGCCCTTTGCTATCAGTCATGATTCAAAACAAATAGGAGCAACAAGTGTTTGCTGTTTGAGAATTTGGGGATTCAGTGCAGAGAAAATGGGTCTAATCATGCTTTAAAGGGAAAGATGGTCAGCTGTAAGAAGAGGTCATAGCCTTCTGTCAACAATAATTGCTAGTGGAGCCATGTTTGAGATTGGTGGTTAGTAGCCTGCTTCATAGTTCAGCTAGGGATGGCTACCATGGTTCTATATTGTTTGGTTTAATTATATTTTATACTTTTTGTAGGGAAGATTACTTTGTAAAGAAGAATGAAAACAGAAGACAGCACAAATTGGAAGCAAAAGCAAAAGCCAAACAGTAAGAAGGAGGCTTAATTTTGAAATTAGTATCTCTATGTATTTACCAAAGTTTGCTTGCCTAACTTCATTATCTTATTGTAACAGGGAGAAGGAAGAGAAACAGAAGCAAGCAGAAGATGCCGAAATGGTACTTACTCCTTGATTTCATTGACACTGTAATCCATTTGGTAGTGTTTCTGTTCATTTGCCTCTGTGTAACCAGAAGAAACAGTGGCAGAATAAAGACTTGGAAAGCAATTATCTGGTCTGGGCTTTGCTGTCCTGGGCTAGATAGAACAAGGAGGCAAATGGAAAAGCTTCAACTCGTTAGTTTCAGCCAAATGATACCAGTGCTATAGACTGTAGATTTAAAGCCATTTTATGCCCGGGCTCCATCTGGAGTGTATGAAGAATCAATACAGTGCTCCTTTTCTCTGCAGGTGGACTTGAGATGCGTTTAGGAATTTAAGACACCTTTCACTGCTCCTTATAGGTGCTTATTATGAACCTGCTGGGACTACATTTGAGCAGGACAGAGAAGGCAAATTTGCCTTCCTGTACTCATTAAGCGATGTACTGTTACAGAGAAGGAAAACACTGACATAGAAACTTGGGTAGCCTAAGAATGAGGGTTAGCAACTGACAATCTTTTCTCTTTTACAAGGAGGTCATATACATGAAAACTCACAGCCAAACACGGAAAAGATGCCTACTTCCATTAGTGTCTTAATAACCCTTTTCCTAGTTAATATGTTAAACTTCTAGGCTAAACTTGCTCTCCAGAATATAGGTGTATTCTGTATCATGGATTGAATATGCTTATATAGAATTTTAATTTTAAAAAAATAAGTACAAACTAATTATTTTAGTTACTTTTGAATTGTGCTTCGCATCAATGATACCGTTTCAGGGACATTTAAAAACGCCACGTCTGGCTCACAGTAGTCCTTTGATTTGGGCTATATGCTTTTAGCCATGAATGTATAGTTTGATTAACAGCCCCTAGTGATACTACTTTAATTAAGATTGAGCAGAACTCGGAAAAGTTACTTTTTGAAGTTTAATCCAGAATCCCAAACCAGCATGGCCATAAAATGAAACTCATGGTCACATGATCATAGCCAGCACTACTTCCTCATAAAAAGAAACATTTATCATTCCCTCCGTTCCAATGTCAAAAATACTGATAGTAAGCCACATCACTGCAGATGTTTTTTGCCCACATTTTCATATCCCATCAACTGAAATTGATGCAATTACTACTCTGGATGAGATAATGTGCCCAAGGCAAGTTAAATAAGGATTATTATTATTATTATTATTATTATTATTATTATTATTATAGCTGAGCAAGATGGGAATTGAAGTCCAACAACATCTGAGAAGTTAAGTTTAGAAACCTCTGCTCTAAGAGATGTACACAAGCTACAGAACACACTGCTCCACATCAAAGCCCGAAGTGGCAACCCTTGTACCATTCACTATTCATCAGCCATCATGTAATGAAGCTATAGTACTCTAACTTTCGAAATGGCTAAACGCATTAAAAAGGTGTGAAATCATAATATAATGCAGTTATATCTGAGTTATCTGGGGAAGTAATGATAAGGAACAATTTGTAATTACTTCCATGCTCTTCTTTCCCACCTGCTTCCATGGCAGATGTGAAGAAAGCCAGCCAAACCTTTGTGGATTTGATTCATAGATTTGATTAATACCATGTCTTGGGTTTAAAAGTTATGGTACTATTCATGTTTTCCCCACTTTAGTAAGGGAGGTGGTTCATGTGCTACTAACCCTAGGTATTCTGGAAGGCTGGCTGTATCGTGATAGGGAAACTTCTTCACGTCAGTCTTAAGGTATGGATGAAAGCAGAGAAAGGATCCTTTTCTGTGCACTCCTTGGTTTCACATCACCTGTGCATATAAAGAAGGCTCCCATCTTTAGACTTCTTCCCAAGAGAGGGGATGGTGTGAAAGACCAAGAGATGCACATGCCCTTGCTCTCTTCTACCACATGAGTGTGACTAATATGCCTATCTGTCCATCAGGGACTGACTTCATGGCAACTTGGCCCCAAGATTGCATCTGTCTCCTTATTGAAGTCCTGGGAAGCATTAAGATTATCTATCCTACTGAAGCTTTGTTAATAATGGGAACATGTTTCTGGTTTATCTAAAATCATCTTTTTCCTCCTTTAAAGAAATCCCTACAGGAAGCACAGGGATACTTGTTGAAATTCTTCGGAGACCTGGAAGATCAGACTTGTCGAGAAGATCTCCATTCAGTTTTTTCTGATCATGGCGAAATCAAATGGATAAGCTTTGTCCGGGGCGCAAAAGAGGTCTGGTTGGATTGCTTCAGTGTTTGGGGTGGAGAAGATATGAAGCAGTTGGAGCAAATGTTTTTGTAAAAAGAGTTTCTAGGGTTCAGAACATTGCTTCCTATTATAGCCATTCTTTTGTGTCAGATTTACAATGATGAAAACCATAATAGAAAATGTGTAATTTCTAAATTTTTCATTGGTTTTGTTCCTCTGAGATACCTTCAAAATGTTGCACGTAAAGCTTGCTGGACTCTGGATAATAGGTAGAATTAGAAATTGAATTGTAGTGAGCGATTACCATATATACTTGAGTATAAGCCGACCCGAATATAAGTCGAGGTAGCTAATTTTACCGCAAAAAATGGGAAAACATATTGACTCGAGTATAAGCCAAGGGTGGAAAATGCAGTAGCTACTGATAAATTTCAAAATAAAAATTGATACCAATAAAATTAAATTAATTGAGGCATTAGTAGGGTAAATTTTTATGAATATTTACATAAAACTCTTTTTAAAGATAAGACTGTCCAACTCTGATTAAACCATTATTCTGTCTTAAATATAAATGGGCTTACATATCCTTCCAATAATAATGAGAGTAAAATAATAAATGTTATAATAATAGAGTAAAATAAGTAATAATAATAATAATAGAGAAAAATAATAAGTGTAATAAAAATAATAGAGTAAAATAATGTAAATATAATAATAGAGTAAATCATAAATGTAATAAAAATAATAACAGAGTAAAATAATAAATAACCTTGACTAGCGAATAAGCCGGGGGGGGGGGGGGGGGGGGTTCAGTCTAAGAAAAGGGCTGAAAAACTCTGCTTATACTCAAGTATATACAATAATTAATAGCTAAGAAATCTTCAGTCATGGATGGGGAATGTTGTTTGACTCATTGTTCTCAACTGGCTATGCTGCCTATAGCATGGCAGTTATGGTCGATATAAGGAGGTCCATAGGTTACAGATGTATGATAAACACACAGGTTTAAAAGTGGACACATATTGATTGAACTGTTTCTTTTGGGGCGATTGTGGTTGTGTGGATCTGCACTTCCCAAAAAAGTTTCAAAGGGCTAGGAGACCCATGGAAGCTGCTATTGATTGGGCTGAGGGTTCCAAGAGAAAAGGGAAGCCTGTTTGGTAGTGCAGCACCAGCACATCACTACATCCAGGCCATGGATTTATCACATATTTATATATCATTGCATTGCAGTTGGTGTTCCTCAATAGCAAGGGGACACACAAACTGCAGTGCGGTCTGGGGCCATCTGTGTGACCCCTTCAAAGACTTTCAGCTCCTAAAGGTGCTTTCTTCACTAAAAATTTCTCTCTGGGGCACAGCTATTTAACCCCAAACAGTGAATCTACCCAAACAATTGAGACATCTGGAACTGGAAACATAACTTCCATTCACCCAAAATAGTAACCAACTGAAGGCCCTGCAGCCCAAAGCATGACCATACCTTGATCATAAATAACTACATTTTGTTTAAGATGCTGGTAAAAATTATTTCATAGCTTCAAAGAGCCAAGAATCTCTTTCAGAGCAAATGGAAAATGCTGCACAAGATTGAATCATTTGTGAATAATAACTCATGCATGCATCCCATAGCAAGAAGTTGCCATATCCCCGGATATGCAGAGTACGTTCACTAAAGAAATGAAATCAAGTAGGATAGATGAACATTCATGGAATGGCCTGACTTTTGTTGATCCGAAATCACTAGCAACATTCAGCTGCCAGCCCCTTGTGCGCCACACTGCAAATCTATGGGAAGTCATTATTTTGTGACTACTTGGGGATGGGAGAGGCAGTTCTTAACTTTAGAGCAGCTGCTGAAAGCAAGGTGGATGCTTCCTATATTGATTCAAATTGTCTTTATCCATATAGGGAGTTATCCTGTTCAAGAGTAACGCAAAAGAAATACTAGACAAAGCCAAAGAAGCAAATGATGGCAGTCTACAGCTGCGAGGCAAAGATGTTACATGGGAAGTGATCGAAGGAGATGGTGCAAGAGAAGCACTGAAAAAAATTATGGACGAACAGCAAGAATTGCTAAATAGAAGGCAAGGAAAAGGTGATTTTTCCCTTTTAATTTTTAGGTATCAGTGTTGGCATTCTTAAGAGCTAGGCATCATGGCCCTGCTTAAGAGAGGGACTGCAGGCCCATTTCTATATTTGTCAATGGCCTATGGAAGGGCCATCATTTGTATATTGCTGTTTCAAGGCAGTAATAGTGGCTGGCTACCGAGGGAGGTAAAAGTTGGGAAGACCAGTACTGGAACAGTAGCAGATTCTGAATGTAAAAGGGATAGAGCAGTGGTTCTCAACCTGGGGTCCCCAGATGTTTTTGGCCTTCAACTCCCAGAAATCCTAACAGCTGGTAAACTGGCTGGGATTTCTGGGAGTTGTAGGCCAAAAACATCTGGGGACCCCAGGTTGAGAACCACTGGGATAGAGCTAAAGATATGGTGGTAAAACTGGCTGTATAGCATAGTTAAAGCTTTGATATCATCATGAGAAATGATGATTCTGGAGCAGTTGTACACAATATTTGAAAGCTTTATAATGAAGGAATCTGAAAGACATGGGTGTTTAGATTATAAAAGTGGCATTGGAATCCTAAAGCTGGCTCGTGTGCATCAAGACAGCTTGATTTCTCAGTGTTGGCAGCCAAATGGGCAAAATGCCCCAGGCCCTGTATTTTGAAGCCATGGAAAATATCTACTTGTGAGGTTTAGTCTGATTGTTTGACCATGTTTGGGAATTGTTCAGCGGTACAACTAGAGCCTGGTTCAATCTCTCTTCAAATATAGCCATGAATCTATTGAAAGCAGTTGCTGATCTGATGCAAATAATACTGAATAAATTGGACCAGTGCTCTGACTCTGCCTAAAGTAGCTTTCCATCTTAATTCTGAGATTGGAAAAAATGAGATGAATGGCAATAAATTCCCCAAAGCTGAGTAACAGTGTTTTAAATTTGGTTGTTGTAGATTTTTTGGGGCTATATGGCCATGTTCTAGAGGCATTCTCTCCTGATGTTTCACCTGCATCTATGGCAAGCATCCTCTGAGGTAGTGAGGACCTCACCTCACTACCTCTGAGGATGCTTGCCATAGATGCAGGCGAAACGTCAGGAGAGAATGCCTCTAGAACATGGCCATATAGCCCACAAAAACCTACAACCACCCAGTGATTCCGGCCATGAAAGCCTTTGACAATACAGTGTTCTAAATTGTATATACTGTGCTTGACAGGTCGTAAAGTTAAATACAACAAGGGATCTCAAGGAGCACAAGACAAAAAAGTGAAATTTCAAGGCAAGAAAACAAAATTTGAGAGTGAAGATGAAGAGGAGGCTGAAGGCAATAATACAAAAGGTGGGCTGTTTTCTTCACTGGCATTAACTTCTAAATAGATGCATTGGATATAGCAATGAGTGTGACTATAAGAGTCTATCCTGATCTCCCCCCCCCCCCCCCCCCCCGTAATAGTTTGATGTCTCTGGCTATAAATGTAGCTTCTTACTATGCAATGATACAGAGGGGAAACGATGCATCGTAATTTTTCACTTTTTAGCTCGATTGTCCAAATGTCTTATCAAACTATTTCTTCTCAGAAATTTAACAATCCTGATAGCAGCTCAAACCATTCTTCAAAGAGCTCGACAAGGAAAATAATAAATTGCAGTGTTTTATTTCATTCTCTTCCTCCTACTTCATGAGAATAATTTAGTCCATTGTGCGGATCAGTTGGGGAATATTTAGTTTTTATAGGCCTTTCCTGTAGGTTCTCTCACAGAAAAAAACCCTTTAAAATCTGGACTCTAAATCAAACAGCACCCCCCCCCCTCCCCAGAAAACCAAAGGGTCTTTTTCATGGTCATATTCATTCCTTAATGATGGCATCAAATGACCTTTTTGTCCCAATATGGGAGCATATTTGATATACTAGGTTGCTGTGAGTTTTCCAGGCTGTATGGCCATGTTCCAGAAGCATTCTCTCCTGACGTTTTGCCCACATCTATGGTAGACATCCTTAGACCTCACAACCTCTGAGGGTGCCTGCCATAGATGTGGGCAAAACATCAGGAGAGTATGCTTCTGCAACATGGCCATCCAGCCTGGAAAACTCACAGCAGCCTAGTGATTCTGGCCATGAAAGCCTTCGACAACACATATATGATATACTTCTCTGAAATTGAACTATATATTAATTTAGCACTTTACTTGTCCTATTGCAATAAATGTTAAAAAAATACATCCAATTTCATAATACTAAGTGTGGTCTTGATTTTGTAGGGCCGGCAAGTCCAAAGAAAAGGCCACTTGCAGATGTCACCCCTGAAGATCCTGCCCCAAAGCAGATAAAAACAGAAAATGGAGATGAAGATATGGAATAGCACTCCAAAAAGATTTTTTTATTCTTCTAAAAAAGTTTTATGTCATTCCTCCATTCATCTTTTTGTCACAAGTGAATCTAATAAAATCAACCTCGATGTCCACCTGCAGAGTCAAAGAACATTTATCAGTTGAGATTCTTTCCTTGGGATCCTTGCTTATTTTAACAGGCAGTTTTTCCAAGTTAACTTTCCAGTAATACTAAAAGGAAAGGCTCAAGAAATGAACTCCCTTCATTCAACTGGGTACAAAAGTTGTGTGAAATGCTCTTCAGCATACTGAATATTAGAATTCTGTGAACTATTGCATCCTAGAAGTGGAGCAACTAATGTATGAAATTGCATCATCACTTAGAGATTCATGGAAGACAGATGGACTAAAAAGGAAAGAAAGCAACTGTGTATAGTCACCTTACTCCGTTCTGAAATAACTTCCAATATTGTCTTAGTTATATCTTCAATGGATCTACTTTTCCTTTGTACCATAATAACAAAGGGTGACTATATATATATATATATATAGGAAGACAACTATACACCATTAGTAAATAGATAATTGGTAATACTGAATTATCTCAGCCTGAGTTTCTTTCAGTTACTGTTCATATACCAATGCTTGGCATGGTAAGCATACCAGATTTGTATCCTATTAAAAAATCCGCTATAAATAGTTGTGCCCATGGTCATGTTTTAAAAATCATGCATCAGTAGGGACTTTCAAAATTAAATCATTACCATTAAAATCCCTTGACACTACCTGCACTACTGGTGCAGGTGATGACTGCTTTAAGTCCTATACTTACTTATGGCACCACTCTTTCAAGGTAGGGATGGGAATCATGCAGCTCTTCAGCTGTGGGGTTGCAATTCCCATCACTCCTCCCTATCCACTGGGGACCCTTCCACACAGCTGAATAAAATCTGCTTTGAACTGGAATATATGGCAGTGTGGACTCAAATAACCCAGTTCAAAGTACATATTGGATTTTCTGCCTTAATATTCTGGATTATACGGCTGTGTGGAAGGGCCCTGAGTAGGACTGATGAAAAAAGTGTTCCAAAAACATGCGGAGAGCCCTCCAGATGTTCCTTGCAGTTGTTCACGCACATACGCTTTGCTCAGATGTCGTTGAATACTTACTGATTTCTTCTTATGAAACTTGTATGATGCTGGTAGGTCATACCTCAGTTCTTTAAAAATGAAACAAAAATGGTTAAGCTGCAAGTGATGTGCACTTTAAGGCCATCAAGCACAATGGTACCGTCTGAGGTAAGCTGCAAAGGCAGTAGGGTAGCAATGAAGCAAAGCAACTTAAGCTGGAAGCATGATTTCTACAATCAGATAGGCTTTTCCTACTTGAATGTTTTGGGGATGTGGAAACATTTACATCGTGCTATTGGAGAAAGAACATAACATTTGCCCATGGTGCAGGTGAAATCTACCTACAGTGTCTTGTTCAATAAAAAATTAGTGGGGCCAATTTCTAAAATGCAGATACTTCACAACATTGAACACCCAGCTTCTAGATCATAGCATATTCAAATGAACATCTATGTAGCTTTTACAAAATTATTTTCAAGCACGTTTTTGACTTGCAAGTTCCAAAAAACTCAGGAGTAATGTATACTTTGGAACAGCCTTAGTAAAAACAACTTGTGTTTTCAAAGTAACTATATAATAGCTATTTCGCTTGTTTCAATAAATTATCATATAATTTGAGCCCCTGGTGGCGCAGTGGGTGCCAGCAGGATTGCTGATCGACAGTTGAGCGATTCAAGTCCACAGAGAGCGGGTTGAGCTCCCTCTGTCAGCTCCAGCTTCCCAAGCAGCGACATGAGAGAAGCTTCCCACAAGGATGGTAAAAAACATCAAACACCCAGGCGTTCCCTGGGCAATGTCCTTGCAGACAGCCAATTCTCTCACATCAAAAGCGACTTGCAGTTTCTCAAGTCGCTCCTGACACACAAAAAATCATATAATTACTTCCTCAGAGCAACTTTTCTTGGGCTTTAATCCCATCTAAGCCAAAACATGGCAGGGAATACTATCATATGGCTTCAAGGCTGGTCTAAATATTACCAGCTAGTTCTTACCTGCTAAAACTTCCATCTTCACCTTCCATTCCTCTGCTTTCTTCTGAATATGCTGAGCAATGAAGTGCAGAGTAATTAATGGGCATCTTGACACCAGCAAAATATGCACAGCCTCTTCTGAACTGAAGCAGTTGATGATACCAACCTCCCTGCTTTCTGCTTTTAATAGGATGCCTCCAATCATAAAAAAGAAATACTGCATATATTAAGTCAAGAGCAGCTTCTGGGGCAAAAATGGATTTTGGTATGGCTCGTGGGTGTGCCAAGAGTCATTCTGTGAAGAGAGGAAAGCACCAATGTTCCCTTGAAGGACCAGCCACCCCTGGCCATTTCCCCACCTAGGTATTCATCAAGGCCAGAAGTGGCCCCATGGCAGTAAAGAGGGTCAGTGTTTTTAGGATCTTCTGGGATGGACTAAATTCTTAGCTTGCAGCACTCTACTCAAAGAAGTAGATGATTCACTTACACCTAGTCATGGATTTTTTGGGTTTATTATTTTGTTTTACTAAAATGTCTTATATGTGAGTACATAGCATAATCTCAAACCTCAATGACTGCAGCAAACCAGGTATGTTTGTATTATAAGTTTGTAATCTCCAAATCATGTTCTGATCCTTCTGGTCCCTATAAATAGAAAAGCAGAAAAACTTTAAAGACGTACTTGCCGGGTTGACGTTTTGTGTAAGGAATATACAGCTGTTCTTGCCATCTGCAGTGCTGTCTTCAGAAAAGCCATATCCATGCCTATGAAAATAAAATACTTGTTTTAATCTTAAGACTTATTTGGTAATCTTCAACATGGCAATTGTCTTTCATACACAGGTTATATCTTTTTAATAGTCTTAAAAGGTATTGTCACAATGACAGTTTTTAAATTTTGTATTAGTCTTCAGGATAGCTGTCAGTTTTGGACAATTCTATTTTGTTTGGAAAGCACTGTTTTACTTTTTTAGATTTGCCCCTCTGCATTTTCACAATTGTAAAACCAGTAAAATGAAGTAAATCTGAATGTTTAGCTTTGCTAGGTTTCTCTTCTTCAACAAAAGTAGCAAGAACACAATCTGAACTGATAAGATAGTTAGTGGCAAGCTGAAAGTGTGCAGAATCCAAACTCCTCTCAGACTAGAATTCATGGAAATCCTTCAGAGTCCATGAAATGCAGAGTCGTCTTAAATGGCAAGTATATCCCTAACTCTGTATTTTGTGTTGAACAATTGGGGAGTTGTCTTATACATATATATGACATACATATAATATAGTAAGACTTGTAACACACTGGGATAATTTAGGAAATCATGGTACTTTTATCACTTGGATATGGGGGATGCATAACTGGGGAGAAAAATATATGTTTGGGGTGCCAGAAGCATTTGTCTTAAACCTAGTGTCAATAATTTGGAAAGAACAAAAAACATTAACATTTAAAGCTGACACAAAACTGGAAAAGCAAGGAGGAGCTTTTGGGGACTAGGAATGCAAGCAAAAGTGATATAACCTGTTTATTTTTTCAACTAAAAATAAACATTGTCTGTTGCACCAACAAGTAGAATTATGACTCAGATATGGAAACTATTTCTTTAAGCTGGCTTAATCCTTGGTTTAGTTTCTAGATTCCCTGCTTCAGAAACACAGAACTCTGTTAGAATTACAGTGGTAACAGAGGTGTGGAGAATGACACAAGTAGGAGTTGGGTTTCTGTGCCTGGAAAAGAGAAGACTGAGATGGTGAGAGATAGTAAAGACAGCAAGTTGGTGGTACAGTCTTTCAATCTAGAAGCAAAGCCAAAAATATTTATACTAGGCACGAAGACATGGGAGAGCAACTTTTGGTGAGCTGTCAGGAGAATTAATGTTCAACAAAATGGAGAGGGCCAAATATTGTTCACTCCCTTTATCAGAAAGAAGTAGAAATTGAGAAGTGTAGTCTGACAAAATGTTCAGTTGAGTGACTTCTTGTGGATACAGACCCTGAACAACTTAAGATTCCTCAGGGCTTCCTCGTCCCTATTTATTTTGTTACTAGAAAGGAAGGTGCATTGCCTTGTGAAAAGGAAAGCTTTGGAAAGAACTCCGGGATGAGATTATTTTTCATTGCTGAAAAGACCACGTACCTTTATTGTGTTTCGTTCCAAAGGGAGGATTCATAATAACTGTATCAAATGTTTTTGGCATTTTGTCAGGCAGAGAACAGACATCACACTGAATCATATCAATATTTGTGAGCTCAAATTCTTCAGCATTCTTGCTAAATACATCTAGGGCATCAGGATCTATATCAAATCCTATACATAACCTGGGAAAAGATAGTAAAAATAGTAACAGAATCTATACTAAGACATACTGTAGCACTCTGCATGAAATATGCTACTAAGCATATCAGTATGATACTAAATATCTGTATTTATACATTAGGTTTGATGCAATTGTGAATATTTTTGTGCTAAAGGAAAAAAATATTTAACTAAGCTGAAAACCTAATACATCCTCTAACGATTACAAAAATAGAGGCAACACAGAAGGACATTTCCATCTATTTCCAAGGGACTTTCTTCGTAGGAAGATTACCCATACTGTGCAACCTGGTTTATATGGCATATATTTCTGATCATATTTCTAGTGGAGGGCTACACATTTGAAGTAACACAGGGATGTGCATTCTACTCAAACCAGAAAAAAAGATGCTAAAGACCAGGTATCCTCAAACTACAGCCCTGCTGCTATTTTGGCTTCTGCAAGTTGGAGATTAAAACAGTTAGGGAGCCACAGTTTGAGCATGCCTGATAAAGCGCGTGTCATTTATGCCTGTACTTTCCATCCCAGCCAATGATGCATGCAGTAACTTTTAAACTGTATACATCTTAACAAAGCTAGAAGATTAACCTCTAAATTTGAATTCAATAGCTGTTGTGTGCCTTCATTTCATTTCTGACCCTATCATGGGGTTTCCTTGAAAGGTTTCATTCAGAGTGGCTTTGCCTTCCCCTGAGACTCAGGACACTTTCAGACAACACTTAAACCCGCTTTGGAGCAGGTTTAAGAAACCTGCTCTGAAGGGAGTTTAAGCCACCCCACCAAAGGCTTTCCCAGTGGAGTGGCTACATATTATCCTGGTAACTGCGGGGATGGTATCCATCCCTCCGCCAAAGCCCTAAAAATGGCTAAAAATGTACTGGGCTGCCATTAGGCCTCCCTTCATGCCTCCTGGAATATACAAATGATACGCGAGGAGGTGAGATCCCCCCACTTCCTGGCACATCATAGATAACCTCCAGGAGATGAGATGACTGGTTTCATCTAGTCACATTTTTTTTTACAGAAATACAACTACTTTTAGCCCATGTTATCATTTTATGTTAAGAAAGGTAGATGAACAACCTACCCTGCACCCAGCATGGAACTTCCAATGCTCAGAACACCACAACCGCACCCAAGGTCTGCAACTATCTTGTTTTCGATATCATCAAAGGTATTGTGAATTGTATAAAGCATACATGCTGGAGGGAGAAGATGGAGGAAGATCAGCAAACACAGAAGTGTATAAGAAAACTGAAATGAATTGAAGGTGATCTGATCTGATCCCCTTCCCTTACTCCGACTAAAATTAACATCTAGTTAACACCCAAAGACTTATTATCAGTCGACTTTACAGTTGATAAGATTAGTTTTCACTGAAATAAATCACAGAGGCTCAAACGAGTGACACATACCACATGCTGCAAAACAAAATAACTAAGAACCAAACCTACAAACTCCTTTAAGATGTCTATTTCAGGAATATTGGTTAAATTCTTAACATTCATGACTATTCCAGGGAAACTGAGCTACACCTAGTAATTAATAGATACATTGACAAAATGAGAAGCCTCAAAACAGTGTGGCTGCATTTAGATAAAGTGTAGATTTTGGAATTAGCTGGTTACATTTTATAGGATAGATTTATATTATTTGGGGAATAAAGAGAGTAATTAGACTTACCTGCAATGTGTGGCCTTGTTGGATATTGTTCAAGCAGTAATTTTGGATCATCAAAAGTATCAACTTGTTGAAGGCAGCTTTCAAGTTCTTTCAGCTTTAATTTCTTCATGCTTATAGTTTAAGCCTGAAAATATATGTTTGTTATAAATAAGCAAAGGAATTAAAATCTTGGGCCCAAAGGTTTTCATGAGATACGTTGTGTCCCCATACATCTGATAATTCAAATTTATGTATGTGTCTGCGCCTCATGTAAGGGGTTTGTTTAACCTTTGTTTTGCTAACAAAACTCAATTTCTATGTCTCAGCCCCCTTCTACACTGCCATGTAATCCAGATTATCATATCAGATAATCCACATTATCCAATATGAGTCTACACTGCCATATAATCCAGGTCTAAGCAGATAATCTGGATTTTAAATGGCAGTGTAGAAGGGGCCGGAGACTACACTGACATATAATCCAGTTAAAAGAAGATAATCTGGGTTTTATATGGCAGTGTAGAAGGGACCACAAAATGATGCATGTCAACATGACATGATTGGAAAGCTCTGACAGAAGTTGTATATGAATTATTTTTATCTTTAGGCTTGAGTCCCATCTTCACAACATTTTGGATTTCAGTATCTGTATAATCAAATACATATATTCAAATCCAAAAAAGTCTGAAATCCTAATCATTCCTGGTCCCAAACATTTCCGATAATCTGTATGGCAGAAGGTTACAAAGTCTAAGGGTGCATCTGCACTGTAGAATAAATGCAGTTTGACATTGTTCTAACTGCCCTGACTTAAAGCTATGCAATCCTGGGAGTTGTAGTTTGGTGAGGCACCAGGACTCTTTGGCAGAGAAGGCTAGAGACTTGTAAAACTACAATTCCTATGATTCCACAGCATTAATTCTACAGAGTAAATACACCTTTCACGGCTGGAAATGGGAGACTATAACCTGATGAATATTAATTCTCAGCCCTTAGGAGTAAGATGTAATTTCCCCCCAAGTAAGTGCGTACAGGACTGCATATGTGTGAAATAAAGCAAAACGTGAAAGCATCCTCAAAGCTATGCCTCCAAATACAGCATATACAGTTCAGAAAGCATTCCCAGCTCCCCTTACCTTTGCTGCAGCTCCACGACAATTCCGCTTTGTGCAGTGACTTACACAATCCCCTGCATGGAAGGGAAACACAGCGCCTCGCTTTTGGTTCCTAAATTACTCTCTAGCAAACTCTGGCTGCACTTGCGCCCCCTCGTGGAGGCAGGAGGAATAGCGAACCAAGGGATTATGCATTGCTGTGGCTCATTTCTATGCACTTATGCAGGTCTATCGAAGAAACAAATAGGATCCGAAGATCCATCTACACTGCCATATAATGCAGCTTGAAAATGCACTATGTGGTCAGTGCAGACTCCTATAACACACTTTGATACACTTCAATACAGTTAAACTGCATTATAGCAGTCTACACTGATCATATAATGCAGCTTCAGTTTGAATTATATGGCAGTGTAGATGGGGTCTGAGTCTGAAATTGTAACCCACGTCCTAAGGAAATATTACTAGGGAGCAGTCAGCCCTCTATATCCATAGATTCTGTATACACTGTTTCCATCACCCATAGCATGAAAACATTTTCTTAAAAATATCCAAAAAGCAAACCTTGATTTCTCCAGCTTACATCAGGGACAATATTTTCCAATGCCATTCCATACCTGAACATCCACGGGTTTTGATATTAATGGGAGCTTTCGAATCAAGCCCCAGCAGATACCAAGGGCCCACTGTAACTCCTATTGAACTCCTTGGGTTTCACTTCTGAGTACAATATCTGCGTTGAACTGGGTTATCTGAGTCCACACTGCCATATATTCCAGTTCAAATCAGAACATGTGGGATTTTCTGCCTTGATATTCTGGGTTATATGGCTGTGTGGAAAGGCCCTATGGCTGCTGTTACAGGGACACCTTCTACACTGCCATATAAAATCCAGATTATCTGCTCTTATCTGGGTTATACGGTTGTGTAGAGTCATTTAATCTAATTAAATTTATGTTAATATGGATTATCTGTTTTGATAATCTGGATTATATGGCAGCGTAGAAGGGGCCATTAGCTGGCTCTACATTGCCATATAGTGCAATTTCAGAACGCAGGTGAACTGCATTGAACTGGATTACATGGTGGCACAGATTTGCATAATCCAGTACAATGTATTCATTCTGTATTCCGAAGCCACACAGAAGAATAAAATCACACATTTTCTGCTTTGAACTGGGATATATGGCAGAGTGGACTCAGATAACCCAGTTCAAAGGAAATATCGTGGGATTTTCCACCTTGATATTTATTTATTATTTATTTACAGTTCTTATATTCCACCCTTCTCACCCCGCAGGGGACTCAGGGCGGATTACAGTAAACACATATATAGCAAACATTCAATGCCAGTTTGACAAACAACATTTAACACACAATACACCGAGGCTATTTAACTTCTTATTTTTTCTGGCCGCCAGGGGAGCTGCTGCTTTTCATCGTCCATCAACGACACTGATGAAGTTCTTCCGCATTCCACATTCCCCGGAGTCTTTTTTCTTTATGGCCTCATAAATTAGTTAAATTTAGCTTCCCACACAAGGTGGTACCTTATTTTCCTACTTGACAGATGCAACTGTCTTTCGGGTTGCAAAGGTCGACAACGGGCTACACAATGGCTGGACACCCACTCCAGCCCGGGCTGGCTTCGAACTCATGACCTTTTGGTCAGAGTGATCTTAATGCAGCTGACACTCAGCCAGCTGCGCCACAATCCCGATATTCTGGGATATAGGGCTGTATGGAAGGGGCCTGAAATGGAAAGTTTGCAGACTTGGTATTCTATTAAATGTCCTTTGACCAGTAGCTGGCCACTTGGAGTGCCTCTGGTGTTGCCGCAAGGAGGTCCTCCATTGTGCAGTTTGCATTGCAGCAGTTGGTCAGTGGTTTGCTCTTCTCCGCACTTGCATGTTGTGGATTCCACTTTGTGGCCCCATTTCTTAAGATTGGCTCTGCATCTCATGGTGCCAGAGCGCAGTCTGTTCAGCACCTTCCAAGTCGCCCAGTCTTCTGTAAATCTGGGGGGGGGGGGGGGGGGGGTCTCTCATTTGGTTTTTTTCCCCCGTCGTGTCAGGAGTGACTTGAGAAACTGCAAGTCCCTTCTGGTATGAAAGAATTGGCTGTCTGCAAGGAAGTTGCCCAGGGGACGCCCAGATGATTTGATGTTTTTATCATCCTTGTATGAGGCTTCTCTCATGTCCTCGCATGAAGAGCTGGAGCTCATCTGCCTCTCCTGTTGGTCTTCAGTCCTGCTGGCACAGGGGTTTAACCCAGAGCGCCACCGGGGGCTCCTCTAATTTGGTATCAGCCATTGATTGAGGTTCTGGGTTTGAGCCTGCCACGTTTGGACTCTCGCTTGCTGAGGTGTTCCAGCGAGTGTCTCTGTAGGTCTTAGAAAACTATTTCTTGATTTAAATCGTTGGCGTGCTGGCTGATACCCAAACAGGGGGCGGGCCGGAGATGTCATTGCCTTGGTCCTTTTACTATAATGGAGCTGAATGTGGATTGTATACAGCTGTGTGGAAGGGGCCTGAGGCTTGTTGTCAGGCCTGCCTCGATGTCTCCTCCTGAGAGAGAGAGAGAGGGAGGGTGCCGGCTTAGGTGCGAGGCCGTGGCCTAAGGCCTGAGAGCGCGAGCGCGAGCCAACTCTCGCGAGAAGAGTCAGCAGGGAGGGAGCCAGGGAAGGTGGGGAACGAGAGCGGGTGCGCGGAGGGCAGGAGGGAAGCCGGGCCTCGTCTCCTCGTCTCCTCGTCGTCGTCGTCCCCCTCCTCGCCATGGCCCAGGAGAAGCGGGCCACGGCGGCGCGGCTGAAGGCGGCCCTGAGCCTGGAGCAGGAGAGCGCGGCGGCGGAGCTGAGGGCGCTGCTGGAGCGGGTGCTGTCGCTGCGGGACGAGGCCTCCTCCTCCTCCTCCTCTTCGGCGTCGTCGTCGTCGTCCCCGGAGGCGGCGCTGTCGTGGTGCCGGTGCCTGCTGGCCGGCGGGGAGCCGTGGGAGGGCTTCGTGGCGGCGGTGCGGGCCTACGACCCGGCCACCCTCTGCGGCCTGGTCTGGACGGCCAACTTCGTGGCCTACCGCTGCCGGACCTGCGGCATCTCGCCCTGCATGAGCCTCTGCGCCGAGTGCTTCCACCAGGGAGAGCACGCCGGGCACGACTACAACATGTTCCGCAGCCAGGCCGGCGGCGCCTGCGACTGCGGGGACGGGAACGTCATGAGGGAGGCCGGGTGAGTGAGAGAGCGGACGAACGAACGTGGGAAGGGAGGCGGCACGCGTGTCAGGGTCGCCAAGAGGAGCCTGCGCTCTGGCACCCATTCTGAGAAGTCGGAAGGCACAGGGATCCCTTCCACACAGCCCTGTATCCCAGAATATCAAGGCAGAAAATCCCACATTATCTGAACGTGGACTCATATAACCCACTTCAAAGCAGATATTGTGGGATTTTCTGCCTTGATATTCAGGGATATAGGGCTGTGTGGAAGGGCCCCCAGCCACCTATGTGTGGACCATTTGGGACTCTTTTGGAACTCCTTATCAGACAGTGGTTCCCAACCTCTTTTTGACCAGGGACCCACTCTCCAACATCAGTACCAAAAGGGTTATGGTTCAGTTTTTGGTCAACTTTAGATTTAAGGCCCTTCCACACAGCCATATAAGGCAGAAAATTCCACAATATCTGCTTTGAATTGGGATATCTGTTTCCACACTGCCATATATTCAAAGCAGATAATGTGGGATTTTATTCAGCTGTGTAGAAGGGACCTTGATATGGTCATTTGGGTTGCTGATTCAGAAAATTCCATTGGATAGACGACATCACCTCTAGTTTCTGATATAGAACTTATGCCAATCCAGTAGTCACCTTCTGCTCGCTCACAGAAAACCATATTTAATAATCTAGAACTGATGTGGTAGTAATTATCTTTAGTGGGTAGTCAGCCTCTCCCCTCCCGACATTTTTATTGCCTTGACTCCATAAGAGGGTTTCACGAAACCAGTTGCTCTTGTTGCTGCGTGGTTTCGAGACAACAGTGTATTAACGGTGAGGCTGTGGACCATATTTTTGTTCTTACTGACCACCGGTGGTCCACGAACCACAGGTTAGGAACCACTGCTATAAAGGATCCTCAGGCTGAAGGAAGAGAATGAAAGAACCACAAAACACCTTAGTTACTCTTTGGGTGCATCTACACCAGGCACGAGCAAACTTCAGGTTTTGAGATGCAAAATACTCCACTTAGGCAGGGAATAGGAAATGCAAAGATACAGAATGGGGGATGCCTGGCTTGAAAATAGTGTGTGTGTGTGAAAAAGATCTTTAAGTCCTTGTGGACCACAAGTTAAGCATGAGTCAACAATGTCATGTGGCGTTGTCATGTGTCATGCTACCCCTCTATTCTGCCTTTGTCAGACCACACCTGGGATACTGTGTCCAATTCCTGGCACTTGAAGGGAGATGTTGACTCTAAGCTTGAATGTGTCCAGAGAAGGGCAACTCAAAAGATGAAGAGTCTGGAGTACAAGCCCTATGAGGAGCAGCTTAAAGAGCTGGGCATGTTTAGCCTGCAGAAGAGAAGGCTGAGAGAAGACATGATAAGCCATTGCCCATGTGAGGGGAAGTCATAGGGAGGAGGGAACAAGCTTGTTTTCTGCTACCCTGGAGAGTAGGATGTGGAACAATGCCTTCACACTACAGGAAAGGAAATTCCAACTGAACTTCCTGACTGAAAGCTGTTCAACAATGGAACTCTCCTCTGGAGTGTGGTGGAGGCTCCTTTTGGAGGCTTTTAAACAGAGGCTGGATAGCCATCTGTCAGGGGTGCTTTGAATGCATTCTTTTTTGCTTCTTAGCAGGGGTTTGGACTGGATGACCCACAAGATTCTATGATTCTAGGTGTTTTGGACTTCAACTTCCACAATTCCATACGGAGACTCAAAGCAGCTCACAGTTAAAAGTATTACAGTATAACTTAAAACATACAATATCCAAATATTAAAACAGTAAAACAAGTATTAAAAGGGGTGCATCTACATTCGACTGCTATGAAATCATGGAGGTTGCGATTTTATAAAGTTTTAAAGTTTTTTGTTTTAGAGAGTTCTGGTGCCTCACCAAACTACAAATCCCATGAGTTATGGCAGTTAAAATGGTGTCAGACTGAATTAATTCTACGGTGTACACTGTAGCTGCACCCTGGATCAAGGAACAGGGTAAGCACTTGAAGGGGTTGAGTCTCAGGTGAGAATAAGGTGAAGAAAAGGAAGATCAGTATAGTAAAGGGAAGAGGCAGAGTGTGCTGTTTCCTTTTGGGAAGTGTAGTTTGTTCAAAGATTTTTGTAGGAGCATTGGTCAGGTGTCAAGCTGTGAGGGTGGCACTCCCGTTGCACAGTCGCAGTGCCAAACTGGATTAATTCTGCAGTCTAGATGCACCCAATCACAAAATTGTCCACATAGGTGGCTGGGATAGGGATACCTTTGTATCCTGATTTCTCAGTGTACACACACTTTGCTTTATGCACGGAATTATTCAAAATATTGTATAAAATTCGGCAATGCGTATAAAGTCTATGTGAAAAATAAATGACTCTTGTGGTAAACTAAGGTCCTATGTCTAAGGTATCTTTTTAAGTAAATACAAGTATTCCAAATCTCCTTCGCTTAAAAATCTCAGCTGAAGAACACTGCTGCTCCCAAGCATTTTAGACATGGGATACTCAACCTGTATAAGGCTATTATTTTGCAGTGCTGGGGTGTGTGCATGCCTAGTTGGCCAAGTTGATAGAACTGGTATTGCAGGGTTTAGCTCATACTCCCTTACTGCTTTTACTATTTTCACAGCTAGATGTTTCTTTCTATCAACATCATTTGGCAGCTTACATATCAGAGGGGGACAGTAAACTCATGCCATATTTCAGTCGGAAGTTGAAAGGAGCTATCCAAGTGCTGAATCTATTGTGTGGCTAGAATTCAGGAGCTTGGATATTTATTCTTAAAGATCAGTGGGGACTCAGTGCCCCACTGACATGGAAACTGTCAGTTGTTAGGGTTTTTTTTTTTTTTAGTGTTTTGACATTTTGGAGAGGTAGGAAACTTATAAAACAGCATTGGTCCAGCAGTGTAGTGGCGTCTACTAGTGACACAGATCTTCCCCAAATTGTGGCTGCTTAACAACTCCTACAAATCAGATTCATAAATTTGGGGGAGGGAGAATATCCCCAGGGCAGAATTCAGAGGGATCAGCAAAGAAATAGAAATAATTTGAAGTAGGGCATTAATCCATGGGGCACTGTAAGAATGGTTAGATGTTACTTTAAAACTGAGGCACAGCTTAGATGCATTTTTCAGCTGTTCCCTATGTCCAGGGAGAAAGTAAGTCACAAACTACTGATTGTGAGGAAGGACTCACTTTGAGCACTGCTCTTGCATTAGCCTTATGGTAGTCAGAGCCTCAACAGTGTGGGCTTTTCTTCTGAAGTTCTAACAACAGAGCAACTTGCACAGAAGAACGTGACATCTTATTTACTTCCCACACTAAGGGTTATCCCACCCTTTGGACACTGGCATAAGGAGTAAACATGTTGATGATCTCTTTCACATAACCTCTAACATCATTACGTAAATGTCCACACTTGCACCTTTGTCACTACTGAGGCAATAGTAAGTCATAACTTAGAGTCTGTTCCTATGGCATTGTCCTTGTTTCATAAGAACACAGTTCTTAGATACAATCTCTGTGTGGAAAGAACTGTGAAGTATCTTTAAGGCTTGTTTCTGTGCCTGAGATTTATTCAGTGTTTCCCCTTTCCAGTCTGTGTATGGAAAGGGAAAAGTGGGAAAGAAATGGGGGTGAGTTTAAGGGCTCCTCCCATGTAAAATCCCTCTGGGGAAAAAAAATCTAAACAGGCAATATAAACGAATGTCTTTAAAAACATTCCTTTCTTCCAACCCATTGAAAAGGAAGGAACATATTATATTGTAGCATGCGACATATACATTGGTTTCTAATTGTACGTCCCTGTGGTGGAGAAACAATATTTTAAAGCTGCTTCAAATAATAAAACATGTGGAGCATAGGAGGAGAAAGGAAAATTTGAATTATCCTTAGATTAGACAGCCATGAATAATTGGGGGGACGGGGACGGGACTATAGCAGACTTAGGGTATTGTGGGGTTGCCTTTGAAGACAGCTCGGAAGCTCCAACTAGTCCAACGCTCGGCAGCCATGATTTTAACAGGAGCGGAGCGCAGGGAGCATACAACCCCCCTGTTGCGCCAACTCCACTGGCTACCGATCTGCTACCGGGCTGAATTCAAAGTGCTGGCGTTGGCCTTTAAAGCCCTAAACGGTTCCGGCCCAAGCTACCTATCTGACCGCATCTCTGCCTATGAACCCACCAGGACTTTGAGATCTTCCGGGGAGACCCTGCTCTCGATCCCGCCTGCTTCTCAAGCTCGGCTGGCGGGGACGAGAGATAGGGCCTTCTCGGTGGTGGCTCCTCGGCTGTGGAACGCCCTTCCTACGGACATTAGACTAGCACCATCTCTAATGGTATTCCGCAAAAAGGTGAAGACCTGGATGTTTGTGCAGGCGTTTGAGTAATTTAGTGCAATCTGGTAATGGAATATAGGAATGGAACAATGGACGACGAACCTGGACTACGCTTGGATGATGAGAAGATTGGGTACGGTTGTTTTTCGTAATAATTGTGCATTGTAATTGCTTATTGTTAATTTATGGATAATGTGTTAAGTCAATTGTTATATGTTGCATGGAACCACTGCTGTTTCTACTGTTTTTACTGTTTGTGAACCGCTGTGAGTCGCCTTCGGGCTTGAGATACAGCGGTATATAAGCAAAGTAAATAAATAAATAAATAAATTAGGGTACATCTTGAACAGTGGTTCTCAACTTGTGGATCCCCAGGTGTTTTGGCCTTCAATTCCCAGAAATCCCAGCCAGTTTACGAGCTGTTAGGATTTCTAGGAGTTGAAGGCCAAAATATCTGGGGACCCACAGGTTGAGAACCACTGCTCTAGAATAAATATAGTTTGATATAATTTCAACTGCCATGGCTCAATGCTATGGAATTATGGGAGTTGTAGTTTTACAAGTATTTAGCCTTTTCTGCAAAATAGTGCTCCAATAATTCCATAACATTGAGCCATGGCAGTTAAAGTGCTCCCTAACTTTATTAATTCTACAGTTTAGCTGCACCTTGGGTAAAG